TACGAGTGTGACAACGGCAACTGCAGGCTAGGTCCCGAGTGTGGTAACCGGAATTTCGAGGGTCTTAAGCATCGGACCAAGGCCGGAGGCAAGTATAACATTGGAGTCGAAGTCATCAAGACAAAAGATCGCGGGTATGGCGTCCGCAGCAACCGTTCCTTCGAGCCCAACCAGATTATTGTGGAGTACACCGGCGAGATTCTCACCCAGCTTGAGTGCGAGAAGAGGATGAGGACAGTGTACAAAAACAACGACGTATGTGCCCTTTGTGACTCTTGGTGCTTTACCATATATTGACCTCGTCAACCAGTGTTACTATCTCATGTATTTCGATCAAAACATGATCATTGATGCTACTCGCGGGTCTATTGCTCGCTTTGTTAACCATGCCTGTGAGCCAAACTGCCGTATGGAGAAATGGACTGTTGCTGGCAAGCCACGCATGGCACTCTTCGCTGGAGATCGAGGAGTCTCGACGGGAGAGGAATTGAGCTATGACTACAACTTTGAGTGAGTATTTGCATATCAAGCCCTTTGACCAAGTGCTAATACTATATTAGTCCTTACTCTAACAAGAATGTTCAACAATGCCGCTGTGGATCAGCGAACTGTCGAGGCTTCCTTGGTCCACGGCTGAAGGATAAGCAGCAACGTGCCAAAGAACTCGAGAAACGAAAAGCCGAGGAGAGCACAAAGAAGGCAACTACAAAAAAGGTCATCGGCAAAAAGCGAAAGGCCGCAGAAGAATCCGATAGTGAGGATAGCGACGACTCCTCTCGAGGCAAAAAGCGCAAGATGACGAAGTCCAAGACCATCAAGGCCAGCGTGAAAAAGGCCGTGGCTACCGTTCGTGGGAAGAAGATGACCAAGACAACGGCCAAGGGCAAAAACACAACTACTGTCAAGTCGAAGACCAATGTCAAGCTACCAACCGTTAAAGCCACAGGCCGGATCAAGGCCACTGTCCGTGCTCCCCGATCTAAGAAGGTAGCCAAGGAAACCCCTGCTTCTCCCAAGAAGTCCACGTCCCAGCTCAAGCGGCCTTCTGCTGAGACCAAGAGGAAAATTCTCGCTGCTGCCTCCAAGGGCTCTGGGGATTCTCCCCGCAAGCCTGTGAAAAAGGCACCCGCCAAGAGCCCCGTCAAGGCCAAGAAGCCTGTCCCCAAGGCTAAAAGCACTACCAAAGGCAGCTTTGGCAAGGGAGTCAAGAGTGCAGCTCGACGTGTTATTAAATCTGTCAAGGGAGCAAAGAAATGATTGACGTCTAGTCATACTACAGTTAACAATCTCGTCGTTGTGGGCTTTTCTGGACCTTGTTCGAAAGAACCAACTTATCTTGCAACACCTCTTTTGCTCTTTGGCAATCTCAGGGCTGTCAACTAACAGCTGGGAAGTCTTTTATTCTCCTATTCTCTGTTGACCTCGACACTTGTCAGTGGTCCATTCTTTTTATTCTACTTGATAATTTTTTTCCCTCGGTAATCTTTTATTCTTCTCTTTTTCGGCTAAAACTCGTTTTTTTGGCAAATTTACCCCCTTGTACGACATTGTGTGTTCCCCCTGGCGTTTTCCCCCTGTTCACTTTGCTCTTTTCCCCCTTGCATTTTATTTTTACTGTGGCTTCATGATTCCTTCAGTTTTGGTCTATGCGTCATGGTTATGAAAGTGAGAGGTTGCTCTGATATCAAGTCTGATATAGCCAGGGTAGATGCCTCTAAATTCAACATGGGTTTCCCTGGAGTTCTTAGTCTCTTGTAGATCTCTAGAGTTTACGGTAAAGGCTAGATATAGTACAGATACCTTTTGGGGGTGCAATTACTGATAATAGTGTAGAAGTTTAGACCATCAAACCAAATCTATTGGCAACTTGAAACTATCTAAGTCAGGGGAATCCATAGAAAAAAAAGACCTAGCACATTTTCTCATGTGCAGCAAAACATATAACCGACACCAAGCCTCACGCAACCTTATAGAACTTTTACTGGCGCTCCAGGAAACCCTGGCTCTCCAAAACGAGAATGATCTCGTGCACAATGCTGCGCACACTCTGCTTGGAGAAGTCAACAACGAGATCAGCCTTCTCAGGAGTCTCATAGGGGTCATCGACACCAGTGAAGCCCTTGATCTCGCCACGACGAGCAGCAGCGTAGATGCCGCGCTTATCGGACTGCTCGCAGTGCTCGAGGGGAGTGGCGACGTGCACCAAGAAGAAAGAGCCAGCCTGGGAGACGGCGTCGCGAGCGAACTTGCGGGACTCCTCGTAGGGAGCAATAGGGGCGGCAATGACGGCGGCACCGGCGCGGGTAAGCTCGGTGGCAACGAAGGCAATGCGCTGGATGTTGGTGTGGCGGTCCTCGCGGGTGAAGCCGAGCTCGGAAGAGAGCTCGTGGCGGACGGTGTCACCCAGCAACAGGGAGACGGAACGACCACCCTGCTGGTTCAGGGTAACCTGCAAAGCACGGGCGATGGCATCCTTGCCGGAGTTCATGTAACCAGTGAGGAAGATGGTGAAACCCTGGGTGGCGCGAGGGGGGGTTGGACTCGCGCAGAATCTTGACAACCTCGGGGTAGGAGAACCACTCGGGGATGTGGGCGCCGGAGCGCAGACGGCGGCGGAGCTCGGTACCGGAGATGTTGAGGGTCTTGACGCCAGCGGGGACCTGGTCAACGGGGCGGTACTCATCGGTATCGGGGAGGTAGGTAACCATCTGGAATTCGACGACCTCGATGCCGAGCTCGTCCTTGTACTTCTCGACGGCGTGCTGGGCATCGTAGGGGCCGTAGAAGTCCTCGCCCTTGGAGTTGGAACCAGGACCGGCGTGGTCACGTCCGACAATGAAGTGGGTGGCACCATGGTTCTTGCGGATAATGGCGTGCCAGATGGCCTCACGGGGACCACCCATACGCATGGCCAGTCCGAGGAGACCCAGGACGGCCATGCCGTTGGGGTAGCGGGGAAGGAGGGCCTGGTATGCGCGGACACGGGTGAAGTGGTCAATGTCACCGGGCTTGGTGAGACCGACAACGGGGTGAATCAGGACATTGGCCTGGCGGGAACGGGCCGCGCGGACAGTCAGCTCACGGTGGGCACGGTGCATGGGGTTACGAGTCTGGAAGGCGACGACGCGGGACCAGCCCAGCTTGTCGAAGTGGACGCGCAACTCTGCGGGGGTGTCTGTAAAGGATATATTAGCCAGATTCACTAGCGGAACGCGGAAAGGGGGGAATTGAACATACAGCGGAGGGCGACATAGTCGTAGTGGTTGAGCTTGTTGACGGCCTCGATCTTGCCACCAATGTAGAACTCCTCGACGGAGTTGTTCAGGTACACGATAGCCGGGTGCTCTGGGTCACCACCGAAGACGAGCTTAGCCTCTCTAGTCCTAAAATCAGGGGAGAACCACGTCAGCAAGCCCCACCATAGCACAGGCCACTTCCAACTTCATTGGGTAAGGATTCGAGGTATGTGACATCAAATGCCCATAATTAAAAAAATAGAACAAGGTATCCGAGGATACAGAAATAAGGATCGACAGTGCGACCGGTTTCGAATCATGAAATGGAGGGGAAAGGACGGGAAGGAGGTAAAACTCACTTGTCGGGGCGGTAAATATCGTCAATGGTAAGGATAGCCAAGTTACGGTCGTCACGGAAATCACGCAGGGTGATGCGAGAACCAGCCTGGAGCTTCTTCTCGTCGATGACCTTCTGGCTAGCGTCGAGGGTAATGGGCATGGAGAACACATTGCCATCGGCAAGGCGGTTTTCCTCACAGACACTATGCATATTGTCAGCTGCCGCTGTTATAGATTTCACATTCCAATAGGATCATTCGTGTCACACATACCGGTCGTAGTCTGCCTGGTTCATGAAACCTGCATGAAGGTTAGTTATTGCCCCTCTATTGACCATGTCCCTCCCCCCCCAAAAAGAGAGAGAGAGAGAACATTTTGAATCTCAAAAGAAACAATTGCACTTACCCTCGAGAGGAGAGAAACCTCCGTTCATGATCAGCTCGAGATCACACAGCTGGCGCTCAGTAAGAGTCACAGCGGGGAGAGTCTCGGCCTCAGCGGCGAGCTCAACCTGGCGGGGAGCATCGCGAGCGAGAAGGTCCTTGAGGACACCACCGTGAGGGGCGTTGGCCATAATGAATATAAAAGGGAGGTAAAATGAAAGAGAGAGTAATGTACAAAGTAGAAAAGAAAAAAAAGAGGGAAAAGGCTACTGCTTATCAAGAAATTTCCTGTAGGAGAGGGGTGTGGATTGCACCATCCACATCCAACAGAAGTCGTCAACAAGTGGGGACCGGTGGAAGTCTTGGCTGGGCGATTTCCTCGGGGGTACAGGCGGTTAATGTTTTATTATGGATCTTAGGGCTATTATTATCTTTAAGGGGGGGATTCCAAATGGTTTCATTCATATATGTACATATATATGTAGGTCTTTGCAATTGTAATTGGTAGCAATGTACGTATACTTGACGAAGCTCCCGCGGAAGTATGATCTACAACATACGAATATTATATGGAGTACTTTGTACTGATATTTGGGGTTTTCAGGGGCAGATAGACGATCCCTTTGATTGAGATCCTCCTATGCATGATTGTCACTGTAAAGAAAGATCCTGTAGTATATATAAGTGTATAGGAGTACGTGGATAGTATGCGATGTACAATTGGAGTATAACGTAGACAAATCCCAAAACGTCTTAGTCCAACGCCACATCTGCAGAGGCTGAGGTCATGTGACGAAGCACGTCACCTCCGCGCGGAATCACGACATTTACCGACATCTCGTTTCTCAATTAGGCATAGATCGACCAGGTGATCTGAAAACCCTAAATCTGGACCATATCGGCCTCGACTACGGAGTACATATTTTTATAATCTCCACGGGTACAACATTTAATACGCTAATAATAACCCAATATACATAATTAAAATTGACCCTAGACCCATATAGACAACCCTATATACACCTCCCCTTAACATATATTTTCACTGCGCCTTCACCGTGCTATTGGGAAGCGTGATGGTCAACTTCTCAAAATCCATATTAAACGATCCCACCTTCAGGGCTGGCTGAGTCGTGTTCGCATAGGAATCAACCAGGTACCCTTGGATGTCTTCCTCGGAAGACAAAGCCGTGTCAAGGGAGCCTGTCTTCTGCAGGATATACAACACCGCAACCCGAGAAAACTCAACGACGTTCTCGGGAACGCTGGTCGCAGTGGACGTGGACGTCTCTGGGTTGACGGCAGTCGATTGAACGCTGATTTTGGTAGCGGAGGCGGTCGTCGCTGACTCGGTTTGTGTGGATGTCGACGTGGTCGTACTTGACTTGCTTGATGCCGAGTCGTCGTATAGGATTCCGTTCATAGTGGCCTCAGCACGGACAGCCAAGGCTGGTGTGGGGTTGGTTGTCGAGACGGATGGGATCGAGTCGGCTATAGACTGTACGGATCGGCGGGTCTTGTTCGTGTTGTCATTTGTAACCTCACTGAAAGCCACGAGAGCATTTTCGGTCTTGCAGGAGATATCGTTGATGCTGAAGATAGCCATGATTGTGACAGAGTCGAGGGTGATGTCGAATTTTTCTTTGGATTCTTCGAACAGAGTAGGGAGTGAACTGCCCATGGTCGCATTCGATCCGTTCCTTATCAGGGCGGTGGTGCAGCTACTATCACCCGCAATATTGCATTTCGAGCCGGTATACCCGTTTGCACAAACACACGAGCATTGGGAACCGGCTGAAACACTCACGCCTCCATTCTCGCAGGGGTTCTTTTCAGCACAGGACGAGTTGGCTTTCTCGCGAGGCACGGCGACAAGGAACACAGGGAGAAGAACCGCGAGAACGACAATGATGAAAAGTACGATGCAGAGGATCACGAAGATCTTCCGTGGCATTCCGCAGCACGTCTTCTTGCGTCGGGGGACATTTGGATCGTCATCACTAGAGTTAAGCTGCTCAACATTTCGCAAGTTGGAGCGTCCAAAGAAGGGCCACGAGGTACGTGATCCGCGACCTTCGGGTGTCGCCAAACCCGGCGGGGGGAAGGAGGCGAGCATGTCCGATAGAGAGCCGGACTTGCGTGGTCGGTGTCCTAAGCACACACAGCAATTAGTACTATTTCAAGATTCCACATGGTGATCTAGATCCTCAAGACTCACCCATCCCAGCCCTGAACCCTGCTTCATCACCAGCCAGATTATTAGCTTTGCTGGCAGTTCTCCCATGATCTAGATTCGATGCAAGCTTTGTCGCCCTCCGAATCAAATCCGATAGGCTGGAAAGGCTCCCACGAGCCTCTGCATCCCGTACCGCATTCATATTTAAAGCAGGAGGCTTGCGACCGCCAGGTCTCTTGTCACTCATTGTTGGTGCTGCGTGAGGCAGCGCTCCGAAGGCCTCGAGCTCTTTTTCGAGGCGTGCATCGGAGGGCGAGTCGTAATGCGGGGCAAAGGGTGGTTTTTCGGGGTCCACGCCTTTCACCGACTCACTCGATGCTGTAGTAGACGAGTTTCGTAATTGGCTTGGTATACGGGGCACCTGATTTGCAGCAGCGTCCGGCCCGATAGATCGTGCTGCTGTGTTCTTGGTGAATTCCTCCTGGGTGGGTGATGGCATGCTTACAACGGAAACAGGATTAGACTTGAGGATGGTACGCATTGTCGGCTTTCCCCGCTTTCCAACACTGGCACTTCGGACAAGGCTTGTATCATCCTCTTGAAGGCCCGGTGAGCGCTGGCCATCGTCTGATTCCATGTCGAGATATGCTCCTAGAATCTCAGATTCGGCGGGACCAGATCCCCAACTTGAAGGGATGGCTCGGCTAGATGCGACGGAGCATTTTGTAAAGCGAGGGTCGGCGAATGCTTCCGGGATGGGGGGAATAGATGATTGACGAGCCCGGCCAGGCTTTCGCGCATTGAGCGGTGCCACAAGACCTGCCGTCCGGTGCCTTGGGTCATCCTGAGAAAGACCGGACTCGGACAGCAGAAAGGTAGGTGGAACTTGGGGCATATTAGGAACAGAAGGCGTCGATGAAGCCACAGATTGTCTAAACAAATCCTCTGTTGCAATCGATATTCGAGGAGTCATGTCGATTGTGCTGGTGGGACTGGCAGGGGCATCGTTTACCGGCCCGCGCGAATGCGCAAGTGGAGGCGGCTGAAGCTGTGAGAAGGAACGGGGAGGTCTTTGGCTCGGACTTGAGCATCTTTCGGAGATTGGGCCATCCCGTTCTGAGTAAATGGATGGCGAAGGGAGTTCACTCGGATGAGGTGGTCTCGGAGGTGGAGGACCACGGGGAACCAAATACCTAGGATGTTGATTGATCGGGTGCGATGGGAGACCCGAATCAGGAAGAGGCCATTGTGTTTGATGGGAGACATTCCTCGGGACTGGAGGATATCCCATCTGCTGGGGTGGCGAGGCTCGTTCTGGACGCATGCCAGCATCCAGCATTTGTCTGGCCCGCTTGACGGATCCACTCCTGGTAGGCTCCCCTGAGGGCCCGGAGCTTGGTACTTCTGTGCTCATTGGAAGGTTGTCTGGTCGACAGAAGTATGGCTAAATCGAATGCCGGGGTGAATGCTTTTGTATAGGTTGCGAGAAGTTAGGGCTCGCAGGGTATCCAGTGTGGCGTGGTGGTACTGCGGTTCAAAAGAATGGTTTGTCCCTCGAATATTGAGGGATGGAAAAGAATGATTGCTCGATCCCTTGATCGAGCTGAAAAAGAATGAAAAGATAGCGAAATGATTGAAACCAGAGAAATGGCGTCTGGCCCACTGAGCAAGTGACTACAGGATTGTAGAAAGTGGATAAAGCAATGAACACGATCTAGAAAAGCAAGATCCACAGGATCAGATCGCAAATGAATGGAAGGACATTCAATGCCACTAGATATAATAGTTAGATTCAGCTCTAAATGACCATGAAATTGCCTTTAGAGAGTCCTACCGTTCAAAAAGGGGGATAAAATGAGAGGAACCGCTAGTATCAAACTGGCGTACAAGGAAGGCTAGATGGGTTAACGCCCCAATCTTTGACCTGGGTACTTTGTAGACTTACACCTTCAAAAAGGGGAGAGCCTCAAGCTCTTTGGAAGTTAGGAAAAAGGAGAGGAAAAAGAGGCATATTGAACCTGCCACCCCCCAGGGTTAACGCGGTTCCTGGCATGGATACTAGTCCACTTCTCAAACGGGAAGTATATTAATGCCAAACATGAACCCTGGACTAGTATTAATTTATTGGAATTCCTTCAATCCTGTAATCTAAGTTCTTTATATCCGAAGTCTCCATACTCGTGATATAGGATACATACTTCAAATCCCATTCCGACGAGTATTAGATCTACTCCGTACATATACTGACATGTCGATAGCTTTTCAGCATTGTACTTTTATTAAAAAAAAAAGAAGGGAAAAAAGGGAAAAAAGGGACTGAAAGGTCGGGGCCTACATAAGACCGACCGAATTACTCCGTAAACGAATCATATGTCGACTATATTAGTGGGGTTGGACTTAGTTCCGGACGCTAACGTCTCACATTAAGACTCCCTTTAGTAATTTGAAACTTGAGATGGTTTGAACAGAATAAAATTCATACATTGCATATGACTCTGTGGGAAATGTACTGAAAATGTGTTTAATAGAGTAAAAGTACTCCGTAAAGCTCGGGGACTGTTCCACCTAACTCGGCTATATCGTCCAGAAGTACTCCGTACTCGGTACGGAGAGGACGGAGTATAGACTGGTGGCTTTGCAGTGAAACATCTTTAAACCTACTTGGTCCTAGTAGCTATAAATATACGGAGTATATCATGCCCCCTTTAAATCTCCATGTGTACGGAGTACAATTATAGCAATTCCCCGCTCTTGATTTTTATACACATCCACAGTACGGAGTAACCAAATATGAACGGTTCGTGGATCATGTGGAGGATATATTTATACGGAGTATGGAGTATTGTAGATTGTTTTGCAAGTCCAATATTTAGATCCGAGGCATTTGCGACTCCCAATTTTAAACACATCCGGTCACCTAAGGTGATCTCCTTGGGATATCACGAATGAAATGCTCTGTGCGACTTGTCAACGTCAACTTGACTTTGTGACGGCCGATTAACCGCGTACTGTTGGACAAGGTCACGGATGACTACAACACAGTTGCATCGGAGGATTCAGTTTCCAACCGAGCCCGTAATTGGCTTATCTGCTGTTCCAGGGCTCGCATTTCGACTGTTGTACTGGCCAAATCCGGCACCTGATTATCTATCGCATTTGCGAAAGAGTCTTGCGCCCTGCGTAGCGACTGGGGGACCAATATTCCATACCAATGAATTGGGTCGGCAGAACGGAACTTCTTAGAGACGGGCTTGGGTTTTTCGACAGGGGTAGTCTCCGTTTCTGCATGGTCAGATGGTTCCGAGCTAGCCGCCTCGGCCGGGCGAGTTTCCTCGGCCTCAAGATGTCCACCGAGGACCGGAGAAGATGCCTTGGTTTCGTTGTTCCCATCCTCCTCCTCTGGTGGATGACTAGGTGTGGTCTTGACGGAGAATGTGTATTCAGAATCAGGTAGCTCAGTGAGATCCTCTTCATCTTGCGGATCGTTCGTGGATTGCTCCGTGTTTCGTTCGGATTGGATTGATCTGTCAATTTCGGCCAGTTAACAAGCGTCAATAATCAATGACAGCCAGCGGGTGAAGTTACATCTTCCTCGTCGCTTTCATGCGCCCATCATAATAATCAGGACCATAACGACGGCCAGGACTGGAGAAATTGGCCTGGGCGAGAGCAAAAAACCCCTACGTTGTCTCAGCATATTTCATGAACCGTGATTAACAAAGTCATACCGACGACAGCTGTTCTGCCAAGCTTGAATGTAATTTCTGCTGCCGATCAAGTAGGTGCAAGTATTTCTCAAGAAGTGTATCCAAACATTGGACCGAATCCTCCAAAGCCACCGGCTTCGCCTTCACTTCAGGTGCCTCCGAGCCCGGTCGCGACGCTGGTGGCGTGGGTATTTGAGACATGGAGAAAAAGACCAAAGGTCAATCAAGCAGAAATGAAATACCAATATCTGCAAAGTCGAGTTGTGGATTCGAATGCAATAAAATCCACAAGCTTGAGATACAGAAGAAACGTGGAGCAAAGGAGCTCGGCCCCGGTAACTCCGTCATTCGTCTCCGAACGCAAAAGAATTTCCCACTTCTGCGCTTCTTATCATCTCTTGCATACTTCAACCCACTGCGTCTCTTCTCTTTTAAGAGACTGTGTTACGAGATATCAAACCCATCGATTCCCGTGTGACTTAATTTCCCCGGATCTTTGGTTCTTGCAAGATTGAACCGCCACCTCCGATTGCGTCTTTGATACGAGTCATTGCGCCCAACGTATGTGAACTACATTTTGGTATCTCGACCATTGCAATCCAAGCCATCACTCTAACACAGCGGCTCTTAGAATAATCTTTGCCGCCGCAGCCCCGTGTCGACCGCGCGACCAAGGCTTCAGTGATAACCTGGGGTTGACCAAACAAGCGTCCCGCACTCCCCATCTTCGGCTTTTTGACTCTTATTACCTTCTGAATACTCTCCATACTGCTATCATAACTTCGGCTATCATGTCTGTCGCGCCCTTGCATCCTCAGACTGCCTTCCAGGCTCGATCTTTGGTATGTCCTTCTGGCTCTATAAGCGCTTCGACCTCGTGCCTTCATCCTCAACACGTCAAACTAACCGGTGTCTTTCTCTTTTTCTTAGTTCCGCTCCCTTCTGCGCTATTCCGGACAGTTTTCCAACTACAACTTCCGCGAATATGCTCGCCGGAAGACAAGGGATTCGTTCCGCGAGCACCAAAACACCACAGAGGAACGCCGGGTACAGGAACTGATCCAGGAGGGGCTTCAAAGCTTACGCTTGTTGAAGGTCAGTAGTATTACATGGCTTTTTGGGAAGGTGAAACTCGATCGATAGCAGATATAGAGGATCCATTTTCAACCGCCCGTATTGAAAGTCGACGAGTCTCACCTTACAACAATGCCCTACAAGTCATTGATGAATCCAACTCTGGGGGATAATTATACTGACATAACCACAGAGACAAACGGTCATCAGCCAGTTCTACCAGTTGGATAAGTTGGTGGTGGAAGGCCAGAAGACTGTAAGTCCTACCTTGGCTTAGGACCTTGCTCCAGGATTCAATCTCACATTGTTATCTTTGAAGGGAAAGGAGACCGGGGACCATGGAGGCATTGTTCGCCAGAAGGACACTGGGTAAGCCATTTAATTGAAGCTCCATGTCCAACTTTCTTTTTTTGCATGCACTAACCTGTAGTAGTTGGGATTAATCCTTGAAGCTCGGATGGAAACCTGTAACTATTCCATTTTTTTTGTTTCGATAACTTGCCAATGGTGGACTAATTAAAACACCTGCTCATTTTCTGTATTTATACACTCAGCGCTGGAGCTACAGCTGTAGCTATATTTTATCAACCAGAAACACTCCATTCTACTCCATTCTACTCCATTCCACTCCTGAGTTACAATATGCATCCTAATGAGTTGAGCTGCATTTATTTCTATCAATTGAGAGATATTATTCGCAATGTAGATGGCTGCTATACCAAGATGTTGCATTGATGGTCAATAAATATGTATCACGTGATGTCTCTTTACGGTCTTGTAGCATCGCAACGCGACGGGGTTGCACTGCTCCGCTACCATCACCCAATCCACCACATCCCGCCAAAGAATCCTCCCCGGGAGGTCCCCACAAGCACATTACAAGCTTCCTGGTCCGGCGCACTTGTATTTGAGTCAACACAGGGGCATCTACCATGCCTTCCACGGTACGTTTCAACTTGCCCCCGGTGTGATCTATCTTATTTGGCCCCCGACATGGTTGCTTTACACACATGCCCATTCCAGATATACTAGATCTTGAAATTCCTGGATTAGCTGGCTAAAATCTATCACAGTTCAGAGCCTCGCGCTCAGGGCGACACCTCGACGGTGCCCCAAACCGCACCCGAACTGGCCAAATCGATCACGATGTCTTTGAAGGATTACCAGTGCGTCGCTGGTCCCGACAGCAGCACACCTTCTCTCAAGCGCCCAAGCCTGATGACTCAGAATTCGGCGTTCAAGGCCCAGGCGGAGGACCAACCCTACCAGAGCTCCCCATGCCAAGAGACAGCCAACTCTTGCCTCCAATCAGTCGCGCACTCCTTCGAGCAGCCCGTGCCGGATGTATCCATATCCGCCAGGGCAGTCGAGCAGCCGATGATGAGGAGAAAAGCGTGGCCGATGCGGAAGACTCGGGCTCGGGATCTCATACGGCTGATCGGAGCTTCACAACTCGCAAATGGATGACGCTTCCCAAGCACCTTGAGCCTGCGGAGGTAGAGTTTCTAGCAAAGAGGCGCCCTGGTCTTTCATCCCTTTATGGCGCCACTGCTGGCACAGATGGGTCGGCTTCTGGGCCCATGAGGAGGACGAAATTCCAAAAAGTTGATCCCGAAACAGGTAACATTTCTATCTACGAGGCGTGGGTGCCAGAGGGTCATCGCATTGAAGGAGAGATTACTGGCGACTTGCAGACGATTGCCGAGCAGAGCCAAGTGCCCGTGAAGCCTGAGGCGCCTGCACCCGGAACAGTCGTCGAGGGGGTCGGCATTGTCAATGCCGAGGGTGTTGTTGTTGCGGAGGCTGGATCAGCAGCTGTAATGACACCTCCAAAGCGACGTCCGCCTCCACCTAAGCGAAAGGGCAAAGGCATTGGAAAGGGCCGTAAGAAGAAGGTCATGTTTGCCCCTGGGGAAGGGGCTGATGCCGCAACAGTACACGGAGTTGGCCCTGCAAATGGCAGTGGGGATGGTAGCGTCAAGAGAGAAGGCCAGCAGGATGCCTCGCAGATGTCCATTGACCAGGCTGGCCAAGACGAAGACGATGAAGACGGCGACGAGGGCGATGAGAGTGACGATGGTGACGATTCCATGTTAGATGCCAAGACCCCCGATACCCCCCCAGCCTCTGTCTGGCACAGAGTTTGTGGATCAGCCTTCAGCCGAAACCCCCGCTGAGCAGTCAGTTGATGTCGACATGTCAGATGCCGTTCCTGAGAACCAACCTCCTGCCCCCGAACAGGAGAAGGAAACCCAGCCCGAGAAGACCTCAGAGGTGGATTTCGCCCCTGTGGCCGCCAATGTTCCTTCAGAGAATGCTGAGGTCACCGATTCAAATGACAAGACTCCCACCTCTCCCGCTGGACCTGCCGTAACGACAAGTGAACCCACCGAGCTTCCAGCTGCAGTTGGTGAAACCCAAAGCTCAGATACCAAGGTGCAAGGAGAAGAGGAAGCCACAAAGCCCACGGCTGACCTTGCACCGAAGGAAGACCTTGGTCTCCCAAGCCAGCAAGAAAACAGGACCTCCCTGTCACCTGTCAGCCTCGAAAAATCCCTAGAACCCACAGTAGTGCGTGAGCATTTAGAACCCGAGCACACCGCAGAATCGACCGATGTCTTGGAAGATACCCAACAGATTTCAAGCGAGTCAGTTTCCCACCCTGACACACAAGAACAGACCTCGATAGCTACCGAGCGCGAACAACCAAATCCCTCTGATGCTCCCGGGCCCAGTCTACACCCAGAAGAAGCAAAAGACGTCGAGATGGGAGATGCCCCGGTACCAGAGCAAAGCCAAGGGCTAGATACCCAGTCTCCCGCGAAACCAGACTTGTCTCAAACACCACCAACTGCAGAGGATCCACAGTCCCAGCCCACTGCCGAGGAGCCCACTACAGCTGCTCCCGCGGACTCCAGTCTACCAGAAAAATCATCTCCCACCGCAGATGAAAAGACAGAAGCGGCAACCGAAACAAGTGTCCCTGATCAAAGTGCCGCCGTTGAAGCAGAGCTGCCGGAAGATTCTCGGTCTAGCGAACCAAAGGAGGACAAACTCGAGAAGCTCCCAGATACGACCCCACAGACTGGTCCGTCTGAGTCTACATGAACCATATGCGAGGTTTCATTATCTGCGGCCACCTAATGTACAATGAATGGCATTGGTTTTGTTTATTGCCCTCTTGCTGTGGGCTTTAAGTTTGTGAATAGGCGTATGGTTTCTGGGATCATGGATCGTCGTGCATCATATTGTAGGACTACGTATTTAGTTTTATTCTTCAATTGGAACTTTTTTCTTGAACTCACTCTGTTGACTTATGCTTCCCTCTATTCAACGGGCGTTCATCTTAGGGATACTAGACACGAAGCTACCAACTACGGTATGCACACAGGGATGCGAAGAAAGTAGCAAGTTTGTTTCTTAATATGACAAATTCAGCAAAGGGAGTTGGTTAACCCAGTTCAAAGCAAAGTTCCACTCTGTACAATGGTTTCTTGAAAAGAAAAAGAGAAAAGAAAATTCACCAAGCAAGTTGCTGGATATCCTTCGAGATCTGCCATCCATGCGCCAACGCAACTCTTCTGTAGGCTTCCACGGCCTCACCCACAGAATAGTCACAGGAATTTGTGGTTAGATTCAGACGGGCAGGTCTTGGCTCGGTATTGGTAATAGCCATGCGAACCTGCAACAACACACTCTCAATCGAAGTCGTCGGTAGCCAGCCCGAGTGTGTAAGCAGTTCCATGCACATAGACCCACCGGCGGTAACGTGGCCGCCGCCTCCAGCGGCGAACTCTAGGAAACGAGGGCGGATCACCCGCACAAGAGGTGGATCCATGGGGAACTGTGGGGGAAAGCGGAGCTCCAGGACGACACTCTTTTTGTTGATGGTTTTAAGGTCTTTGGCTAGTGGGAGGGACGGATCAAACGTGTGTAGCTCCACAACCCATTGGTAAACTGTTGTGATCAAGTCAGGGTCGACATACCATCCGAGTTCGTGGAGTGGCACTCGCTTCTGGATTTTAATAGTAGCCTGGAGATGTTTTTGTAGGACTTTTGTGGCCGAGGTTGTCGCAAACTGGGGTGAAGCAAGCGTAGGCAAAGTACTGTTCTGTAGAGTTCCGGGTTGGAAATCGGATTTCAGGCCAGGTTCTGGGATAGCCCCTTCTTGCATGCTGTGAGCTGGGGGACTTTCGGACATTTCATCGTCAGATAAAAGAATGCTGAGATCCTCCATGGTCGTCTTAATGCTGACGTTGTCGTCGTCATCGCCGTCATGTTGTTCAGTATTTTCGACTGAATATCTGCGTCTCTTTGGTGATGGCGCAAGGCCTGCAGGTTCTGTTTTTCCAGCAGTACCAAGATATTTCCCTCGTTGGCCGCTAAATATTGAGACGGGGATTTTGATCGATGTTCCATCGGGACCCAAAGCCACATAACGCTGATCTTGTTTGTATGTAAGTCCTTCATCCTTTTTGCAAGATGACGGCTGGAATTGTGAGCTCTTTTGCATAGTCTTATATGCATATCCACCTGTTCTCTCTGCCATCCAAGGTACATTGAAATCTTGGAGCTTGACGAAAAGATACCTTGGTTGGATCCAATCCAAGTGTTGCACGACGTAGTGTGGCCTGTGGTTCACAAAACTAAGGGGAGCATTGACTACCTCATTCAGAGAAATCACCGTCGAGAGCTTCAGTCGAGTCTCGGACCATTTGTGAGGAATATGTGTGCCTGAATATCCCAATGATATATGGAAGTGGTTCGACATGTAAACGCCATGACCACAGGCGCGGCCATGGAGAATTTGCTTGAAGTGAAAACCCTCACGTAGAATACTGTGCCAGTTATTCACAGGACTACCATGCCAAGCGAATATCGTAGGATGATTTGGGTTCTGGGCCAAGGAATTGGAATTGACCGCGTCGATAAAGCGCTGCTCTTTGTCGGCAGCACCTTGAACAAGTCTGAATTGAATATAACCGCCCATTCCAACTACCCGATGCCGAGGCTCATCATCTTGTTTGATGAAAGATCGATTCGAGGCAACAACCCAGCGTAAAAGGTCCAATCCAGCAGGAGATATGACGTCTCTCCATGATGAAAGAAGTTTGCCCCTTTCGTGGCTTCCGATGAAGCCCTTCATCTCATCGATACTAGGGAGCATACCCAGTAGACAAGAAATGATCTGCTGTTTTTGCACGGGTTCCAAATCGTCCAGATTAGTGTCGTAAACAACAAGTCTCACTTCCCCGGACGGAACTTGCAGGTCTTTTGGCTGCAATTGATGACCTTTACTGATCGGAGATGAGATGCGAATATGGTTTGAGGTCTCACCGACGAGTTCAATGCGACAGTGCCATTCTTCTTGCTTTGGGGCTGTAATAATGATTACAATCCAATCACCCACTTTGACCGGAGCCGGCTGATTTAACCGAATTTCAATATTGATTGCATCATCAAATTGCCCAGTATGATATGTAGTAAGATCTGGGTTTTTTTGAGGGAGCAATTTCTCGGGTACACGCAGCCGAAGACCAGTCGGGAAGTCTTCAAGTAGGCCCGCTGAAGCCCTCGAGTATGCCAGGCTGGTCAACAAGTCAACGACAAAGGGTTGGGACCGAATCTCATATTCAAGACTTGGGCCCAAACCCAGCGCCATGTATTGATACAGGCACAACGCGTTGGAGCAGACATAAGGCTTCAGTGACTCGAAAGTATCACCAGTCTTACAGTGACAAACCATGCAGAATTCTGTACACTTGATAAAATGCCGCAAGGTAAACTGCATAGCAAGAAGAGGCAAAGACATATTGGAGATATTGCGATCTGGTTCGGTCATGTAGTCAGCCACAAGGATTTCTGGCATCGAAGTGGCCCAACTGTCCAGCTGATAGTACTCCCCGGGAGAGACATCAGCGCCGAGATAGATTCTTCCTTGGTTGGTCTGGAAGAAAAGCTCTGCCCCTGTCCATGAAAACCCATGTTTCAGCCGAAGATTGATAATCCCAAGTAGTCGCTCTCCGAGAAGTGAATTGAGCGACTTCCCAATGAACAGCGGCCTGAGAAAATGACCATACATTGTTTTGTCTGAAGTTGTACTTTCGTATTTCGTCTGCTGATTCTGTGACCCTTGTATGGCTTCCATGGCGTGTTGAAAAGATGGCTTATATGAGTCACAGAGGCCAACATGCATATGAATCGGGGCGTCCTTCAGATCACCTGCTGTCTCGATAATTGTTTGGAGATCAAGGTAAGTCGGCCGATAACAGATTAGCAAAACCAAATACTCCGAGGGTTTGACGGCCCAAGCATTCATAGCTTCCTCAGAAATGCCAAGCTTGGAAATGCGGCAAGACACTGACACAATGATGGTGCCATATTTTGACCCAAGGTATCCCACTTTGAATCCCGCGTTCTTAGCCGCACGAAGGTCACGGCGAATCTTCTTTCGCAGTTCAGCCTCACTTTGAGCGGGCATGAATGTTCCGTTTGCATCATCAGACTGCCAGTCAGATTCCGTGTCACTGAGCGCCGAGTCATTGTCGTTGAAGTCATAAGTGCCCGGGTCCTGACTGGATGTTGAATCAGGATCAACAATAGAGTTGGTGATAATGTTCTCTATGTTGCTCAACAATTTGTGAATGGTTAAACCTGTGAAACAGGGCATTGTATTTTCCAGGGAGGAGGTGACTGCCTTAGGACAGTCCTCGGATGACGAAAAGGCCAGAAAGCCATGGTTCTTGGGATAATCGTGAGAGTCTGTGTGTGATTCAGCCAAATATTAGCGCCTTTCCACTATTAGTTAGAGTTATTTCTTACCTGAAACTATGGCCTGGAGATCAAGGGTGAGTCCTGCGGCGGGTGCTGCGAATGTGAAGGAAATTGATCCATCGTAGTCCCCTATTCTGATATTCGAGATACAGGGGAATCGGCCAGGAACTGCCGCATCTGTGAGATCTCGCAAAAACTCTTTTCGAGGCATGATAATATTTGATTGTATTGAAAGCTTGAAAAGAAGTAGAAGAGAAGAAATAATGAGACGCGAAAGTCGGTGTCAAAGAATCCACCCTGGCAGTGTGAAGTGTCTCAAGTGTATCAATAGAGGGAAGATGACAAGTAAGAAAAGAAGGTAGAAAACAAGTGAAGAACATAGACTAGAGAGACAATAGAAAAGGAAAAAGGAAATAATGTGGAAGCCAAATGGAAAACCATCTACAACATACCTAAGCAACTAGGCAGCCTCAGGCCCCCAAAGTGGAATAGCCCCACTTGCCCGGGTGCCGTACACTAAACGTTATCTAATCGTGTCGATCAACACCATTCTTGGCATCGGGTCCACTTTTTATATACTTCGTACTTTGTAGTTAGTTAACTACATAGTTATACATACATGTAGGTACCTAGCTATGTCCAACTTCATTGATACACATGCAAATCTCACACAGAGCTAAGCTGACCGTCCAAACTTCAAAAGAAAATCAAGAAAGGTCTGCAATGGTCGGTCAGCAAGCGCCATGTAGTGTTGATGTAAAGGACTACTCAGTCTCGTCCATCGATGGCCATTCCATTGAAGTCGCTTATAAGCAAAGTCATCGTCAAATGCCGGCAAAATTCCCGATTTGGCTCATAAAAACTCCTTCTACTGAGATTAATGTCAATGTTTTAGAAACGCCAATGACTAAAAACAGAGTGCTCATGGTTTGATTATATATATACAAAGCATGTGCAGTCCGACCAGGAAGCTGCATCTTGCATGCCAACTATAAATAAAAGAAGTAAAATTTTGCATTCGAGGAAGCGCTTGCAAATATTCTCCATTAGAAATTTTCGTAGCGGGGACTTGCAACGTGCAGCCAAAGCAGAGCGAGTGCCATTTTGAGTTATGATTCTAGTATATCGGTGCATGAAAGAGCCCAAGTGCTTGCGTCATATTCACGTAACAAATAGAAAAATGGCTTACTATAACCCTATTTATGTGACCTAGGAATCTTACAGACCATAGGCTTGGAGACTGATCCTTGACTCCGGTACTCGGACTATTCAACGGGCGTCAATAAATCAATAAATCAATAAATCACTAAATGATACATGATTCTTGTCTGTCACAAGAAGAATACTAGTGGATTTATGAGTTTGACATTCAATTTTAAATGCAATGTACATGCTACTTCAAAGCTGATGTGTGTATATTTATAAAGGAACTGTATCCTATCTTCAGTTGGCCCATTTCAAATCAAGTTCTCAAAAGAAGGATATTATCCACTTGCCCATACCGAAGTTAATTTCAAGACACTCAAGCAATACAAATCACTCTGCAAAATACTATCGCAGACTCGATATGAGGTTGGATTTGTTACTCGATGCGGATCTTACCACCTCCGGGAAATGCCTGTGAAAGTCACGTGCAAGACAAACACGACAAACATCCATCAATTACCAACAGGTTCAAGGCTTCATCAATTTCCGACCTTTTCGGTAATTTAATCATGTTGCCTCCTCGAAACGCTATCGGTCGAATACCGAGTCACATCCGACTGACCCATCTACCTCGGATTTCTGGTCCTAACGTACATCTCCGACCGTTCACCCACCGCACACGCCTACTTCTTCTTTCTCCGGCGCCGGGTCGCCCTCAACTACCCTTTCTATCCCCTCTTGCGCCGACCCGTCCACTTCCACCTCTGTCAATCCATCTCCGCCAGCACTTTGGTCGTTTGATATCTACAGAAAGCCGCGAGCATTACAAGCGAAGGGTATCTCGAGGTGTCAAGATTGGCCTATCGGTGTCGGCCATCCTTGTCTTATTCTCCGCGATACAACTCGGCATCTACCAAGAAAACATTGAGCACTCATGGCCCACCCCACCGGAATGGTCCTGGAAAAGCCGCTGGTGCCTGCGATCCGCACAGGCACTGCAGAATCCGGAGCAAATCGGCAAGCTAATGACGAATTGGCCCATGGTTGCTGGATATCTTCGTGAGCTGCTGGAGCGTTTGGAGAACCTAGAGGGAGAGGGAAAAGGTCTCATTGAACAAGATGAGGGTGGGTTTCTGGTAGAAGGCGTCGGCCGCACTGGATTCGATGTCTCCGCAAAGAGTGAGCCTTGGCGCCGTGGATATTTTCAGGCCCTGATGGGCGCTGCCAAGGCTGCTGAGAACTTGGACGGCTGGTTGACAGATCGCAAGCAGAAGATATCTGCGCCTGCGGAATACGTTGTTGGACCCTCAAACCCTCGACCAAAGCCCATGCCCGCTGGCCAGAAGAAGGTCCCACAGGAAGAGGACTGTGAGCAGGCGTCTCCGTCTCCAGAGCGATTCTACATGAAGGTTTTGACAACCAAGGGCTTTGACACAGGGCAGAAACTTGATGCTGCCTTGGCCTATGCCGATTGGCTTGATTTCAAAGGCTTGGGCCTTACAGCGGGTGACATGTATAAGTGGGCATTGGACATTGCTGCCAGTGGGCTGGAAGGGGATGCCAGCAAGATTGTGGATTTGAAGAACGGCATCTTGAAAAACAATGGCGGAGACCTACCTTCAGAAAACATTCTCCGTGTCTCCACAGCTCTCGCCGTCCACAACGCCCGTCAAGGCAACCTTCCAACAGCTTTATCCCTCTTCACATCTGTTCTCAAAGCCCGACGCAGCCTCCCTCTATCATCAGACTCTGATATGGCTTCCTCCTTTCCAACCCTGCCTAAATCAAACAACGATCCATTCGCCTCTCTCTTCAAATCGCTCAGAAATGTCCTCATTCCCGTGGAGTATCCAGAACCCCCCCCCATCAGGCGACGAACCCCCACGACGCACCACGGCATCCGCCTGTGAAGAAGCAGGATTGATGACCTACATTGGTGAGATATTGTACGCCTCCTCATCAAAGGAATCTGGCCTTGCCTGGACGCGCGATGCAGTCGATATGGCCGAGTCCACAATGCTCGACCTCGGCAATTCGGCCGACCGCACTGCTCGAACTCGCTGCGCACAGTGCCTAAAGGTTGGGCTAGAGAATTGGAAAACCATGATCTCTTCCCTTGTCATCCGTGCCCGGAAAGAGGAGCAGGAGAGTAGGGATCAAGCTAAGGGTGCTTGGTTTGGCGGCGAGCGCCGCGCAGAGGCAAAGAGTCTCGATCGTCGACGCTGGGAGGCTGAAGACGCTATCCTGGAGGATCGAATTCGTCGCCTCTTCCCTCTCCTCGAAGGTGAGTCTGGACTGGACCTTCTCGCTCCAAACAGCTCTTTGTTTGTGTAGTTTTATTCTCTGTTTATATACCTGGATATTTGTTGGCGGGGGTTGGGGTTATATATGTACTTCTAGACACGTATAGATTACGTTCGCCATGGCTGTCAATTCGTGCTATTCAATTAAATTCCCACGGTATACCGAACCCTCTTGAGCATTACAAACCTCTCTTCAGCCCAGGGAGGTACTCAAATCGACCTTAAACAATACCGACTTACTACGTATGATGCAAGTGCGCCTTTCCTCCAGGATTGTCATTGACTGTGGACGAACCAACTCGACTAGTGTATTAGTCTATGCCACAAAGAGACAATCCATTTTTATTCCGTCTGTGAATCTCGTCTTGTCGTCATGGTCCCTTTCATGTGGTCGATTGGCTTCGTGCCACAGTTTCTCCATGACAAGAAATATTCTTTAATATCCATAGGACATGATTCTAAGCCATTTAAAGCACTTGGGAATCGGCCGAGACGTGTCTTCTTCAAGGAGCCTAGTCGCAGTATCTACTTAGAGGGATGGGCCACTACGATCATTAGCCGACGCAACCCCGGAAGCATAGGTTTCGAGACAGTAGTTATAAGAATGATCCAAAAAGAGACAAAAGAAATAGCAGCAAGAATGAATGTTGACTAGTACATAGTAAGCTTCGCCTCATTCTGTCAACTGGACCTTCAGCTCCCCAAGCATTTGACTGTGTTACTACCATAGAACGACAGTGTGGTATATGTACATGGAAAAGCCAGCCCTGACACACACTCAATGATTTCCTGGCGGGATTCGAAGGGGAGTCTCGAGTATATGGGAGTATTGCGAGCGACCTAATTTAGGTAGCCTTGTCCTTGTTGTGGTAGTTGACATCGGAGTTCCAGCTGTAGGTCATGAGTTAGTCCTCGTTTTTCAGGGGGTGGCATGGTGATGAGAGAATGGCATGCGGTCCATTCGAAAGCGGATCATCCACTTAAGATTGCAGCAACTGCTGTTCTGCAAACGATGCATAGTCGGGGAATTTAGAACTCACAAGATGGTCTATTCCAGATACAGATTAGCTTTAGTCTTCGGCACATAGCATAATTGGATTCACATACCTTATCGCCGTCTCCCCAGGGGAAGTTCTTCACACGAATGTTCTGGTAAGGGTACTCGGTACGCTCCTCGAGCGGGGCCATGTGCTCCCAGTGCTCCCAGTGCTCGGACCAGAGGTTGTAGGCGTTGAGACCGCCACCAATGAGGCAGGGAATCACGGCACTGTAAAGTGATTAGATTTTTTCCTGTTGGCGAGGACACCACATCAAATGTTGACATTGATTGGAAACGTACAAGATGGACAGCTTGCGCCAGAGGTCTGTACAATCATTGGGTTAGTAACGGATATTGTCTAAGGCCAATTGAAATGCGGCATAGTCAATTGAGTTCAGTTATGGTGGTACGTACCACTGGTAGAGGCAGCATGGTGCTTGACGGCAGCTCTCTCGCGGTTGAATTCGTTGTCGACGATCCAAGAAGGCTTGGCCTCGGCGCTGTTGAAACGGCGCTGGATGGTGGAGCGGACCGGAGCGGAACGCATCTGCTGCGAAACACGCTGAGAAAGGCGACCAAGGTTGCGCTGAGGGAACATGGTGGTTGATGCTAAGGAGATCTTTTGGTGGTTGAGGTCAAAAGTGGTGCGATGAGGTCCAAAGCCGCCTTTAGCGTATCCCCGTGATCTCCCGGATTATGTAACCTGATGTCATGAAGCCTGATATATCAGGCCAGAATTAATATACACCACGTGACTGCTATGCGATATGTATGGACGTCGGGATGCACACTACTTCTGCAACCCGTGACCTAGATTAAAAAACTAGAGGAGGCTCTGGTCCTTGTTTGACTCGGATTTTCTATTTGTATCTCGTCCTCTTTCGATCATTTACATCGCAGGAAATGTTGCCTTGTCCCCTAATACACTAGCGTCCAACATGGGATTCCGCATCACCACATGGAACGGTAAGTTCAATCTGAAGAGTTGGGGGCAATTGAAGCTATGAATATATGCCAACCTTGCATCACTCTATAGTCAATGGTATACGGTATGAGAGAAGCCCGCTATTTGACCCTGTTCAACACTAATATAACAAAAAGAAACCCGTTCTCCTATGAGCCATGGAGAGGAACGCGCACATTCGAGGTAAGAGTGTATCCTTCCATTTCCCAAGTATATCGAGCTTATTTGGCCCAAAGTCCATGTTTGATATACTGGAGGCAGATATTGTAATTCTCCAAGAGGCCAAGATCCAGCGCAAAGACCTTCGCGATGACATGGTCTTGGTTCCAGGATGGGACTGTTATTTTAGTCTCCCTCGAGTCAAAAAAGGCAAGCTACTATCTCGGAACTATATATACAGAGAATTAACAACTTTTAGGATACTCGGGTGTTGTGATTTACACGCGCAATGCCACATGTTCTCCAATAAGGGCAGAAGAGGGCATTACTGGAGTGCTCTGTCCACCGAAATCCTCAACATCTTTCCGCGATCTTCCAGAAGAGCAGCAGGTTGGTGGATATCCAACATCAGATCAGCTTTCCAGACCCGCTATGAATTCTGAAGGGCCCGACTCAGAAGAAGAGCAGGAGGATGTGAGCTCGATGCCCGATACCACAATAGATGCATCAACCCTCGACTCCGAAGGGCGGTGCGTCATTCTGGAGTTTCCTGCATTTGTCCTCATTGGTGTCTATTGCCCTGCTTATCGGGATGAGACCCGGGACACCTTTCGCATGGACTTTCTCAATGTCCTAGATTCTCGAATCCGCAACCTGACTGCGCTGGGGAAGAATGTGGTCGTGGCTGGAGATATCAACATTTCGAAGCAGGGCATCGATGCCGCCCACGGAATCGAGGCTATACGAAAAGGCACGATGACAGAGGACGAATTTATATCCGCCCCTTCTCGACGTCTATTCAACCACTTGATATCAGATGGCGTTATTATTGGTGAACGTGACGAAGGCAGGGAAAATCCTGTCCTCTTCGATGTCTGCAGGTCATTTCATCCAGATCGTACAGGCATGTATACATGCTGGGACCAGAAACTTAATGCTCGACCAGGGAATTACGGCTCAAGGATCGACTATGTGTTGTGCAGCTTGGGTATGCAGAACTGGTTCTCCGACTCAAACATTCAAGAGGGATTGATGGTACAGACTTCTCTCCTTTGTGTTGAATCATTAATTAACTGCTTTATAGGGATCAGACCATTGTCCTGTATATGCTGTCATCAAGGAGTTTGTGAATCAGCCCGAAGGTGAAGTAAACATTCGGGATATTCTCAACCCACCGGGAATGTTTAAGTGTGGCAAGCGTCAACAGGATTACTCAAACGAGTGTCCATTGCCCGCTTCGGGGCGTTTACTCCCCGAATTCGACGTTGATAAGCGCAGAAGCATCAAGGATATGTTCGCTCGCAAACCAGCCAGCATTCCATCGGGGTCGGTAGAGCCGGCCGCTACACTGGCTAACATGCCTGCAACTCAAGTCACGGAATCTACAGCCACGCACACAACTTTCGGATCCACTGACTCTGCCCGAAATGGTTCTACACGTACCGCTGAGAGAAATCAAACCCCTCAGATTCTTTCCCGCAAACGCACCCAGCCTCTACCCGCCACATTCGCGAAACGCCCCAAGTCCACCGTATTGATGTCTCCCAGGGCCTCTACGGCAGGGCAAAAGACATTAACAGGCTTTTTCAGGCCAAAATCTGTCTATGCACATGAAGCTACCCGGTCACCTATGGCTTCACCAGGACCCCCGACACCATCACTTAACCGCACACCATCAGAAACCCCACAAGGGCAGGAGAAAGCTTTAAAAATCAATCCGCAACCTCCGAGGTCCCAAGAAGATATCATACGGAAAGAAGCTGACACTTCTACCGAATGGCCGACGGCCAGCAAGTTTGTTGACGACACAATAATTGACCCGATTGTCAGCAAGGAGGATTGGTCAAAACTGTTTACCAAGAAGCCCGTTCCACCGTGTGATGGACACCAAGAGCCGTGTATCAGCTTGACGACGAAGAAACCCGGAATGAATCGCGGTCGCTCTTTTTGGATTTGTCCCCGGCCATTGGGACCCAGCGGAGAGAAGGAAAAGGGTACGCAATGGCGGTGTCCCACTTTCATCTGGGCCAGTGACTGGAACTCACCGGTTGCGACGCAAGAGCAATAAATACATGTCCTAGGAAAGGGATATCGCTCGGTAGTCAACAAACTTGCTCAATAACACAGTCTAGTATCAATTTTCAATTATTATGCCCGATTTCTATATGCTTACCGTAGATTTAATGGCCTTCATTGGATTCCGAGAGTCCCGGCCAATCCAAATATGCGACGTTCGAAGGCTAGACGTACGCATGCATAGCTATTAGATAGGCTTCCAACGCTCTGAAGTCTTCTTGTCCTAGCAAATCACCCCCAGCAACGAGTAAGATGCTCTGTAATGCTACGTATTTAAGAGGGCTTCATGTACCCAAATAGCAGTATGCAGCAGGCAAGTAATAGCCCAAATTTCACCAAAGACTTCTAGACCTTTCCAAGATTGGCTGCCTGAGGTTTGAAGTACTCGGCGTTCGCCATGCCATTTCTCGCCTAGTTCCATTTTTTTCCCTTTCTTTTTTATTGGCTGCCAGTTTCTTTGTTCTTTTTATTGTTGTTTACATCTCAGTTGGTGATGGTTTCCTTGATTGAATCTCTTTGTTTGAGTTCTTTGTTCGGTTTCTTTGTTCAATATTATTATATTAGTCGGACACTCGTTTGCGCGCTTTGTTTACTTTCCTGTTGCTATAGGGATGTTCAAGTAAAGATACATTTTGGATAGGTACGTTGTCGACACTCTTATGGATGAAATTGTGTCTTAGATTTCCTCCCATACTAATCATATTTTTTGATGCTACTTCGTAAAACCGAGACTCTCTATGCAATCAGAAATAGACTCTGAAACTACCTAGGTATTTTGTGTAAAGTTTGATATGTTTTAAGGTTGCACAGTTACCTGTGGGTGCGGGCGCTAACCCCCGGATCTGCAGTGCCACGTGGTGACGGCAGATCCACTTACCCGACCTACCCACATGTTATCCATCATAGAACAGATCTAGCACGGATCGAAATCATATTTTGATGGGGTATCATAGCATGTTAACTACAGGAATTATTGCATAGATACACTACATATTTATCAAATAATGTATAGTAACCGCTCTGAATGGTTGGTATATGCAGTAGTGTACGACCTGGTCGTCGAAAGGGCACTTGACGCCAAAGTGACTTACCCAGGTAGGCTTACCCCTCCATAATTGACTTTCTTTGTTCTAATGGTACTATTCCCAACAAAGAAATTCCTCACTAGGATGAGACCTTCTGATTGGTGTTGCCGCGCAAACAAAGAACACACATGTTTGTCACATGCCTCTGTGATTGGTGTTGCCGCTAAACAAAGAAACCACCCATCTCGTCACCAACCTTCACCTAGCTTATTCTGTAACTTCAGTCCCTGTATTTATTTACCTCCCACCTCGTTTCTTTTCTTCTTTCTTCCCTCTCCCCCCTCCACCCTGTTCTTCTTTTCTTTCACTCCACCCCCGAATTTTCTTTCTTACTGTACCCCAATAACAAGCACTACATCTTCTGCATGATGGCAAACTCGATCTTAGATCTCGTTGCTGACAACGCTCCGATGACTCCTGGTCGCATTATGGAGCTTCTTTGGGCAGATGCTGCCTCCCACCTTCCACAGACTGATGGTGAAGTCCTTCTGCCTCGCAACGTTGTTGATAACATGCTTGGCGCTGGCCATCTCAATGCAATGGCTATTCGTCTGGCGTAAGTACTGACCCTATGCCTACCTGGAAGATGTTATTAACAAGATAAAATAGATCTATGCTCAACAGGAAGGTTGACATCGTTGTGGATGAATCCATCAATGCCTACCGCATGATCCCTAAGGAAATCAAGGCCGAGAATGACGAGGACCTGTGGGCTGATGAGCATGATCTTGAGGTCGATGAGCACCTTTTGATCAGTACGTCTATTCTTACCACTCCCGACTCCAAGATTCCTGCTCGCCCTACCAAAGTTCCTCGCCCCCCAACTGCTTCATTCTTTACCGCCAAGCCAACCACAACCTGGTCAAGAACGCAAATCCCGGTGTCTCTAACAACGAAATTTGTGAGTTACCTCCAATTGTTCTTTCCTTGTTTTATTTCTAGCTAATCACTAAATCAGCTCGTATCCTTGGCGCCCGCTGGAACAATGAAAGCCCCGAAGTTCGCATGCAGTTCACCCGCCTGGCTGATGATTTGAAGCGTGAACACGCTATCAAGCACCCTGACTATCAGTATGCCCCTCGTCGTCCTTCCGATCGCAAACGCCGCGCTCCTCGTATCCGTACCAGCAACGGTGAACGCTACAACTTCAATGTCCCCAATGACGGATCTTTGATCGAAGTCGATGACATTTTCATGTCCGACCTGAGCAACGAAGGTCTTCTCTTCGGTCCCAATGGTGTTGAGCCACTTTCTGCCCCTTACAGCCACGGCGAGTGCATTCAGATGAGCGGTGAACTGGCTTCCGGTAACAGCCTTGCTTCCATGCAATACACCACCATACCATTCGAATCTGCCAACTCGGACATTCTCATGCCCACCGTGTTCTAATATGGCTCCTTCTCAATCTTGACTTGTCTCAGCGATACCTAATATGACCACCGCCCACGAATCATGATCAACAATTTCAATACTCTGTCTGTCTCCTCTCGCTGATCGGTCACCCACGAGCACTCACGGAACATTTTCACCCACAATTCATTCAGTCGCGACCTTTGTTTTTCACCCAAAACCCCAAAACCTCAACAAAAAGTTAAAAACAAAAACCTCAAAAAAAAAAAGTTATTTCCCTCCCCATATCGCACAATTCTCCTGTATTAGTAGCTGCTTCTTTCCGGCCGACTTGTTTCGGCCTTCCATTCTTTTGTTTCCGTTCATGACAAGTTCTCAGGAACTGAGCTGACTGGCTTTCTTTCCCACGGGGTTTTCCAGACGCTTTTTTCCTGCAACGTGAGCGTTTTTTTTAGTGTACTTTAACTTGCAATTCAATTAGTGGTTTGCTCAAACTGCCTTCTCTCTTGTAGTCTGTAGAATTGTAAATAGATATGTGGAAACGTGCCTGGAGAATACGGTCGCAGCTTTTTCCATCATGGGTATTCAGTAAAATCCCTCGACAACCAAAACAATCAACTGTTCCTCCAAATCCCATATTTTCCGGATTCCAAACCAGACATTCCCAACGCCTCACTTAGATTCTGTTTGGGTCTACATGTCACTTTAACCTCGAAGCTCCAACCACCCAGCGATGTCCAAATACTCGATTCTTTGTCTGCGTGCATGAGATGACGTCTCGATACTCTTTGTTGACACCCGCCGCTAGTCGGCTCTACCCGCGGATCGGCATGCACCCATCCATGGTTCCACCACGCAAGTGTGGAGCTAAAGCTTGGCATGCAGCCTCGAGCAGGGAACATGCCGGAGACGAGCCACGCATGTCCGACCGTGCGACCGTGCGCTCTAGAGACCTGTCTACTGGAGCTGAAACACGGATACAGATGCAGGGGAGTGGATCTATGGACTACAATGGTCCAGGGAACTAGGTAAGTTTCTTGTATTCGCTATGGGAAATCAAAACAATAAACTAACTACGAGGGTTGGGGAGAATGGCCCAGGCCGAAGAACGCAAACTGCGACACGGACGAAACAAAACTCCTTGAAATTTAGATGTGGAATATACACAGACAGCCAAAAGCGAAACACATGCGACGATTTCCCTAATCCTCCTGGTAAGAGATCTTGCGCATTTCGCCCAGACGCTGGCGGGCGCGAGCGAGACCGTTCTCGAGTTGGAGGATTTCGACCTTTTGGGACGATACACATTAGTATGGGGTGAATGGGATACAAAGGGGAAGGCGACGTCACATACCTGTTGCTCCATCTCGCGGACCTTGAACTCGTGCGAGCTCAGCTTTCCATAATCCTCGCCCTCGTCGCCGTCGCGGTTCTTCTCCTTGATAATGTCCTGCACCTGCCGCACGAGGGCACGACAAGCGGCACCAACAGCCTTGCTGGCGGTTTCTAGGCGATCCTGGTTCTTGCTCATGAATGTTGCCTTGACCCGACTGGCTGCGACAAGCTGGGCTGTGCTGGCTGCAACATCGTTGGAGGCGACAATGAGTTGCTCCGGGGAGTTGCGGCCCGAGATTACACCATCGGCAGTCTCGATCAATGTGTTGGTTGAAGAAGCTACTGCTTTGGCGGCAGAGATCAAACCCTCCGTCCAGCGGTTGTTCTTCTTGTAGAAGGCAGTGCGAGACGAGCTTCCACGGCCTTCGCGAACAATCTCCTGCTGTGTCTCTGTCGCGGCCTTGATCAGCTCCGAAATTGCGTTGGTGACGGCAATGGCGGCAGCAAGGATAACATCATTGATGCGCAGCTCGTAGGTTGAGTATCCGTCACGGGGCTTGTTCTTAAGTTTGGCCAGACGCTGGGCAGCTGCGTCAATGGCATCGGCGGCCTTGAGCAATTCCTGGTCGACAAGGTCACCGAGATCACCACTGGTGCTGATCTTGGTATTCTTAGGAGCGAACGAATCAACCAGCTTCGACAGCGCCTGCAGATCACGCTGGACTTCAAGGTTGTTGTTGATAACGACATCAGTCTTTTGCAGTGGTTCCAGACCTTCGAGACGGAACGACTGCAAGCCACGGAAGAACCGCACGGTCGCCTGAGCAGACTTGCGCGCAGCATTGACCAGGTGGTCGGAGCTCTTGTCATCGGTGGCAAAGCGGATGAGACCCTTGGTGTTGCTCAACACATCCGAGACGGATCCAGAGAAGATGGACACTGTCCGGATGATCTCAGCATGGGGACTGTTGGGGCCATCGGCAACAAAGTTGTTGAAAGCAGTTGAGAATTCGGTGGCAGAAGCCGACGCCTTTTCAATCTGCGAAAGGACATATGGAGGAGAGGCGTTTTGGTTACCGGCCTGCATGGACGAATCCAGTTCATACAGAGCATCGTCGACACGCTGCACACCAGTCTGGAGCACGGAGTCGATGATATCATTAATTTTCGCAACTGTACCGTGGAGCACAGTGTCAATCTGGCTGTCTAGCGCATGGTCGACATCGCCTTGGCTCTACAGTGGAACATGGTCAGTATGCAGACATCAAATGTTGTCAATATCACCACTTACCAGTCTCAGCTCCTCCAGTTCCTCAAGAGCCTGGTCCATACCAGCCTTATACACCTCAATCTCCTCATCCTTCTCGCGAAGAGCCAGGTCAAGGTCTTCCTGGCGGTCATTGTTGCGACTAGAATGTTCGTCCAATGCGCGTGTTTTAACCTATAAGGTCAGCATTAATCACAAACTTAAGCATGATGAACAGTTACTCACTCGAAGGGACTCTTCTAGGTCAGCCATCTCACGGTTATACTTGGACAGTAGGGACGAGATCTCGGTGCCCTTTGAGCGTTCTGCGTTTTCGGCACGTTCAAGAGCCATGCGAAGCTCGCGCTTGACCTTCTCCAGGTCGTCTTTGTTGGTTCCCGTCAAACGGTCACGGTCATGAAGAGCACGGTCACGTTCCCGAATCATGTCAGCCAGCTCCAAGTTCTTGGTCTTCAGCTCGCGCTCCAGCTTCTCTCGTCGGTCAATTGCCTCTTGCGCGGAGGCTGCCTTCAGCTTGAGGCTCTTTGTGGTCTGAAGAAGATCGAGGTGCTCTTGTCGAAGCTGTGAGTACAACTTGGCCAATGCCTCGTATTTGGATCGCCAAGTGTTCACCTGCTCCTGCAGGGATCGAATCTGATCGTCCTTTGAGGCATTCTGCAAGTTGAGGTTCGAGGTCAGGTGGTTCATCTGCTCCTCGACCTCTTTGACACGGCGGTCATATTGCTGCAGCATCAATTGATCACGCTCATACTGTGCGCGGGCGTTAAGGTTCTCCTGCTCCAGCTCAGCCAGCCGGCCTTGTGTGTGTGTCTGGTACTGGTCACGGAGAAGCTGCTCCTGTGCCAATCTCTGCTGTTCTGCCTGCAGACGCTGCTGTTCCTCGAAATCGTTCTGGGCTTGCTGTTGGGCGAGAAGTTGCTGGCGTTGTTGGTCCTCCCACTGCTGCTGCAAGCGTTGCTGCTCTGCCTCGTACTCTTCTTGCTGGCGTTTGGCCTCGTTTGTCCAGAAATCATTAATCGGCTCTGGTTCAGCAGCGACCTTCGGTGGTGGCGAGGGCTGGGCTTCCACTTCTTTCGCTGGTCGTCTGGGAAGAGCTGGGCGATCGTCATCTTCGGCAAGCAAGCTTGGCGGATCCTGTGGCAGCTTCGGGATGGTGATAAGACCTGTTAGGTAGCGCAGGTTGGAGCACTCATAGTAGAACCGAACAAGGCGGTGGTGCTGGGCATCATATCGGCCTCGGAGTGGCTCGAGGGCTTCGTCCTCTCCGGTGGCTACAAAAACATCAGTCAGCGGCTGTTGAAGCAAATCGAAAGACTAAGTGCAACATACTTGTGTGCATGGCTCGCAGCATGCTGGTGATGAACTTGTAGATGCCATAACTCTCCTGCACAAGTGGCACCAATGCCGAGATCCGACATTCATTGTTTGTGCCGGACTGGAAGTTCGAGAAGATGAGCTTTTGGAAGGAATCGATTTGATCTTGTAGAGCCATCAGATCGCTGATGGTCTCATAGCTATGTGACTGTCAGCACCTCTCTCCTTTGTCGCGAAAACCAGGTATGTACCCACCCTTCGTTCGGATCGTTAATCGACTTCAAACTAATGTACTCTTCATATTCAAACAAGCCTGCGACTGTCAGACACCCGCCTTTCACAGAACTGGTCAACCGCGAACGACATACCGTTGAATTCAGGGTGGTTGCGGTGGAAGTTCAATTTCGCCTCGAGGAAGAAGACGTACTCCCGAATGAGCGGCGCATATCCTATACAGAACTGTCATTACTCCGTCCATCACATGTGTTGCTACCTCTCGAGCAGAGAGCAATTGCGCAGCCGTCCTGCGTGGAATCCATACCTCGAACGCCGTCGCCTCCGACTCCTCGCATCAAACTATCAATCCAGTTGGAATGTTGCTGCGCCTCGCGGACAACCATTGGGTGGCCCTCCTGAAGAACCTTGTGTATCGTGATCAGGGCCTTGAACGTCTGGACCTCGTCGGCGAGGACGGGCTGCCTGTAAAGAACGAAGGTGCGTTAGCCATCTCGAAAACAACAGCCTTTTCCCATGCCTTCCGGGTATCTCGGAACGTACACTTTCATGCCAGCCCAGAAAGCCGCCGATGACTTGTGGTCCCACGTATAGACGATGCAGCTCCGCACATGTTTCCCTACAGGCGCGGGGGATGGTCAGTTCGATTCGGACAGGGCGAAGCCGAGATGGCATCAATCGATTCGATGGGGGTAATGAGATATGATTGAAACGTACGTTTAGGAGCGGTTTCCTCTGTTGTCAGATTGTTAGCCCATCATGCTCGCTGTCCCGCGTCGGTCTCATCCCCGACTAACGACTTACCGATACTGGTGGCCTTGCGGATATTTATGGCCAAATCGGCCTCGGTCCTGCGCAATCCCTTATCAGACAAGCACTCTCAGAATTCCAAATCTGTCTTTGCTTACCGACTCATTGTGGCGGTTGGGGGGTGTGCTCAGGGGTGAGGGGAGTGGACTAATATCGGAAAGGGTTGTCGCGTTGACAAGGTCTCGAACCCGGACAGCGCACAGACGCTAGAGATAGTTTGCGCCGACCGGAATAAGCGGGTAATTCGAATCGCAAAGCAAAGTGGAATTGGTGAAACACCAAAAAAGACACACGTGGGAGTTCGAGCAATGACGTTGATGGGGAACGGGAAAGCTGGCGCCTGTCGGGAGTCTTGGCGACGCCTAAGCCGATGCGGGTTTGGGCCACGAGCTTGGATTTTGAGGCTTTCTCCCTTACGAAGGCTGTCTGAGTCTACGCGTCAAACATATATGATGTACACACTACAAGCCAGGCAGCATGAATAAAATATTCATTTGAGCCAATCTCTACGGTTTGCTGCTCTACTTCGTTCGAAACAACTTAAGATCGACATGGATATATTGAATATCGGAGGATTAGCTACAAGCATAAAGGAGTCACATAGGGGCCTTGGAATATTCTATGCAAGAGAGCGATCGCATGTAGGGATGACCAGCCCGACATGGAGACTTCTGTCCAGCACAGCAACATGACCAAGGAATCAAAGGGTCCAAAGGGTTTCGCCATCCAATTCGTTAGTTGCATGGATGTATGTGAACGAATCTCCTCTTTCGAGTCGGGGCGGAGGCAACGAGAATTACGATGAGGGTATTTCCACCCTTCCTGTAGATGGTAACGCCTCATGACTACCTAGAGGTGAAGAGGGCGCCTGATCAACAGAGCGTAACGATTCAACAACAGGCAACTCCTCTTGCTCTTCGAAATCAGCCTCATATTGTTCAGTCTTCGATGATGTCTCACCCTCAACAGGAGTCGGGGCTATCAGACTGGAGTCTGATTCGGGGTTCCCAGGGGCCGGGCTATTTGGCTCAGATTCTTGAGGTGCCTCTACCACGAGCAGTTCATCAGTGCATTGGTCGTCACGCACTTCAGGAGCCATTGGTTTCCTGCGGGGTAAATGCGATAGTGGGGGCTGTTGGTCTCCCGTCTTGGGGCGTTCGGGCACTGTGTGTGCTGCCACAGGTTTACGCTTGGGCAATGTTGCTGCGTTCCTCTTCAAGGCATATTTGTCTGGGCGCGGTAAGGGTGTTCCGAGTGGTGGATGAGGGTGGCCTCGTCCAATCGGTTGGTTAACCGTGCCCGGGGGAGACCGCGGCGAACCTTGTCCGTTATTTGGGTCACCTTTACCAAACACGCTCCAACTCCATTTCTTGGCAGCAGCAGTGGCTTGCCCGAGAGTCATTGGGCCGGAGGACCTGTCGTCGGATGATGTAAAGGTTTTGGTAATAGTTTCGATTGTGCTGCGTCGTGGGGCCGTGTCGCTGACCACGGACACGGTGGAGCTACCCCGAGAGTTTCTCAAGCTGGAGAAGGACCCGCTCTCCATGCGAGTAGAAGAGGGTCTCTGGATAACACTTTCATGGGCAAAGCTAGCGCTATCAATAGAATCTGCAATCGACGATTCGCGGCTATGGACCGCATTTTCTGGCATCATAAGACCACCTGTAGGTGGCGAGGTGCTTGGAGTTCGCTGCGGGGATGTAGGTGGGGACCGGTTTGATATCTCTATCATGGCGTTTGTTGCATGGCTCTTTTCCTCGCCTTTTTGTCCGAAACAGGTTTGTCAACCCTGGCATTGTCCGCTGTAACTACAGGGTCTGCAGCATGAGAGAAGGTCTGTGACCGAATAGCTCGAGGCAGGGGTGCGATGTCCGGTCTCTCGACACCAGTGGAAGTTGCAGTGGAACTGTTCGATTGCAGATCCGACAGGGAAGATTTCAGGCCTTTACGAGGCTTCTTCTTGGCCGTTCCGGACTCAGAAAGGACAGGCATGCTCATCGTGCGATCGTCCTTGGACTTGAGGGTTTCAATGGGATCACTAGCAACGCTCCTCGGGGTCGGGGGAGCTTCGCCAGATTCGTCAGGTATCTCTGGTATCTCTACCTGAGCACTCGTCTCTGGGCTGTCTTGTTGCCAAATACCACCGCGGAAAGCCTGGCCAAAGGTATTATGGAAGGGAACGTCGTCCCAGAAAGGCAGAACAATGCTCTCTGCCACTGCTTCGCGGATCTTGCTCTCGATCGTGCGCAGGATGAGGCTGTATGTGATTTGTTTGGAGCTGACAATGGGCTGGATGTCCATTTCCATCTTTGGTGTGGTTTCAAAAGACATCCAGATGCGATTGCTGGGTGGGGGCTTGAAGCGTACCAACAAATGGCCTTCAAGTTTCTTCAACACAACGGCAAGGACAATGTCGACCTCTCTGGCCTTGAACCGAGGGCCCAAATCAATGCGCACAGTTGCCGATATTTCGACCCGAAAGTTTCCAGTGTATTGCATATCGGCCTCCACACAGCAATTACCGTCCACTGTCAAGTCCTTCAGTCTTGGGTTGGTGATAAAAGGAGCCCCTTCGCCCATATCAATTCTCTGCAAGCCGATCTTGCTAATGAAATTGGGTTTGTTGGCACGAGAGATCTTCTTTACGATCTTGCTCCGCACGAATTCCTCCAACTCAGGTGTCCGGTACATCGCTAGGAACCACCTTCCAAGGAAAGCATTGATCCAACGTGTCTGCAACTGCTCCTCGGAGGAATGCAGGCGCTGGACCAATGTGACAATATGCTTGGTGTCAAACTCCTGGTGCTTGGGCGGGCGATCAGGCGAGTCCCACAGCCGGTTTTGATTCTGCAGCATGGCGATATAGAAATCCTCCTTCTCAGACAAGTTTTCAGAGAAGAGATAAAACGGGGGAGTCGGCCCTCCTAGATCCCCAAGCGAAGCCAGTCGCCGAGAGAGACATATGGCGTTTCTTTTGAGCCACAGCTCTCCTTCTGGGATGTCCCCTTCTCCCCCGTATATGGTCACATCGTGGTGAGCAAGCGAAATGACATACCGCACCTCAACCTGATTTACATCATCGTAAAGCATCAAGTGGCCATGTCTGATCACATATCATCCAACGTCAGCAATCAGCGCTTAACAAACAACCTATACATTCAGATGAAGAGAGGCATACCGGAGAACAATGTAGAAGACATTCCGTGCCCGTTTCGTGGTCTTTCCATTCGCCTTCGCCGGATCAATACTTGGTGCCTGCTTTCGATCGAACAGACTCCGGTACATAGTCTGATACACGCTAGGACTTTCGGCCGCAACGACTTCCCCAGCGGGAGTCGTTCTCTCGGGAGGCTTCCCATTCACACCACCGGGAACGTATTCACGGCAGACAGCAAAGTATCCAGCAGCGACATCGGACTCGTGGGTGCGATGGAATTTCTCCGCTAGTTGGTCGGTGCCGGACTTGAGACTGAAGTCGTCATCGGTAGGTTGACGGACGGGATCGGCCGCTTTCTCGCATGATTGCGGTAGTTGGGGCGCCGATGGAAGGGTCAGGTAGGCGTAGAGGATGATTGAGGACAATACTAATGGAATGAAAGTGATTCCACCAAGGGCGTAAACGAAGAGGAAGCTAGCGAGCGAACCCATCGGGAACCAGTCGATCAATGCGGGCGGGTCGAAAGCTCCATAGTTTGGGAGAGCGACCTCCAACAGCTGAGATAGAACACGGCAAAGGAAAAGAGACCGGCTCCGGAATAAAAACGAGCGATATAAAGGACAAAGAATTATAGCGCGCCAGAGAATTAGTTGCAGGGAGTTGGAGCTTCCACGAGCACGACCGGATGACGGAGGGTGTTGGATACCTCGGCATTACTGGTTTTGTATTTGTATTTCATTTAGGTTACCACTTTAATTGGTAGTAATTTTGTATTTATATTGTAATTTAGATACTTACTGTACCATTACTTGTAGATCCATTTGTACCCCGCCTGAATCGACCAGCTGTCAGGAACGTGAAAGGAACCTCGGAAATCAACAACCTCACCTATTACTGCTTTGAGTCAGTTCAGATGATATATGGTGGTATTATAGTCCAAACTGAATACCGAATACTTGAATTCAGCAAAAGAGTCGATAATCTTCCTCTCTTCCTCTTTATGCAGTGCAACGGTGACTTTCGAGACCCACTAAGCTTATACGAAAGCCCGTGATAGGAGTCTTCATACTTAAAATACAGAAACCTACATTCTAAAGATCACGCTGATGGAGTTTAGCATCGTGATGGACGGCTGTTACTTTTTGTTTACAAGATATCGTCATGTTTCGATAGCTGTCTTACTTGGGATCAGCCAAATATATCCATATCCATGAAATAAGAACCAGCGCATACACACAATCTGAGAAGAGAAAATCTTTCTATTGGTGAAGATCAAGTATATATCCAACCATCTAAGACATCTAAGTGTACACAGGCATATAGAAAAAAATAAAAATAAGAAGACAGTCACCTGAAGAAACAACAAGGGATGGGCAAGCTGAAAGACAAAATATGTGTACATGGGAGCGCAATCTCCCCTACTTCCTGCGATTCATGGTCTTCTCGCACATCTCAATCAGACCGTTCTTGGCATCGCTGTCTGGGAAGTCGCTGATGGCGGCAATGGCCTTGTCGGCATATTCCTGGGCCAAAGCACGGGTCTGCTCAACACCATTGCTGCGGCGAACGAGCTCACGGGCCTAGTGGATGTAAATGATTAGTATTATCGTCACACGCAAGTCCACGCGCCATTTTGAAAACTCACCAGCTGCACATCACCCTCCTTGCGGAACTTCCGTCCGACCAGAGGACCAAGCTCCGGGTTGCTCTTCCACGCAAACAAGAGTGGAGCCGTCGCCAATCCAAGCTCCAAGTCTGCACCAACAGGCTTGCCCATCTCCGCCTCAGTGACCGTGTAATCCAACATATCATCAACAAGCTGGAAAGCCAGACCCAAGTTGCGGCCATAGGCATACGAAGCCTCGATCACCTCCGGGGCACTCCGTCCCAGAACCGCAGCAGAGCGGCAGGACTTGCTGATCAGACTGGCAGTCTTCAGGTAAGTCTTCTGGAGGTAGTAGGCAAGTGTCTCGTCGGTGTAGACGGGTCTCGATTCGTCTTGTGCAGTGTTCTTCAGTTGCATGAACTCGCCCTCCACTAGATTAGCAATTACAGTGGCCATGAGTTCAGTGACCTCGGGGTCGCGCAGACGAGCCAGTGCTACCGAGGCACGCCCAAGCAAGAAGTCACCCGCCAGCACGGCCATCTTATTTCCGAACGCTAGGTTTGCGGAGCTATTGGCACGACGTGTCACGGCATTGTCAATGACGTCGTCGTGTAGGAGAGATGCTGTGTGGATCAACTCCGTGATCTCGGCCAACCGCCGTTGTGAAGGTAGGATGTTGTCATCTCCCGCGATATCATATTTGCTCTCGGCGTTCGGGGCCACGAGCGGGTTCATTTCTGGGTTGGCGTCTTCGAGGATGGATGGCGCACTGAAGGAGGAATCGACGGGGCTTGGTTTATCCGTGTAGGTGTGGTGCTTGCGAGGGTCCAAAGCTGTCGCTTGGGACATGAGGAGGACAAGCATGGGCCGCATGTGCTTGCCCTCGCTATGAGTGTAGTACTTGGCGACCTTGTCCAGCGCGGGGTGGCCTGATCCAAGCAATTGTCGGATGTTCTTGGTGAGAAACTTGAGCTCTTTCCCAACCATTCTCAATGGGTCGACGGAGATCCCTGGAGGCGCCTTTGGCATACCCTTGAAAATGGCCTGGGCCGCTGACACGGCAGCTCCGAATGGCGAGGCATCCCGCCGGCGCGTCGGGTGGTATTTGCGGGATTGGAGGGCAATATGCGTGAAACGGAGGTCATCGCGGAGGCATTGGGAACAGACAGTTGTTCGTGATGAGAGGATCAGCCCGGTGGCCGATGCGGTTCGAGCTCCCATGCTCAATGGGAGGGCTATTCAATTATAAACGAAAGTATCCAAATTAAACCATAGGAACCCAATCCCAGGAAACGATACCGATGTGAGGTGTTTGCGGAGTACAAGGACGAATAATCTTGCGGGCGGGAAGAATTCGAGCTCTCTCGGGTCGGCACGGACCCGGTGCTACGCAGCCAAGTATGGCCTCGCGACCTGTTATCGATACTATTATACTTCATAAAGAAAATAGGCATCAAGGAAATAAGAATCCTAGGGGAAATTACAATTTACAAGCCATTAATCACTGGGTTCAGATACAATTCTAATAAAGGCACAGGGCAAGAAATGATTCCAGTATAATAGACACAGAGCAGACTGCGCCGGCCATCTTGGTCCTGCATCCTGCATATTCCCCTTCGTACACGTCCGAATAAAGAGCCAGAATAAGAAAAACAAAACAATTAACACACGGGTTGAAGAAGGTCGCTACGAGGTAGAGACCCATACATGGGACCAGTGCGGTAGAGGGGGAAGGGAAAAATGCTGTATCGATTATGGAACAACCTCACTCCTCTTTAAATGGCATCGAAATCACCACCGGCATCTTCATCGTCCATGTCTCCCTCCTGGATCTCCTTGGCAAGCTCGCGCTCCCGTTCCCGAGCTTCTTGGGCACTCTTAAGCTCCAGGCGGTGCTGGTTCATTGGGAAACGCATAGCCTGCAATTGGACGAGTCCATGTTAGTAAGGACAACAAAATAAGCATGTTCAGCGAGGGAGACAGAAAACATACCTTAACACTCTCGTCATGGAGGGCCAGACAGGCGCGGATGCGCTCGTGGAAGGCCTCGCCAGGTTCTCTAGTGGCGTAGATGTCACCCACTTCCTTGCTCTTCATGAAACCGTGCTCGTGATCAAGCGTGGCCTCGATGACACCGTCCCGAATAGCCTTGGCCACAATGTATTCGGCAGATTCTTCGCTGTCGAGTCCAAGGCGAAGGCAGATATCCCGTAGAGAGATACGGGAGTAAGACAGCGACATCATGCGAATACCGGTCTTGATGACATTCTGTCGCAAACGCAAGATCAAGGTGTATGTGCCATCCTTTCGGAAAGTCTCGCTGTGGGTGTTGACAATGTTAAGGAACCCATCCAGATCAGCAACACTGACTGCCTGAGAGAGCAACAGATAGGGGTGCATAGCCCGTTCCAAAGCCGGCTGGCGGAAGACTGCGCGGTCAGGAATATCACCCATCAACAGCTCGACAACGACCAACAACTTGTGGGAAGCCTGGTAGAACCCACGAGCAACCTGGCTAGCAGGTGACTTGCGGGTAGCCCCAATCAGATGGCTGTGGGCCTCGGTGTATTGCAGCTGGATGGCACGGATGCGGCCGAGGTAGAACATATACCGAGCAATCTGATTGTTAGATGCAGCCACGGGGAATGGGTTATGCGAGATCAGTAGATCTGCCTGTGAGATATGGGACGTGGACAGGTAGTTGCGAAGCAGCAAGGTCATCACAGTAGCCTGCGTATCGACATCTTTCCGGAGCACAGCCGTGCGCAGTGCCGCTAACAATGGCTGGCGGATAGTTGTAACAGCCGCTGCGGGAGAAGGAGGAAGCGGAGCGACTTGCTCGAAGAAGAGAGAGTAGTAAAAGTACACGCGGGCGGCAAGAGAATCCAGCGTACGGCGGTTCAGTGCACGCAGGCGCTCGATCAAGTCTGTCGAGAACTGGACTCCCTTCTGAATCTCCCGTTGGTCGAACAGGTATATCTGGACGAGAATGGAGAGATATACATCCACCTCGGCAAGGGTCTCCTTAGGGATGGGCTTCTTGTCCGAATCAACCTCCATCTGCGAGCTAGCTGGAACATTCTCGAAAGCATTGGTTTGACCGAGAGCTTCCAACAGGAACGAGGCGGTCGAGCTAGAAGCGGAATAGGTTTCCACAATGACTTCGGCGAGGACCTCCGGGGTGAGGTGTTTCCGCATCGACGATATCGATCGGAGAACACGGAGGGTAAATCTGGGGTCGAAGTGGGCAACGGCTCGCTCGAGCAAGGTGAAGTTGGATTTGATGTCTAAACCCATGCCGAACGAACAGGCATTCACCGTTAGAAATCTGCACTTATTTTGAGCAAAGAAGAAAACTAGACAAACCTTGAATAGCCTTGGTTGTTGGGTCGACCTCTGGCTCGGTATTCTCAACATCGCCATCCTCCGCGCCTTCCATAGTCACATCCTCCTTATCCTTGCCGGACGATCTGGAACCCTTGGTTGGGGGCACTACAACAGTCATCTTCTCGTTACTTTTGCGGTCCTTGCTGGTGTTGGATGAGGATGTAGGCGCACCTGCCGTATCCTCTCCCATCTCAACATCTTCGGATCCATTCACACCATTCTCGGTTGACTTCGATCCATTTGTATGCGACTGATCATCCTCCTTCATGCTGCCGTTTGATGCGCCCTTTGCGTCTTTCTTGGTCGGAGCTGACTTGGCCTTGTTGGCGGCGGCGCGAGTGGTAGGCGCCTTGTCTTTCGCACCCGAGCTCTGAGAGTTCGAGTTTGCCTTTTCACCGTTAGCGGATGAAGAGGTGTCGGATTTATTGTTTGATCGCAAGGAACGCCTTTCGGCCGGCATCTTTCTCAAGCTGTCGAGCTCAGCTGGGCAGCCACCAAGCTATCGGAAGAAGTAGGGGGAAGGGCGAGTGATCACGATATAAAATCAGGAAGGAGAAAAGCAATCTAGAGAGCCAAGCTGCCAATATCACAAGTATGATGAAGAAAAACTGGTGCGGACAGATGGATGAAGTGGATGGGTGATGTGATGTCAAGAGATGGGATGAACGGGCGCAACCTTGGAGAGACCAGATGAGCGCTTAGTCAGTGGAGCTTACCGGGCCTCAACTTAGCACTTTTGCTATCGAAGCTGTTAGAAGCAGGACAAAAAGATAGTGAAAATAAAAATCGGCCAAATAAAGGAATACCACCTGTAAATCAGAATTAAATTGGTGCTATCTGACCCAGTCAATTTCAGCGTCCACTGGCTAGACGTGGTTGCTGATACACAGACACATTCTGAATTTAATGCCTCAGGCATATCTGCAGCTTTCCTGGAGTAAACACTGCGGTGCAGTGTAGAGCATTCAACCACTCATCCTTCACGATCCAGAGCTCTCAAAATACCCACAAACATGTCACTACTCAATTCCCACCTAGAGCAGATTACGCTCTCTTCGAATGCTATTGCCGATTTGCCGTTAGTGCTTGTGATCGCTTCAACCATATTGCTTTAATTAACGCGTCCAGGTTTCCTCCCCCACGTATTTTCACCACGGCACTGTTGGGCTCCCACGATATCACAGCCTTGATCCGGGACACTGAATCCCATGAACGAGCACTCTTTCAGGTCGATCCCTCTACTAAGGCCCATGGACCACAAAGACGTGCCACACGACGCGGGACTATGTTCCCCGCTGAGACCGAAAGGGAATCAATGGCAAGCCGCATTTATTCAGCACGGGACAACCGTAACCAGTCTGCGGTGGCAAGGGTACTGGGGCCCGATATGATGGAAGAGATCAAGCGATCAGCGGGCACCTCAACTAGAGGACCCCGCGGGGAAGTTAACATTGAAGTGCTTCTTCGAGGCGCCGAGATGCTGTGCAACGTTTAGTGAGTGCCACATATCTGATAATAACTCTTGATTCAATCTAACCAGCTCAAAGTCCGGTTGCCGGTGCACAGGAAAAGATTGCCAACCTTCGCTATCGGCATGAGATGATCAGTGAGTCCATAGCACAGTTGGAAGGTCGGGTTGCAACGAACACTGCAGAACTGGATCAAATGAGGCACTCTTATGGAGATGATGAAGATGATTTTTCCCCTGCACTAGTGGCACAACCAGAAATTCCAGAGGTCACTGATGAGGATATTGAGCGAGAGTTGGCCGAAATCCGAAACTTGGAGCACAGGAAGCGAAGGCTAGAAGAACGGGTTACAGGCATGGATCGAGATCTGGGCGGCTTGATAGGCTGATTCTTTTCTTTCGCCATGGCTATATTCCTGCCTTGTGGAAGATTTTCTATTAACATCTTGTCTGCCTCGCTGCCCACCAGAAAAGGACATCTTGCTCTGTGGACACCTCCTCCGGCTGGATACCACAACCATCTATCTCAATTAAGAGCTTTCCAGGTTCATGACTCTCCCCTGATTTGCCCTGCCCCAGCCATGTCTCCGAGTGTTATTGGTGACAACAGGGTCTGCCAAGTTGTTATAATCGGCCAGAATAGGCCCCTCAGTGCTGCAGACTGCTGTCCATACTGAGCCATTATTTCGAGCAAAGTTTACAGCTGGGTCGCTTTCAATTGTCATCAAAAACACGCCCCACGCCCTGCATCAAGATCATCACCACCAGCGATCTCTGGTGCCCATATCATTATTCATTCCAAGTTACCCATGAGAGATATCCATGATACAGCTTTCCACGCTTTACGTTAATTATGAAGATCAAGATCAATTCATCATTCATGATACTATTGCTTTATATCAACAGCATTGCCTCCAACATACTACACAGTAGAAAATACGTATAATGTAGTAGTGGATTTCCTATATTATTTCTTCCAACGTTGTCCAGATGTCTTTCTCGTTCCGTTTTAGGGCTCACCTCTTGCCAATTTTTGTGAGTATATCTACATAAGGAAGAACGTTCCTTGGGTCACCATCATGAGAGAAATGGCTTTAAACGCTAGTAATTTATCTTAATACATCGTTAATTCGGTTTATAGCCTCGTCGAGCTGTTGGGCAACTTATATCTCGAATCTATAAGGGGAACCATATCCCTTTTCGATATTTTTGCGATCCAAAAGTTCCTTGTCTTGTTAGAAGGGCACTCTACTAGCCGGTCGGTTATATGTTTCTGACGAGCAGGGCTGTGAACAGACCATACCTCGAATGCTATAGAATTCCATAGCTACACAGTCTTCCACCATTATCTCTCAGAAGCTAGGGTCTATCAATATCGGAGCCATATTTGACAGTATTTAAATTAAATCCCCGCGTCGACAAACCCTAGCGCCAGTGCATTTCGACCAGAACTTTGGGATCCTTTTAGGAATTGACAGACTGTTGGTGAAACGATCGATGCCTGCATGCCTTGTCGAAGGATTTCGAAGTGGTTATATGTGAATGAGGTGTTTTCACTCTTCATGGAGAATATTTGACACATCTGATTTTCGGGAATTAAGGGAACAAGAACAGCCCGCCGCTTATACAGTCTTGTCGTGTCTTTTTGGTAGTCTTTTTAGATATCCTCCCATATCTCGACCTTCTCCGAGAACCTTAGCCTTCTAGGGAATGCCAGGAATCCCAGGTAATATAGGCGCACAAAAGCCTAAAATACTATTCGAAGTGAATCAATGATCACAAATATACTACCCACTTCGAGATAGCTGGGAATGGCTTTATCTAATAATTATTATTATCCCTAGTTATATATATATAGCAAGTTCCTCTATATACATAGTATAGTGTATACATTTATTACTGTCTTTATATAATACAGAGTGACAAGCCCTATAACGCCACTAAGAAAAGATATCATGAAAAGACATCTGACAAGACGTTCAAAATAACATCTTGAGCCAGATAAATCAGATAAATAGAGGCTGTACACGCGGCAGACTACATTATATAGTCGTCAAGTCAATCAAACCTTAGAGACTTCAGATGTGCGGAGCAAGGCATAGTTCAAGGCTGAAGTTTCAGCCTCTTCGATTATAGGAGCGACAACATCTTCGATCACTGAACTCTTTCATCATCTTCTGAAGTAAGTAGTATCTTCGTGGTTATTGATTCACTTCTAACAGTATTCTGAACCACAGAGGGGAAGACAGCACGCGGATTGCTGCTGGACGCCAGAACATTCAGGGCTTGACAGGGGCCAACCATCGCAGTGGAAGTCGTGTACTCAGAGCCCCCGGGGAAGATGATTAGAAAGGTGAATTTCTGGCTGAACGAATGTTCTGGACAGGTCAACATCGTGCTTACAGTCAAGATACATAAGCGCGAAAGGATATCCATTATTGAACAATGGAAGATGGGCAACCGCACTCCAGTCCCCATTCAGAAACTCGAGATCACAAAGAACCCAGCACCAAACTATGAGAAGGGGAGCATGCGATTCTCATTTGAAGATATCCACCTTGGGCCCAAAGGGCCAGATGACACTGACTTTGTCATCAGTCATCAGGATATTGAGAATCTCGCACACCAAGTCTGGGATGAACAGAACAAGCAGGGCAAATCTCTGAAAAGAACTACCAAAAAGACCACTAAAATGAAGATATGACAAGGTCGCACAAGTGGCCACTATTATTGTTGCTCCACCCACATTGTGAATTCCAAGCCAAATGTAATTAATTACTAAAGTGAGAATGAAAATCACTGCTTTGGACCGTTTCAGTGACTATGTACATGATATTGGTCCGTGCACACTCCTGGAGTTGACCGCCTTCCAATCTTGGAACATTAAAGCGGGAGATTAATTAGGTAAGCCCTTAGCAGAGCCCTGCCCGCCCTGGAGCCCCGGGGTTCGGGCCTTGGGAGGCTTTCTCGGGGCCTTTCTTCAGGGGTCGACCCTAGAGGTGGACTATATGCCCGGATCAGGATGTATAGGATATGCTCTAGCAATACCACAAAGATTATATAGTTCAAATAGTTAGAACTGGAAGATCAAGTGGAAGATCAAAGAATATTACAGTTAAAAAGATATTCCAATCACCAAAAATAAAGATCTCTGCGAGATTGTAGTATCACAGAACAACGCTGGCCTTAGTTAAAGGGTGGATGCCAAGACCGGGCCCAACCTCCATCACCGCCGTCAAAAGTTGTAATCTGCCAAAGCTGAAGCCCATTGCATTCGGACTGTCCTAATCTACCATCTTGTACGGTATAGTAAAGCCTCGCTTGATATCCAGGCAACTGCGACCGGCTATATCCCTAAACACAGACTATTTCGCGTCGATTATCCCCTCCAACACCGTTTAACTCTTTGTGCCCTTGAATCCTCAGCAGAGCACCAGTACATCATCATCGCAGAGATGGATGGGTCTCAGGGCCAAGTTGGCCAAGTTGGCCAACCAATGGGTGCCCCGCAGCCACAGCACTCAAACCTCATTCGAACCGATCAAGTACAGAAGCTACCGCATCTCAGTGACCAGCAGAAGGCCCAGCATACCCAACTAGTGCGCAGCCTCTGGGATTTGCTGAACACCCGCGATCCACAGACCCACGAATACCAACAGGCGCATACGAAGCTCTCGCAGCTGTCTCAGAACTTGATGAAGGGGATGCGGGTTTTCCAGCAAAACCGACAGCAGGCAATGCAACAGCACCAGCACCAGCAGGCAGCGGTACAGGGACAGCCAGGACAACAGCCACAGCAGGGGCAGCAGACACAACCGGTACAACAAGCTCCTCAGGGAACGCAGGGACCACAGGGACAACCCGTCCAGCGAACCCAATCCAACAACCCCCAGACGATCAATCAGCTCATCCCGCAAATCCAAGCCCGGGTCAGCGCGCTCAATTTTTTCCTGCCTCCGAACGTGACCCCCGAGCAGGTGCAAACATGGATACCCGAGGCTCGATTGCGATATGGTATCGCTCTTCAGAAGCAGGAGGTTGGACGGGCTCGGATGGCCGATCTTCGTTCGTCATATGCTCAGCGGCAGGCCCAAGGTAATATGAGCCAAGAAGAAATGCAAGAATTCAAAAATCGACAGTTGGCGGCTGAAAAGCTTTTCCGAGAGGGTAGCGAGTTCTTGAACAAGTTCAAGGAACAGCAGGAAAGCTTCAAGATCCAGTCGCAACAAAATCCACAGAATCAAGCGATGAATCAGGCAGCACAGGCAAATACACCGGTCAATTTGAACCAAGCCCCAGTCGCACCTCCTGTGTCGGCTCAAAATGTACAGAATCCCCAGGCAGGAACGGCAGCAAACACCATGCAATCAGGGCAACCTCAACCCCCAGCTCCCCATACTATCAACTCAGCGGTCAACGCAGCGCGCCAAACTGCCATGTCCCCCTCTGCCTCCCAACCTGGACAACCACCTTCTGCCCAGTCTGCTGGAAACACGCCAGTCCCAATCAGTGCACCACTTCCTCAGGTGCAACGTCCACAGCAACCCTCCCAGCAAGGAACTCCAGGAGGGCAAGTCACTTTCAGTCAAAACCCTCATCCTGATGGCTCCACCCCTACACCCCCAGGGCCTCCCCAACAGGTAAACCAAGGCCCACCTCGTCCTCTTTCACACCAAGCTGCTATTTCACAAGCTGCACAAACCTATACCAACCCCACCCCTCAACAGCAATCAATGAACCAACAAGCACAGGTTAACCAGCAAGCTCACCCCCAGGGTTATCTTGCCAACCGTCCCGGCGAAACACCCAACCGCAACACCAACATGGCTATTCCCAAGAACCTGCACGTCTCAACTCCCGAACCCGTCTCAATGCCAGGCTCCCGTCCCTCTCTTTCCGGTGGTCCCAGCCACGGCGCCATGGGCATGATGGGCCAGCCCGCGATCCAGAAACACCCCGGCTACGTCCTCGAAGGTGAAGGCCAGCGCGTTCTGAGCAAGAAGATGCTTGATATCCTCGTGCGCCAGGTCACCGGTGGCGGCGAAGGAGAAATGCTGACCCCAGATGCCGAAGAGGTAAGCTTGTCCCTCTTCAAAATGAGAGACAAATAAAAATAAGATCAAACATGTTAATATTTCCCATAGTTCATCCTCCAAATGGCAGACGACTTCGTCGACGAAGTCATCACCCAGGCCTGTCGTCTCGCAAAGCTGCGCCCTTCCTCGACCCTCGAACTGCGCGATATCCAGCTCGTCCTCGAGCGCAACTACAACATGCGTATCTCCGGCTTCTCTACTGATGACCTCCGCACTGTCAAGAAGCCTCAGCCTACCCAGGGCTGGACTCAGAAGATGTCTGCTATCCAGGCTGCCAAGGTCACCCAGGGCAAGAACGAGTAAGATGAAGATGCAAACTTGCATCGCGGCTTCTGTCGCGATCTTAAGCGCAGATAGTCCGGGCTGCCTTCTTTTTTTTTACAGTTATATTGCACAGTTCACTTTGGCTTTTACGTTTCATGTTCCTTTCTCGGAGGTCAAATTGGGGGTGTTTCTTTTTCTTTTTCGTTTTCTGTTTCTATTTTACCCTTTCTATTGATTCTCTTCAGAATATGGCGTCTACGTGATGAATGGGCAGGTCTTACATCTCTTTCTTTGCTTATCTTGTTTGGCTCGCGTCCCATCATGGTTGGAACGGGGTCTTTTTAGTGGTCTCTTACTTAGGTCCATCTCTGCTTTCTTGCGGCCCAGTTTATGCCGTGCTTGAATAATGAATTGCCCACTTTGCTTTGGGTTCTACGCTTGTTTGCTCTGGTCTAGAGAGGATGTAGGCACATTGCAGCACTGCTGGTCAAGCTCTCGTATTGAGTATCACTAGCGCAGTCACCATAGTATACCGCCTGTGCAACATACCCAGGGAGTTACTATCTATACATTAGATCCACGGTGTTCGCTCTAAAGCATCTACTTTACAACCCATCGACTTTACAACCTACAAAATGTTACAACCAACAGAAAAAGAAGTAGTAAGGAAGTTCCCACGCTGAATTCTGCTAAGTTGATTACCCTCAGCAAATAAGAAGCACGAATATCGAGAGAAAACATGTGGTATAGTGATTGGTACAGGGTATGGAGAGAGACTCGATCAAGGAACAAGCAAATCAAAGAGAAAAGAAGAAGAAAAAGAAGCGGGATACACAAGAGAGATACAATAATGAAAAAAAAAGCGTTCGATGAACGGAGTGAAGGCCGGATTCTGGAGCCGGCGGTATTCTTTGGCTGTGAGGGCGTGCTTTGAGAACAAAAATATAGGAAAAATAGAAAAAGGAAATGAGACGGTTGGTGAAAAGATTGGATCATCGATGTGACGTTGGCACAAGATATGACAGCAACACTTATTGGGCTGGAGATGAGGTCCGGTTATGATATAGAGAGTGTGGCAACGGTATGCTCGATCAATGAAAGTGGAACCTGTACAGTCCATGGGTGGACAGCGAACAGTACAGGCTCGTGGTAAGCAAGGCTAGAGAGAATGAAGGCGCTTGAGACGGCGAAGAAAAGAGAGAAAGAGTCGGTGAGGTTGAGCTTTCGGGTTTCGGGCTTTGTCCAAATGTTTCCGAGTAATCCAGGCAAAGGCAAATGGGAAACACGCGAAGAGACGAAGATGAGTCGCTCAACAGTCAACAGAAATTATACACGTCACTCGTGAACATCAGTTTCTTGCGGAAAGTGTTTGGGGAAAGTATGAGGATAGGAAGATGATATGCCTCGCGCAGACCCATGCTGAGGAAACAAAATAGGTGGTTCTATCAAGAGCAACAAGGGGGATATCTCGCTGAATACAAAACAAAAAGAAAACAAGATAAAGAGACGAATAGAGGTATCAAGGGGATGGCAGTCGCTAACGTCGGACTGGACTAGTATTCACGAAATTGCGCCGATCAACTTCCTTGCCTTTGCTGGGAGTTGCCGGTGGGCCGTCGCGGGGGAGAGGAGGCAATTCCTTGTCTGATCCTGGAGTGCCGTGTCGGCTGTTTGAGCTGCGTCCTCCGACACTGCTAGCCTCGCCGGCTTCATCCACAATTGGGAGAGTCGAAGTTGGGCCGGGGCCCCCGGCGTCTGCTGGATCCCAAACAGTGGCTAATGTTCGAGGATGTGTGACGGACACGTCTTTCGATGCCTCCTTCTCCGCTGCCTGCATTGTTCGCTCGACAGAAGAGGATCTCGAACGTGGCTTTTCAGTTGATTGTTGAGGTGCGCCGGACGTGGAGGCTTCAGCTTCTTCGCGTCGTCGTTCGGCTTCTTCCCTCGACATAGTGATGCCCTTGATGAAATTAATGAAGCGCTCTCCGTAGCTCTCTGGTGGGATTGGAGAAATCTGTGTCCGGTCGTGCGAGAGTCCTTTGAAAAAGTTCTCCAATTTCTTGGTGGTTCCGTAATGGGTCAGGCAATCAATTATACCGAGGTAATAGATCTCGTCACCAGGTTGGCCATTCTCATGAGTAGCCCGGAAACCTCCATCATCCGCATAGAAGACATGGTATTTCCGTTCATCGAGAATTTCATCTGGCATCTTCGCAGCTGCTTTGTCCAATGGAACAGGCCGTTCACGCTTGATAAGCATGCGCAGCTCCCGGGCCTTGCGTTCATTTTCCAATTTTGATGGAGTGCGCATTAGGTTGTTGGGAGTCGTGTCCTCTTCGCGGTTGCCTCCTGGTTGGAAGACCTGCAGAGTCTTGTCACGCAATTTCTCTTCGTTGCCCCTGCCCGCATCATGGATTCCTACTAGAAGAGAATAGTCCATGATCTTGAGTCTTTGAAGCAATACGACGTCGCGTTTCAATTGCTCGATGAAGAAGTCCCGTTTTGACGGGCCACATTCCAAATGACGGTTGCGACGAACCCAGTTCAGGTCCTTCATAGTCGCTCTGGGATTTCTCTCGAGATCTGACTCTTGCAGATCACGACCAATTGTCGAGCCCTTCAGGTCGAACGTCTGGTGGATATCCCGGTGGGGCGGGAACAAGTTGTTCATTACGACAAAGTGGATCTTTCGCCCGTATGCCATTTTGACTCGGTGCAATCCGTAGAATTGTGAGATGAGTGTGTTCGGGTTGTTCTCCACGTGCCGGTAGTACTCTGGAAGAATCTTCCGGAGAAGCTTGTGCTCGGAATGGTGAATAGTCTTGATGATGTACTTGTAGTCGCGTGAGAAGTAAAAGAAGCTCCCGCTCTTACCGGGGAGCCCAATTCCGACAGAATGTATTTGCTTGTGAGGGACATAAGGTAGTCGGCGGGATCGAGACGGAACTTGGACCGAAGGTGTCGGAACACCCAAGGTGCATAGTCCTTGAACTTGAAGTCGTATTTTGCCGAGGGGATCAGTTCGTTTCCGGTTCTGCTACTGTCAGTCATGTCCAAGTTATCAACATCGAAAGGGGTGCGCACATGTCAAAGGAGAACTTGTGTTTGGCATCAAAGTCCGCCGGGGTGAGTTCCCGGTCCATTTTCGCGTTGATTCTCGAAACCGTGAAGCGGATACCAGTCAACATGTTGTATGCCGTCACATAGTTGACGTGATTCTGGTCCACTTTGGTGCCGACAATCACCCGATCATCGTCCTCCTCTTCGCGGCGTCGTCGTGAGGCTCGCTTTTGTTTAATAGCTTCGGCCCATCGGGCCGCATCTTCATCCGGCGGTGCCTCATCCAAAGTGATATCTTGCTGGGTGCTGTTTTTCGTTGCTCGTCTAATCAAACCGACTGAGGCGCGTCGGAAGCCGGTGGTCGGTGACATTCGGCCACTGGTGTACGCAGCATCATCGGTATATTCTCGGCTATCTCGTCGGACACTGGGCGTTCTTGGAACCTGCAATGAATGCCGTTGTCGCATACTCGAGTTCTGTGATTCTGGCACCGAGGCAGCGTCGAGTATAGATGAGGCGGGAGGAGAGGAGTGACGTGGTTGGGCGGGCTTTGAATTAGGTGTCAGGCGATCAGGGTCTGGAGAATAGCGACCGTTCTCATCCTGCTGCGGGATTTGTAATAGTGAGGCCGATGGCGAGATTGAAGACTCATCGGCGTAGGGTGGATGGGCGTCTCCGTTGACCATGAGTTTCGCTTGGACAGGTCGGCCATTTGCAGTGCCATTGGGTTGTTGACTGGAAGGGGCTGCTGTTGTGGAAATAGCTCCCGGTCCAGTGTCCGAAGTTTTACGGTCCAGCATGGCGGATGGGCGACCGTTCTCGCGGGGATCCCTCGTGGATCCATTGCCTACCGAATGCATGCTGCCGTCCTTGGACAGGGGCAGTTCGCGCGTGTACGAGCCGACACTAGAGCGAGGGCCATTCAGGGAATATGCACTGCCGTTCTTCAGGTCGGTCAATAGCTGTCGGTCATTCTGATGGGAGTCGTGATTCGCGTCGTTCTCAGGCCAGTTGGTCCACAGGAAAGTATTTCCGACGGGGGTCTTGTCGTGCGACTTTCGAGAGGATTCGAAGGAGCGAGGGTGGGTAGCCGTGGCAGTGGCAGTCTGGTAGGAGACGTCGTTGGAGAAGGCTGGCATGTTGAATTTTCAGGGAATGGGGGTGACGTGAGTTCTGCGTGGACCGGCAACCCGAAGTGACGGCAGTCGCCCTTATTGGCGGAGATCCAGGAAAGTTGTGAACCGGACGGAGTTCCAGATGATTAAAGGAAACAAAGAAAGTATAGAGCCAGTTGCCCAGGGCGAGGGTATTCAACCGATCAACATAATTCAATGCAAGGGAAAGGGGAAGACGTAAATGAGGTTGTTAAAATGGGGAAAATATGGGGGGGGTTTGGAAGGGGAGGAGGAAGGTTGGTTGTCTGGGAGAGAAAGAATTACACGTATGTACGGAGTACATTGAAATGTATAGCTCCACCGTTTATATCTTCTTTTTACATGAGTATTTTTTTTTATATATGTATGTGTTAGATGTTTATATTATATTCCAATAGATATAGACACTTTTATTTTCATTCCTTATTTACCTGGAGAATATGCGTATATAATTATTGTGGTTTGTATGTAATCTGGGTAAATACATTTATGTACTAGGCTAGGTGTATCAGGCTGCTGCATAAAAAAAAACTCGGATGTTCAATGAGCGCGGTTTATCACATCATTTCTCCGATTTTTCTTTTTCTTTTTTTTTTTTTTTTCTTGGTATACTGTCATACTGTTGTACTGTTATATTATTTTCCATTAGTTTCAGCATAAAACTGTCGATTTTATTAGTCTTTCTCTAATTTCAATACAGTACCCGAGTTGTTTAAGCAAGGAGATGGTTGCATAAACTCTGTACATCGAGTCTTTATTAGCTACTCCGTACTATGTAGTATACCAATGGCATAGACTCATATAATAATACCGTACGGTCATTCCCCATACCCATGTTCGGTACATACGAATACACGTGGAGATGAACCAATCACAATGTCAATCGGCCTATCTGTCCCTGGGCAATTTAAGATTTCAGCCCTGGGGAGATAAAGAATTAGACAATCTTCTTCTACTCCGTACTGTCTCTATAATGTAACTAACTCTACTCCGTATATACATATACAAAGTACTCCGTATACTCCAGTAAAAGCAATTGTTCCAAAAATAGGGCTCTCCATAAGGAAATCTTCCGCATCTGCGCCACAGGGGGAATTCTCCACTTCCTGTATGGAGATACAAAGATACAATATAATAAGGATAGTCCCTGACCGGCATCCCCGTTGCCCCCGAGCTCCGGGAATAAATTCCAACATCCGAGCCGATAGTAAAATTAGACGGTCAATCTCGAGAAGGACCCCATATTGTACGGAGTAGGGTATCCGCGTATAGATCAAACTTTGAACCTTCGAAGCGTCAATTCCCATATCAGCTTCTCTATCATTCCTACGAAGTACCAAGTGTCAACCAATTATTCTGGTTCTATAACATGTGGCGCAGTCATTTCCCTACGCGACCCTACCAGGTTTCACTTTAACTTATCTCAATATCCGATCTGGAATCCGTAGTATCGGCATGGCCATTCAGAGACAGCTATCATAACCCTTACGGATCGTTACATCGATCAAAGTGAATGTCCCTATGTGTGCAAGCAGATGGCAAGGTAGGATCGAAAGATCCGAATTTCCGCCCTCGTCATATGACTTCTGTAGCTCAATCATAGCACGCACGTCCTCCAATCATCCATTCATGAACTAGAAGAAACTACTCGAGTGGGAAGTTCTCCATTATGAAACTATTTGAACAAAAGGTATAGGAGTTCACATCGCTAACTTGACCCTCCAAATTGATAAGATCTGTTGATATAATTGATGTATCCATATAAAATATTTCCAATCGAAGAGCATCTCAGGATATGGTTGGCGTCTAAGGTTCGGCCCCCACCGACTCCCGATCTAGTGCATCCAAGTTTGAATCTTGGTCAACGCATAGACTAAATCCGTATAGACTCCCAAGGTCTATTAAAAATAAAATAGAAAGTGATATATTGCTGTTTAGCAAATCCCTTCGATTTACCTGTTATTTTTCATTCCCAGGACAAAGTACCCATAAAATCCCGATATTGCACCCGACAGAGCAAGAACGAGGTGTGGAGTAATTATCTTTGCTTTTTCAATCACTACATATGTACCTATTTGCCGCCGAGTTATCAGCCGCTACGTGATGTACTTGGCCATTTCTGTCTTGGCTGGATCTAAGAACAAAGAAAAGCAGCACCGCAACCCACTCCGTACTATCCCGGTAGTGCATGATCCTGACTCAATATTGTGGCCACACTTGCATAGATCACATATCATATGCGATTTGGGCGAGGGTCTACTTCATCGTTGGGCGTGAAACTTGATTTTATGGCTGTGTCCTATACTCAACCTACTCGCCCTATTTGACATAAATATAGATAGGCAAGGCGTAGACCGTCGATCTTTCCAAGGTTTTTTACTTGTAAAAAGAGGGGATAAATTCAGAACAAATCTCGCAGGTTCCAAAGTCCTTTTTTCTACCGGGATACTTAGTGCAAGCAGCCATAACAGGGAAGAACAGATATCTTTCCAAGTTGTGATAACTCAAACTTGGGAAATCCAACAGTCGTGGTCGTCTAGTGCGCTTCCTAGTTGAGTCAGTCACATAAGCCAAATCTGTAGGATTGTGATATGATTCTCTAGGAAGACACCGAGTTTCCGCCATCATAGTTAAGCGAAATAAACCGACTGGGTACAAGGAACTTTTGAGTTCGATAAAGGCAAAGTCGCTACTATGGGTCAACGCCCTTTGATGCGACAGTGTGGGCAGGGAAACTTCGAAGGACTATTTAGTTCTTGCGTTGACCTGCAACAGCCTCTCATAACTACTCATCCTCCGATCCAATCCCTTCAAGACTTTTATCCACTGTGTAAATAGTGAGCGCGACTACCATGTCTACATACAAATCGCCTAGTGACAATGCCCGAAAGGTGTGGAACCATGAGTTCACCTGGACGGATAAACATTTCACGCCCGAAGAGCTGCTACCGTTGAGACAGCAGACCGATGACCTGGCCGTTGATGCTGTAAGCCGACTGCAGGCTGTTGCTGTAAAGAACAAGAAAAGCAATACTGGACAATGTTTTGGCCGATTTGACATGTACAGTGTTTTGAAGGAACACCAGGGAGAAGACAGTGTGTTACAAGATCTGGGAAGAAGTGAACGCGGTCCCTGAATGGGTTGATTGGACACAGATCGAGCGAGGACAAGAGTTCCTCCACCGCTACTTGATCCCCAATCTAACCGGACTTGCTCTTCAGGGATTTCTAGGAGGCACTGCAGTGAGGAACTCCCCCCGGTTGCATATTGGTGTACGGGATATTGCTAACTTTAAAAAGACAATTGCAGGTGGAACAGAAGTCCTCGTCAGAACAGGAGGTTTTTCTATTCGAGTCCTACCTAGACGATTCCTCGAAACCTTCTTTTGGCTACTGCAAATAACAATGGATCTGAAATCTATTCAACCAGGTGGAGAGGGACACACTTCGACCGTGCGTGTTCGTCTGTTGCACGCTACGGTTCGGAATCGCCTCCTAAAGCTCATGGACCAAGACCCGGCATACTTTGATGAAGCCAAGTACGGCGCAGCTGTCAATATGAGAGACGCAATCCATGCAACAGCTATCTTCTGCTGCATGCCACTTTTCCGTCAACTCCCTAAGATCGGTATACAGCCTCGTCCACAGGAGACGGAGGATTTCCTAGCCATGTTCCGATACATCGCTTATGTTATGGGGACTCCGGATAGCTTCTTCAACGGCACTGAGCAATCAAAGGCTACTATGGAGAGTATCATGATGTGTGAGCCTGAGCCAACAGAGTCCTCCAAGTCCATTGGAGCGAATTTTGTCGCTGCTGTACAGGATTATCCAGGGATCAATGTTTCCAAGCCAATGATTGAGGTTGGTTGTCGTGTATTAAGCGGCGACGAGTTGGGGGATAAGATGGGCTTCTCCAGGCCTGGGATTTTCTATAGGGCCTCGTTTAGAGGCTGGTGTCAACTTCTTGTGCTTATTACAACTCTTCAGCGACTGTCCCCAGCCTTTGATCGGATACTTATGAAGGTGTGTTCCTGAGAAAAGAATGAAGAAGTCAACCGCCAACAGATTACTGATATCTTCTACAGAGATCAAAACATTTTGTCCTTGTTAACGTGTTTGGGGCATCAATTTTGAAAGAAGGGAACAAATTCGAGTTCACTCACCAGCCACAGCTGAACAAATTCACCAAGAGAGAGATTAAGACAGAAATCAACCTATCCCGGTTCCGGCCTGTGGAAACCATCGGATTTTTTGTCTTCTTGTTTGAATGCCTTGTTTATATCCTGGCCTTTAGCATGTTGGCAAATGTTCTCCGTGCAAATGGCATGGTCTCTCAGGCTCTGCTAAATGTCCTTGGATGATGCGCTTGAATGCTTGTTCAAGTTCTTCAAGTTGCATATGCCATAGTCACGATATATGTCCCTGATGTTAGGAAATGATGGTAGAAAAGATGTTATGATCACCTTTTACACAGCCTCTGTCTGGCATAGCTTGACTACCTGCTCGTTTTATTACACTCATTTACTGTTTCTTTACCCACTGATGGTGTTGTATTAAATAAAACTCCGGTATCATATCGTAAATCCCGGGTATTATATTCAGGTTCGGGTTCGGGGGTTTACTGTCAAATTGCAAAATGGCTCAAGTCAGGGCTTAGTCAGGACTCTAAGCATCCTCTGGTAATAATACTTGTTTCAGCCTAACAGAATAATACAAAGATACGAAGATAAAAATAAATCACTGACACGGGAGAATATGTGGAGAGATCTACAGTTTGTTTATGACTACTCCGTACAATATACGCGATCGACAGTCTAGGTAGTATCTACTACAAAGGTATACTTTGTACAGTTTAACCTCCCTCATTCGGCCAAAAACCAATTTGAATTCCACTGTGACAATGGAATTAATCACGATATCAAGGTAATAAGAAGACTGCAGTTCCCCATTGCAAACCCCACCGCAGGACGCCATCCATAGGACTTTGGAAAGAAGCAAAGCCATCATAACAAAGATACCCCAAAAAAATTCAAAAGAGAAGCAAAAAAAAAAAGTCAAGGAAACCATCAGAGCCACAGAGATCAATGAGTCCAAAGAAAGAAATTACAAGAGAAGAACAAAGAAGGAATCAGTACCAGGTACTCTCCCTGGAAATGCGCACGTGAAAATATAGGGAGAGCTCAACCTAGTGAAAAAGACAAGATGACATCGAAGCCTCTATTTCTTGGTGGTCCGCTTCTTGGGAGCAGCCCGGGTTGTTGTGGGCTGCGGGGCAGTAGTCTTGGTGATACGGCCAGACTTGGTCTTTCCCAGAATCTTGGGCTGCTCAACGACAGCAGGGGCCTGGAATGTTCGTCAGTACCGGGTCGATCAAGGGGGGTAGATGGACGGAACATCCGGAAATCAACTTACGGCAGTGGAGGTCTTGCGAGCCTTGCCAGAGTTAGCCTTGGGCTTGGTGGCAGCAGCCTTCTTGCCCGCAGCCTTCTTAGGAGCGGTAGTCTTGGTAGTCTTTGTAACAGTCTTCTTGGGATCAGTCTTCTTGGAATCAGTCTTCTTAGGACCAGTCTTCTTGGGATCGGCCTTCTTGGGATCGGCCTTCTTAGAATCGGCCTTCTTGGAATCGGCCTTCTTGGAATCGGCCTTCTTGGGACCAGTCGTCTTGGTGGGCTTATATCACAATTAGCAGGGACCATAGAAAGTACATCCTCAATGAAAGCTTACCTTAGCAGGGGCCTTGGGGGCGGGCTTCACGGTAGGCTTAGGAGCGGCCTTGACAGGAGCCTCCTTCTTCGCAAGCTTCAAAGGGCCAGATGGGCCTAGAGGATGACGCGTCAGTTGAATGGTCAAATAACGGATGAAACCATCCGAAACTCATGCGGCGAAATGCAAAAGTTGAATCAGATCACGCAGAGTAGGATAAAAATCAATGCACGCAGGCAGGGTATATAGGAACATACCCTTGGGCTGAGTGAACTCATTCTTCTCAACACCGGCTTTGATAGCCTTGTTGAACTGAGAGTCGAAGACACTCTGGGAAGTGACGTTGATCTTGTTGTTAGACTGAACGTACTTCTTGATAGCCTGGCGACTAAAATAGGGGGAGATTCAGTCAGTGGCTGGTTTCTACAATAAATGGCGTCGAAATGCCGAGACGGATCCCAGAGGCATCGGCGACGAAGGAGAACACCAGAATACATACCTGCTACCATTGCGTTCCTTCAGCTATACGCAGAAAAGGCAAGGGTCAGCAATGAAAATGAATAAAAACTAAGAACTGGTTTTGTTGTGGTTGTCTATGCCCAAAGGCAAAGACGTGTCACGGTCGGGCGCGCGACCCGAATCACAACAACCAGGCTGGCTCGCGCCGGCAGTGATCAACTCACGCTAATAATGGCATCCTTGATCATATCTATATTGATCGAATCAGCAGATGTTCGCGACTAGATTCATGCCCATATCGCTTTTGCGCGATATGGTGGACATTCAGGATCAGTGAAAACATACCACGGTAAGAGGTGTGAGGAACAGCAGGCGCCACCTTCTTGGGCGCGCTGGTAACCTTCTTAGGGGGCATGATGATTGATTAAAAGTGAGAAAGGGAGAAGATGAAGAAGGTCAAGTTATCAAAAGATGAGAAGACTTTAGAAAAAAAAGTGGTGGGAGTGAAAGCAGAAGAGGAAGAAAAAAGAGCAGAAGGGAAAGGGAAGGCCGCGGGGCATCCGTGATTTATAGGCGACCGGTGTTGACAACAAGATCATCAGAGAGAGAAAAAAGCACTTTCTTTCTGATTTTCTTTCTACATATTATCTTTGAGCCGGTTCTTCTTTTTAATTAAATGTTGTGTTTCTTTCCTGTCTTGCTGTGTTCTTTGCGAGTGTCACTTCGCGTATCCCAACTTGAAGGATGGTTGATCTCTACACATTCTCTCTCTCTTTGATATGAGAGATACTTGAGAATATTAGGATCCTTTATTATCTTTTTTTAATATCTATTAGAATAACAGAAGATTCTGCAGGATAATAACGCGACAATCGTCATATAAACTAGTAGACTAGTGCTCCTACGCGTCTCGTTTCCCCTCGATGGAAATCGCGCATACTCTATTTTGGAGGCTTTTGGGGCCCATATCTTCTCAGAGAGGGGAGATCCTTTTCCTATGACCACATTCCAATGCCGTCTGGGGTAACCATTCCCTCTTTTGTGAGGATCCAGGAACCCTTGAGACTTGGAATCCCGCGATAAGATAGTTCCTATATTTCCTATATTATGGCCTTTTATACTTATAACGTTGACGCATTGAAACCTCCTTGCTTGGAGGGGACCTGGACCTGGACCTGCATTACCTCGTGCTGAAAGGTCACGTAGAGTTTCAAGGCCTGTGACTCGATTTCCATGGTACAACCCCTAGATGATGTCGACACTCGGCGCGTATACGCTGAACATTTTATAGCATATCTACCTCAGAGTGATGCGGATTTGAATTATGAGCTGGTTATCATTCGATTTTAGCTGTTTCATCGGGATAATAATAGGAATATAATAGGAATATAATAGGAATATAATAGGAATATAATAGGAATATAATAGGAAAAATAGTAAGAAAATGAGCACTTGCACCAGGAGTAACACAGATGATCACATATATATATCATCAAACCCAACAGAGAAATTATTTATTTTTATTATTTTTATATTTTATCAAGGTAGCCAGATATTAGAAGTCCCATAACAAACCACAAGATTTATGAAGCCCAACCTCACTCCAAGATCAGGGCACGCGATATATATCGCCCAAGAGAGGGGAAACCCTGGGAGCTCGCACCTGGCGGCAACGCCACTACATAATCACACCAGGATCAGCAGACACAACCAATAAAAGACACAGAATGACCCCGATCCCACCTCTCCCCGCTGATTCGCACTCATAAAGTTACCGAGAAGAAGAAACTGTGGGAGAGGGGCCTGGGATCGACCCGGGATGTATATGGACCCATATGATGAGCACGTTTTGTCACAACACCGAACCAACACAGACGGATAATAAAAATACACGATCATTGGACCAAAATCCTCGTTCCATACCGTATGACCCCAATTATTGGTCCATCAGCATAGCTGTGTGACGGGGATCATCGTATCTGCATCCGCAACCGGCGCGTCGAATCAAGGGATCAGATGGTGACAACGCTGATCCTGCACTGCGTGAACTCTTGCTGCATATTTGGATGGTGTAAATTGCTCATGGTAACTGGTACCAGCGTATATCTTCTGCATTCGAAGTGTCTCCTGCTTTCTATCATCAAGATCAGTCGTGGTTGGTGTTGGGAGGCCTCGACTAATCTCGCTAATCGGACCCGATCTATACAACTCTCTAGGCGAACGCTGAGAATTGACACCCTTGACAACCTCAATATAGCCACACCAGAACATCGGAAAAAGGCGATTTGATATGCTAATGCATAAAGAACAAATGGAAGATAACAAATATACAGTTTTGGGACTTTTCTATCAACTGTGGCCCCTAGGATCAGACAAAATTCCCGTGTCTGCTCTACTTGATCTTGTCTGATCCTGGCCTCCAAGGAGCCGGAAAAGGCCATTGGAACAATAGAGAAGCATCGGAATACATATTTATCCAATTTTGTTTTAAATCAGACTACCCTTTGCTATGATACACGGAACTTCATGCTCTGTCCTGATCCCCCGAGGCGAAACGGACATTCTCCGCAATGAAAATAGTCCATAAGAAACAATGAAACAAGTAAACCACAGAACGCCCACGCCAGTCCAGCTCATGTTAGATCAGGAAATAATTTTGTATCATAAGTTGTTTTTGACGGAAAAAAGAAAAATGCATCTCTCATCATCAAGAAACTAGGCCGCTCCACGCGGCTTCGCCTTGGCTTCCTTCTTGGCCTTGGCATCTTCCTTCTTTTTCTTCTTTTGTTGCTGCAGCTTCTCGTCGTGTTTGCGCTTGAGAGATGCTTTCTCGTCCTCAGTGCGGGCGACGGGCTTGAAGAATCCCTCTAGTCGGGATTGCTGAGCGGTCTTGAGGTGCTTCGACAGACGAGCGGCACCGTTGCGCACACGGTCTTCATTGAAGCCCTTGTCCCCAACCAGGAACTCAACCAGGCCCTCAATGTTGGGAGCTTCCCACTTGAAGTCGCATTCAGCGTGGTCGGCAGGCCGGACGTCTGGGTTAACAAAAAGTTCTCGTGCATCTTCGTATGGCCAGTCCTCGGGAACTACGAATTTCTTCTTCGGGTCGTTCTTCATGAACTCCAAAACCTTCTCCAGAGACTTGTGCTCCTTGATTAGGCTGAGGGCAGTGGTGGCTCCCACCTTGGGAATAGGCTCTAGGTAATCACAGCCTAGAAGAATGCAGAGATCGATGAACTGCATGGTTGACGTAGTTAGCAATTGTGACCACGCGTATTATAATTAGGACACCGTACCTGTGGGCGGTCCATGTCGAGGCCCTCAAGCGCTCGATCCAAGTGGATCTCCTGGATAGGTTCCTTGCGCTGCTCACTGAACGTCAAGTGGCGCAGGAGAATCGGCGATTCAAAGCACAATGTATCCATATCCTCTGATGCGGCTGCGTACACCTTGCCCGCACGAGCCAGGACAGCACACTGGGCTTCGGCTTCCGTCGGCGCATTGATGAAAGGAATTCCCATCAGTCCAAGGAGCTTCTTGCATTCCGCATTGTGTTCACGGGTGACGCGGACAGTCCGTCGTGAGAACTTTTCGATATCTTCCGCAGTTCCAGTTTCTTTGGCCTCTTCATGGGCCTCGGTTGCTTCAGCCTTGCGTGCAACACGCTTGGCCAATTCACCAGACTTGAGCTTCGGCGGAGCTCCGTCGAAAACGTAAAGAGGTTTAATACCGTTATCCACCATTCGCAGAGTGCGGTAGAACATGCCCATCAGGTGGGATGTGGTCTCGCCAGACTCACTCATGAGCTGTTGACCCTCCGAGCGCACGGCGATCAGGAAACTGTAGATGCTCATCGACCTGTTCTGGGTTAGCGACTAGAGATTCTTGAGCTACCGGGACGGTGATCCAATAACGTACGCATCCTAATTTGAAGAATTTATATGTCAGCATCTGAAGATATATCGCAGGTTATACAATTCATACAATTGCGACCTTGCGGCCGAAGTGGTTCTTGATCTCACCCGTCTTGATCGCATCGGGGGCATTCTCGGAGATCACTTGGTACAGATCTGGTATTTATTTAGCAAAGAGGTGTGCATAATTGAAAATAAGATACTTACGTTTAATACCCATCTTGAATGTGAGCTCAGGTTGTCTCAAGTTGGAATCTTGTTGTCTGTGTAGAGAGTTGAGCTTGACCTGTCGCAATACGCGAACGCGCTGGGCTGGAAGCGCGACACCATTTAAACCTAATTGGGTATAGTGTACCACAGGGTCAGGTGACCGGCCAATTCCAGCCTTATTTCTGCCTGAATATGCATATATGCCTTAGGCAATCAACCGGCAATGAGTAATTCGGGCCAGAACCGGCCGGTCCATGGGTGTGAAGCTGCTCCGACCCCGCCTTTCTGTCTTCCCCGGAATGCGCCAGGAGGATGAGTCCACTGTAGACTAATATGAAGCGGAATCGCATTCAATTCGAGGCCAATGGCGAAGCCTCGTCCGATTCTCCTCCTCAGGGTGCCTTCACTCCGGAGGACCGCCCTCACCATGTTCCTAAGATCTCTCGACGTATACGGGCATGCACTGAGTGTAAGCGGCACAAGGTGCGCTGTGACATGAAGGCAACTGACTCGGTGTGCTCTCGATGCCAGCGCATGGGACTAGAGTGTGTTGTGAATAAAAGCCTCCAAACATTACTAGAGGACGAAGCTGAGTGAGTGCCTTATGTTCGCTATTTACATTGGTAATATATACTGATTGCGCCGGCTACGACAGGTGGAAATCGATGATCGAGTCGGCAATGACGGACCTGCTCAGGAAATCCCAGCTACCAGAGCTATCATACTACCAAGCAGGCGGTGGTACAATCGAGACGCCTTCGAACAAGAGAGGCCGGAAAGACTCCACCGTCTCGACCGATGATAATGGACTTGTACAACATAGAAGAGCCGAGCCAGCCGACAATACAATAAGAAATGGCACAGCTGCAAGGTCAAACTATGGCTTCCCCCAACAACAGCCACGATATTCTTTGGACCGCGAGGAAGCTGGCGCAACCTCTCTGGTCACAGCACCAATGGGCAGTTTATACGAGGTGACGCAGCTCAGTGAAAACCGCGAGAGCTCGCCCGGACAAAAACTTGCCCCCGACCAAGCACTGGTCACTGATCTCATCTCGCGCGGAGTGGTCGATATCCAAGAAGCGGAGGAGCTGTTCTATCAGTTCGATCAGGTACTCAACCGCTACCTATGGGATGGAGCTTTGCTAGCACATAAAGACTTGAAGTCTGTACGGCGGTCTTCATCAATGCTGTCTGCCGCTATTTTGGCCGTTACCGCGCTTCACATGCCGACTAAAGAACGCACATTTGATACATGCTACACCGAGTTTGCAAGATTGGCATCGGAGTCTATGCTGGGTCACCATCATACTTTAGATGATATCCGCGCACTATGCATTGGAGCATTCTGGCTTGCGGATGTTAGTTGGAAGCTTTCCGGTTATGCAGTTCGTATTGCAACTGAACGCAACCTGCACCAATTCTTTCGGAAAGCCACACAAGGGTCGCCAGAACATATGGAACAGGCGAGGCTATGGTATCTCCTCTACGTGAGTAATATTTGACCCAAATCGTTGTTATTTTTGCTCATATTGTTCAGACCTTGGAACACCACTTTTCTATTGCATACGGTCGACCGCCGATGATACACGAAGATGCCAGTATCACTCAACACAATATCTTTACACAAAATCCATCAATTTCACAAGGGGACCTTCGCCTTCACAGCCAGGTCGACCTATTCATTATTCTCACCCGTATATATTTTGCATTCGGTCCAGATGTTGACCTGGAGGTCCCCGAGAGCGACTTCCCCAAGATTGATCAATACGATGTTGATATCGGGGACTGGAAGTCGGCATGGCTTCCTAGACTTGGTAAGTCTGGACTCCCTAGGACATAACTACATTGTCTGATACGTTACTACAGCGGGGAGCCGATACGTCGGCGCATATCCCTACAAGGCCGTGTATATGCATTATCATTTTTCTCGACTGCAGCTAAACTCCGTTGCTTTGCGCACATACCACTCATCCACCTCCTCTGGACAAATGTCATTTGAACGCAGGAAACGTGCCAATATCGCTGTTGAATCAGCCATCGCGACTCTCCAGGTTTGCCTGGATGAGCGAGATATCCAGTTGGCACTTGTCGGCGTCCCACTATATCTTCACAGTATGATCACATTTGCTGCAGTCTTTCTGCTAAAAATCGCAGCCAAGGTTTGCTCGAACGGGGCCATTCCCGGGAGCCAGGGGAAACGGACCTCCATCGCCTCGGCAGGACTACACGTTGACGTGAGCTACGTGCGTGTTCTTGTTGGGCGGGTCGTTGAGCTCATGGTGTCCTGCAGCCAGCGGGCTAGCGAGCGCCACTTGAGCCACCACATCGCGCGGGGTCTTCGCAAAATGCTGACTGGGCTTGAGGAATGGGAGAAGCGCACTGCTAGTACCCAACATTCCATGGGGTCAACTGCGCAGGAAGCTCATTCTCTCTTCAAGCCGGTGGTCATCCCCGGAGCGCAAATGTTAGGTGAGCGTGACACCATCTTGAATCACCCACCTCCTTTGCTTGGAGTTGCGCCGCTATCGGCTGAACGCAGCAATGGGTTTGAGCCTCCTATGACCCCAGGAAAGCTGGAGCCCGGTCTATCAGAGGGCTCGGATGACCCTATGATGACAGATCTTTGGGGATTTGATGAAGATTATTTCCCTACAGGAGTGTTTGACTTCCTTCAGAGCCAGATGCCAGCGTGATATACCTATACCTGGGACTTGACATGCTTTCCTTGGATTATTCTCTTTGTACATACATAACTAACAGCCTATGATTGACGACCACAGTTGTTGCAGGGGAATGTGGATACTAGAAACATACACTTAGAGTGAACTATTAATTAAGTCGAGCTATATCTCCATCCCCCCAAAATTAGGTCATTCCCCTGCTAAATGGCACTGGCCGGTGTATATGAATGGATGGACGGGCATTTGGCCTGACGGTTGTCGTTGGCGATATTTGGCGCACCGCTACTTTGGATCCCCGTCTATCCTCAGCTTGAGTGCCGTTTAATCTCAAGTTGCCGGATCGCCTACGGGCGATGACTTTTTTCATGTTTCTTTATTGTGGTTCTTTTTCCATAACCATGCCACCATGCGACTAAGCTCCCCAACCGCCCTTTCTGGGATTTTGTCAGGCCATTCGCGACGGTGACCGTTCCTCACACACATTCCAACAAGTATTGGAAATGCCTAAGTACGCTCTTCAAAGTCGACATAGCAACTGTGATCATATATAGAGACCTATAGGTTGCGGGTAGTACATCTCGGTGCTTGGCATCGAGCCACGCCGGGTTGACCGAAAATGTCCGAGTCGGTCGAACATGCGGAACCAAACAGCCATTGCTCGGGGATTCCGTCGAATCATATTAGCCTGATCATATTGGCCAGGGTAAATTCCAAAGCCGAGATACTGTTAATCTTTTAATTCTATCATTCCTGTGTACATTGCACTCGGTGATTTCATTTACCCCAAATTTGCCAAACTGCCGAGGTCTCCGCCATTAGTGCTATATTTGATTGAGCTCCCCCGCAACAATTCTAACTTTCTGTTCTCTCTCCACTCTGTACAATTGTGTATATTTTTTGTTTTAGCCATGATGAATAGATCTCTTCTTCGCGCAGCTGCGCGCTCAATCCAGGCTGGTCCTACCTCCGTGGCAGGCCGCCGATATGCCTCCTCGGCCGTCTTCAACTGGGAAGATCCCCTCGCCGCAGCGGAGCTGTTCACAGAGGAGGAACTGGCAATCCAGGATACAGCACGCCAATACTGCCAGGATAAGCTTGCGCCCCGCGTTTTGGGTATGTCCAATCTGCTTTGCTTTTGTTATGAAATGGTGAACTGACGTCAGTGATCCCTTGCAGAGGCCTACCGCAACGAGGATTACGACCGTCGAATCCTAGAAGAGATGGGCGACCTGGGCCTCCTCGGGGCTTCAATTGAAGGATACGGATGCGCCGGTGTCAGCACCGTGGCATCGGGCCTCATTACCAAGGAAGTCGAGCGCGTGGACTCGGGATACCGATCAGGCATGTCAGTGCAGAGCTCGCTAGCCATGACCGGCATCTACGAGTTCGGCACAGAAGAGCAAAAACAGCGCTTCCTTCCTAGCCTCGCTAAGGGCACAGTCGCCGGATGCTTCGGTCTGACAGAGCCCAACCATGGCTCTGACCCTGGGTCCATGGAGACCGTGGCTCGCGAGCACCCCACCCAAAAGGGCATGTACCTGCTCTCTGGCAGCAAGACGTGGATCACGAACTCACCCATTGCCGACATTGCCCTTGTCTGGGCTAAGCTCGAGTCTACGGGAAAGATCCGTGGGTTTATTGTGGAGCGTGAGCGTGCGACGCCCGGGTCGTACGAGACGCCCGCTATCAAGAATAAGAGTGCCCTGCGTGCTTCCATCACTGGTATGATCCATATGGATAACTGCCCCGTACCGGCGGAGAATATGCTGCCGGATGTTGAGGGTCTCAAGGGCCCCTTTACGTGCTTGAACAGTGCCCGCTTGGGAATTGCCTTTGGTGCCATGGGTGCCCTGGAGGATTGCCTTGCCCGTGCGCGCGAGTACAGTCTGGAACGCAAGCAGTTCAAGGGCAACCCACTTGCCAAGTATCAGCTTATTCAGATGAAGTTGGCTAACGCTGCTACGGATGCTGCTTACGGAACCCTGGCTGCGGTTCAGGTGGCTCGTCTTAAGGATGCTGGCAAGGCCACGCCTGAGATGATCTCGATGATCAAGCGTCAGAACTGTGACCGTGCTCTGGCTAATTCCAGAACGTAGGTTTCTTTGTTTTGACTTTGCTTTTTTTTGGTTTGGTTTACTAACATTGGTATTAGTCTGCAAGAAGTCTTTGGTGGCAATGCTGCCAGCGACGAGTATCACATTGCCCGCCATGTGGCCAACCTGTTTGTGGTGCAGACCTACGAGGGTCAAAGTGATATCCATGGTAAGTGATTCCTGCCTGACTGTGTTGGGCTGAGGCTAATGCATATTCTAATAGCTTTGATCCTGGGCCGTGCCATTACGGGCAAACAGGCCTTTGTCTAAAAAATAAAAAGAGCATACTTGTATATAGAATATATCCCAATCAAATGTTTCAAAGAGGAATATCGGTACTTATAATAGTACATATGTAGCCAGTAAGGACAAAAACACAGTATATGGTCACGCTATCAAAAGCATACTTCCTTCCTCTTTAGGCCAAGCGGGAAATTGCGGGCGCCTCACCCGCACGTGACATCATCGAGGGGCAGTGTATCGGTATCATGCGTTGTAATACGGGTTTTCAATACAGAGGTATATTGAAAGAGATTTGAATATAAAATTTGATTGAAATCATGAGAAATACATATATATGTATATATCTCCACGGGTACATGTGTATGTATTACATATAAGATCTATCTGATTAGCCACTATTACTCTCTCTTCACCAAGCTGAACATTTGAAATACATATATGTATCTGCAAATGCTGTCTTGTGTACATGCCTTTGCCTAACCCCGCCAAATTCGATGATTCAGCCCTATCAAGGAATTTGCCTTCATTCAAGAATCAAACGATTCTAATTCAAATAACATATGTACATATATATCCCAAATTCTATCTACTTCTACCTCATTCTTCAATGCCTCAAATAATAGGTCAGCCTCAAAAGCTGAATCATGATGTGTCATCGCAGTGTGGCGGTATTTCCGTATTGGGCCGTACAATACCGACAGAATCGATTCCGCCCACCTGGGGGCACTTTTCCCCCTCTTGAGACTCCCAATTATCTTCTTCCCTCTTCTTTTCCACACAAAGACGTAATCGTAAGTCGACTTACTTCCTCTCCAACTTGAATCAACAACTGACGATCCATCACCCAGTTTCTTTTTACTTTTTACACCTTTCTCATTCTTTCGTCATGGCTCTCAAGCGTATTAACAAGGAACTCACTGATCTCGGCCGGTAAGCCTATTCTAATGCCATCATCTGCGATTCATGACTCTGACTCTCCTCTAGTGATCCACCCTCTTCCTGCTCCGCTGGCCCCGTTGGAGATGATCTGGTATGAATACTCGTTTTCTTGGTCGGCGCTGGGTGGCGGGGTACAACCGCCCCGGTGTTGAACCAGGTTGATATCAATGAAAGGATCATGGATGACTGACTTGTCTTTTTTTTTTTTTTACAGTTCCACTGGCAAGCGACCATCATGGGTCCTGTAAGTTGTTCGCATCTCTGCTCTGGAGGACCTTGGGGGCCATCTGGCCCTCTGCGAAATCCAGAGAGTCATCACCAAATTCGTTATACTAACAGATCATATAGGGTGACTCCCCTTACTCTGGCGGTGTCTTCTTCCTTGCCATTCACTTCCCTACCGACTACCCCTTCAAGCCTCCCAAGGTCAACTTCACCACTCGCATCTATCACCCCAACATCAACTCCAACGGCAGTATCTGTCTGGACATCCTGAGAGACCAATGGAGCCCTGCTCTCACCATCTCTAAAGGTGAGCAAGACCACTCCTTTTCACTATTGCCACACATACAGAGTCTCTAACAATTCATAGTGTTGCTCTCCATTTGCTCGATGCTCACAGACCCCAACCCGGACGATCCTCTTGTGCCCGAAATCGCGCACGTCTACAAGACCGACCGACCCCGCTACGAGGCGACAGCTCGCGAGTGGACACGGAAGTACGCTATTTGAGTGAAACGACAAATCTGATTCCTTCTTCGCTTATGTTCTTCTCTCTATCTCTCTCTCCCTCAATAACCCCCTCCTTGCGGCCCCTATCTCGCTCGACCACTCTTCATCGGTGTCATCTCAACGTCGCTCTGCATCTTTTCGCTTTCTTTGCCCCCCGCTCTAGATTCAGAATTCGCGAAAGCCTGGCGTACTTGTGGTCGTAGAAACATTTTCAGTCTTTTTTACATCCCCCCCCAAACTCTGTGTGTTGATTTCAAATGCACCTGTTCTTGCGCGCGTTTGCTTCCTGCTTCCGTGCCTAAAAACTCCATTTGCACCGGGTTTGACCTTGTCTTGTTGGGCTGAGTTTCTGGGACTTTTCATATCCAACGATCCTTATGACAAATTCTCATGCATTCATGGCATCCATTTTTTTCTTCTCTTTTTCAAACGCTGCATGCGTCTAGGATTGAATTATGGACTTTGCCGAGTTTTTCTCCAGTTCTTTTGCTTCGGGCTCGGTGGGTAATGCTTTGGGGGGGTTTCAGAGAGTAGTTCGAGATCACCTATTATGTGTCTTGTGTCTTGCATTTAGGGGCTTCTATCGTTTTTCTTAAATAACACAATCTAGACAGGCCCGTCTATGTGTTAATCAGCTTTTTGCTACTTGTAGACTGTAGTTTGTACATCGTGTAATATTATTCTAGTATTGGACTTCATTGGTATACATGTATCAACTACAACTTCAAACACTCTCTTGCATGATGCATTCCAATTCCCCGACTCCCAAACACCATATATGTATGTATGTATATCTATCTGTGTAAATGCAAATCAAAAAAAGATTAATAGTAGGAAATCGCATCAAATCAAATCTGTCGTATCAAAAATCTCCCCCCGGACAGGATGCAATCAAGCAACCTGACTTCCCCGTCGACTCCCAGCCCTCGACCCCTCCCCAGCCTTAGCAGTCCTCTGACTAGCCCTCGAAACCTGACTCACCGAGTCCGCCGGACTCACATGATCATCAGCCCTAGACCCCTTGGAAGACCGATGCGAGCGGTGCCGATGAGTACGCGATCCAACCTGGCTAATCGAGTCATCAGGCGAAACATGCGAGTCAACATCTAGATCCACCACGCTCTCGGGGAGTGGGACATTCCGCGCAGACAAATACGAGTTCCCGCCATCCTTGCTGTGGATACTTGGGCTGGAGTAGTATGTAGCGTTTGAGCCAGCGGGGAGGGGGATATTGCGTGCAGAGCGGGAGGAAGATGCAACGCTAGCGTTGTCTTTGCCGGCGTGTGAGGAAGAGCGCACTGAGGCCGCGCGGTAGGAGTGTGTGCTTTGCTGGCTCTTTTGTGAACGCTGCGAGACGACGGACTCGTATCCGTCGCGGTCGTCGTGGCTGTGGCGTCGGTGGGTGCTTTGCGAGGCTTTGATCGTTGAGGAGCTGTGCACGCTGCTTGGACCCCGGGTCTTCTCGTCGTGGAAGCTGCTGATGAAGGTTGACGGGGCACAGGCGTAGCGTTGCTGCGAGGCGTTGCTGGCTGGTGGGTACTCGATTGCCCGGAGCGGGGTGTCTTCGGGAATACTGTAGATGCTGCCTTCTGAGGCGCGGCGGGGGTTGTCGTGCATGTATTCGGTCCCCTCGTAGACTGTGCTGGCGCGAGGGTTCTTGGAGGTTACGCTGCGCGTGAGGGTTGAGCGGGGGTTTGAGGCTGTTGTGTAAGAGCTGCGAGGTGGTGAGGGTGCTTCGATGGCACGGTATTGGGATTGTTGGTCGTCGTTGCCGAAGAAGGATTGGGCCGCGGCTTTGATTTGAGGGAAGCTGCTTACGAACTGCGTTGGCTGTTCGGGTTCTTGGATTGTTGACTGGGAGTCACCCTTGACCATTGCGTAGGCGATGGCTGCGCCCGCCGCGGCGCCAATGAGCGTGCCCACGATCGTCTTGGCTGCCTTGCTACCGTCATCGCTCTGGGGCGGTGCGGGTGCTTGCACCGTGTATGATGGTGGGGGTGGGCCTTGGAATTGGCGGGAGACGACTGTTGGTGCAGACCGCTCAAAGGTTGTGGGTGCCTTGGAAATGGCACGCGACTTGGCCTCAGATCGGGCTTCGGACCTTGCCTCGGATCGGGCTTCAGATCTTGCCTCAGATCGTGCCTCGGACCTCGCCTCAGACCTTGCTATAGATCTAGCTTCAGACACCTCAGACCTCGGAGGTGCGATGCTCTCTGTCTTGATGGTGCTAGCTCTGCTGCTCGCCTTTGAGACCACAGAGCGGCTGGAACTCTCTATAAGAGCCATTGTCGGCCCGCTAGCCTCTGATGATATGACAGAGGCACTGCTGGGCCGGTACACGGCTTCAATGCTGTTGCCGTCGAAGTCGATGACGGCTGCACTGAAGTACCCTGACTGCGAATCTCGCATCTTGGGTTCGCCGTGGATCTTCGCGCCCGCTTTTAGAGCACTTATGAAGAACGAGCCGACTGCGTCTTTCGACGGGGCTGGAAAGGCGACATGGACTGCGCCAGGAGGAGATCTTTGGTTCATGTTAGCTCTGTCGAAAGATAGAGTGTTCTTTTTCTTTATGTATATATCACTCACCCAGGCTTAGTCTCGGTCATCCAGAAATCAGCAGGCTCCCCCTGCTTCTGCCCGAACCCTATATAGTCGTCATGTCGACCGATGAATTGGTATCCCAATGGCTGTAAACATGATAAGAAGAAAGAGGTAGAGGTCGGGAGGTGAGAGACGGTCAAGGTGATATGCGAAACGGGCATTGCGAAGGTTGGAAGTCGACGTGCCTGGGTTACCAGCACGTACACACAGTTGAGAAAGAATGGGAAAAACGAAGGTGGGTGGAAAGAGAAAGAGAGAGATTAAATGGAACCGGTAAAGATATATACGGTGAAGGAATCCAAGTCTATAACCAGAACTATGACGCCAGGAAATGAGGCCACATGAACGATGCTCCCCAAGAGCCAGTCAGAATAAATGCTGTGTGACTCTAATCCAAAAACAGAGAATAAACTAGCCTCCAAAATCCTGCCCAAGCTAAAAAGGGGTCATCCAGAACACCGCATATCTTCCGATAGTACGGAGTACGGAGTACGTTGGTGGACACTTGAGGACGTGTGATTTCTGTATGGAGTCAGGCAAGTGGGGGTCCATAGACGATTGGCCCAAAGATCAAGTCAATGCTCAGTACCCGATCTGCACGGGAAAGTTGAAACAGTCCCAGGACGAGGCGTGTTCAAGGCCTAAACTCATACTCTGTACTTCGTACTTGGTGAGAATAGAAAGAAGGTCAGTCCGTACTTCCAATGGCACAGTAGTCAGACCGAATGCTGTTCCTGTTCCTGGCTGCTTTGGGATATCTAGGGGCCCAACTTTGTGCAGGGTGAAACGCTCTATGGCTGGAGGGGTGCAGATGGGTCCCTGCCAGGTCATCGCGGGGAGCCAATGTGGATTCCTGTTGGCGGATGGGGCGTCTGTTCTGGATGCCCTGAGCGAGGTGCAGGAGCCTATCGACGTTAAGTGGGCATTTTGCTTACTTGTTCTCTCGTGAGCAAATGATAGACTTGAGAGTGGAGGGACGAGGAGAAAAAGTCCTGCCAGGTGGACTTGGGTAGATGTGCTGACCGCTACGGCTATAGTTGAGTCATACACGTACATTAAGAAATTTGGGTGCGGTTTTTTTTTTTCTTTCATAGGTTTCTAAGTAATAATATGATTTACATGGACATAATATGATATCTAATATATATTTATCTACAATATCTACCGACAATATATCACCAAATATACGATGGGCAGAAGTGCATCTCATATCGCCACCGTCGATCCGATTCGCACATTCAAAGTGAGGCGAGGGCTAATTACATGCCACGTCAAGAATCGGGATTATTATTACGGAGTAGTTTATAACTACTTGACTAAAGAGAAAAAAAGACGAGTTTTTAAAAAAAAAAAAAAGCCATATTTTTATTGAACACAGAAGTTGAAGATATGTGTCTCAGGAAATCCCAAATTAATGGGCCCTGATCTATGTGCTGTTCACTTTTTCTGATCTACACATCACAGCAGTCGAGGTTGAAGCTGGATGGAAGCAAGATGGATCAAGGACTGGCGAAAAGGAACCAAATGCCATCCGACCCGTAACGTATAGGGGAAAAAGAACCAGGTGCTCTCTAAACCACATACCTTGGGATGAATCCCGATGCTTGGAAGCTGTCCCAGTATTTCCAGTTTCACTCCAAACAAACCGAGATGGAAAGGTAGAGAGAATCGGGCTTAATAACAGCCGACATACTCAAAAGGACAGGCATATGCAGAGATACCGGTACCTTCGTTCTGAAAATCAATCCCCGTATTTAAAAAAAGGTGCAAATGTGCCGTCAGTACAGACGACAAGGACGCGCGCTCTCTGGGCGCGATTTCTTTCTTTTTATTTTTTCCAGTTAGGCTTCTCAGAGGATATCCCAAACCTCTTCGGCAGCGTGGCAGAATTTGCTGCAAGCAACACTGGCACTAAGACTGTAGTTGCTGATACTGATTGTTTCGTCCTTGAAGGAGTCGGCAAAGTCATCGGTGCCCTTAGCCATGGCACCGACGAAAATGGCGACACTCTCGTTGGGGTTCAGCGACTCCAGGTAGTCCTTGGTGCGGACCACGGGCGCCTCGAAACTCATGGTCACCTTGCGGCAGTTGGGGGGCAGGTGGTCGGTGATCGGGTTCTTAATAACCTTGAGGAGCTTTTCCTGTGAGTTGGTCGAACGGATGGAGAGTCGGTGGAGCAACTGGACCATCAGACCGGCGAACCGCTTGAATGTTCTCGGGATGCGGACGGAAGGATTGACTTCGATCAAAACGCCCTTGGCGGTGTGAATGAAAATTTGGAGCCGACCGGCTTTGTTCACGGGGGAATCGAGAAGAGTGAGCAGACACTACGGTGGGTTAGTGGGTATTCTTTTTTGACCTTAGTATTGCCACTGGCGATGTTGAATCGTACCTGGTGGGTAATATCTGGTCGGGCTTCACTGATATCACGGTTCATTTTGCGCATGATACCGATGTGCTCATCGCTGTTGAGAAGAGAGAATTTCTCATCTTTGGTCCCTGAGCGTCCACTGGAGACAGCCTTGTAGGTTTCCAGACTAGCATTGGACAGAACCACAATCAAGCGCTGGGTGTCCTTATCATGGGATGGAATTGGCACATGCTGTTCGGCAACCAGCTGGGGGAGCTCCGGAGGAGGGCAAGACTGGGTCCCTGGAGGAGAGATGTTAGACATGTTTGAGGTTTTGTTTGAAAACGATGGAATTGCGATTTAGGCGCGGGGAGGGGTAAAGGGAAGGGGGGGAAATGTGAAGATGTGGCTGGGATATAATCCAGGGGATTGGTGCCCAGCGACATGTCACACGGGCCAGATCAAAATTGATACTGGAAGATTTGACGTTGAAATATTGTGATTCAAGTGGTGTAGTTCCGGAGAGAAAAAAAAAAAAAAGGAAAATTCAACCCGAATGAGATATAAAGCAAGGGAGAAAAGGATAAAAAGCAGATCCAATACTTACTCGCACGCTTTCTCTTGCCGGCAATTTGTTCTTGGTCGGACATTGTTGATATAATTGACAAAAGTTGTTGGAGTTGAAGAGTTTTTGGGGGAAAAGCTCGGGGAAGATAAAAAAAAAAGAAAAGCGGCCAAACAGCCCGGGGGATTCTGCGGGAGGTCCTGGACTTCGGAGTCAGGTGGAAGTTATGGAATTTATGGAATTATATCGAATCTGACATTGCATATTAACCCTGTTTCATGTCTTTTGATTGTTTATTGTTTAATTTCATTATAGATCGGAGTGTATGCTTCGGACTTTTTATAGGTTGAAATATTTAAATACTGAGATAGTACTCCGTAGAATGGCAACCTTGGAAATATATATAACTATATAACCCATCTTCAATCCTTCTAGAAATTCCCCTTTAATTCCCTTTTAATGTTAGCTCGAACGGTTTAGTGCTTAGTGCCACTCAGCAGAGAGATCGACACTATAGCCCCCCAGTTCTGCCGTTTACGGAGTACCATGCTTATACGGAGTACTAATGTATGATATGTATGATCCCAGCTCTGTTTGAACCAGCCACAATCTGCTAAGGAAAGCCACATGAAGGCTTTTCTTTTATAGGTTGATAGGTCCAAGATCCTCTCAATACAACATAATAGCACCCGACAAGAATGCATCGACTTAAATTCGGTTGAGACTATCTACCTCTGGACCAGACCTTGTTGGCGACTCTGGCAGCTACAGTACTTCCTGGAGCACAATGAATATGACTGGAGGATATAGTTAGACCAGATGATGAGGATGTGTAACATTATATACATAATATTGCGTGGGTGACTCAGAACAAACAGATCTAACTGGCTCATGCCTACCTAGCATTGCCTCTTAGGGGTAGCGCACTCCGTACACCGAGAGGCTCCTATCCAGTGGATGAGAAGGGTCAGCACAGATGTGAAGGCCACGAATGGATGAGAATGGCAACGGTGGTACAAGGAAGCTTTGTCACCAAGGCCCTGAAGGAGTAGTTCTTCAGGCAATCCTGAGACATTTGTTCAGAGTTGGAGCTTATGACGCCTCTCGTGGATACGGACTCCGCAGTCCGGTAGCGACCGGAATGAATGTGTGTCATGTAGGCTCCAGCACTGAATATTCATACTTTCTCTGACATGCCAAGTGATCAGTGGCCAGGCTGTGTGAAATCCGGGGAGGGGAACCAGGTCTCCCATATATCGATGGGTAACCTCGTAACCTGGCTGAACCACCTGGGCATTAAGCCAATCACTTGACAAGATCCAAGATCTCTGTCGGGTCTTGACCCAATCAGCACGGAATAGTTCGTGTTGGGTTGGCCCCAAGCGCCCGGTATATTCCCTCAGATGAAAAGAATTGCTGTAACCCGTAACCTGTATCCTGTAAGCGCTGAACGTGAAGTCGTCAAGCGGTCAATAGTGATGATCACAATTCCAACGTGGGCTTCCTTGCACAATGCAATATGGGAAAGGCCTTACTGGCTGCTCCGTATATGGAAGCCTTGCACACCTTGGCAATCAGAGGCCAAGGGGGGCTCAGGAGAGCGTCATCTTTTAATCTCCCTGGTAGACTTTCACCAGTGCACACAAGATAGTCTCATTGGTCGAATTTTGGAGATTGGAGCCTGTCTGCTAACTGCCAATTGTGTACTCCATCCGTACTCCATAAACATTATTTTATATTATTGTGAATCAATTAAGAAAGGGGGCAAAAAAATAAAAAATAAAAAAAAAGAAGTGCCCGACATACCAACCACAGGAATTTGACAAGGCTGGTGTGATTGTTATTATACTCCGTTTACCTGCACTTCACCATCTTCACATCTTCATATATCTGCGCATCTTTGCTTCTCCACTTCGCTGACTCTTTTTTATCTTCTATTCTCCTTGGTCCGGTATTAATCCCGGCTGGTGGCGAGACTCTCCTTTTTTTAAAAACTACAAAAACCCAGCTCTCCACCGGAAGCCGTTGATCATTTCCACATCATCTTTTTTTTGTTCTCTATTTGAACTTGAAATTGCCCTGAAGATCGAAAGGAAAACAAAACAAAATAACACCAGACAAGACAAGGGATACCTCCAACCTTGGAAGCTCTGAAGGTCAGTGAGATTAGTCATTCCCTTGGAACAATATGACCTAAACAAGACTAGCGTTCCACGCGTGCCCGGTCAAGCTCGACTTTCCCAACTTCTTCATCCCACCTTGCCCTGAACAAATTTTGGATAAGTCAGGGTCATGCCGTGGACAGTTACCAATTCATTTAAGAGGTATGTATATTGGGTTCAATTTACAAGGGGGTGAGAACTAACATCCTTCAAGAGGACTTATGAAAACTTACGGACGACCAACATGGCGCGTCTATGACGATGAGCGCGCCGCGAAGAAAAGACGCGTGGATGAGTCTGATGAAGCTGAGGCCAACCTACAATATGCCATCCGCGAGTCTTCAGCCGCCGTGCTGTCGAGTCCGTCGCGTCGCAACTCCCTGTTATCGGAAGGCACGCTCGATGATATTGACGATCTCACCACACCCCCATCCTCGCCACCTCCACGGTTAACTCCACCCCCAGCAAATACCCGCAAACCGACATTTGCCTTTCTCAAGCGCAAGCACAAGGAAATCACCGCCGGATCGCCCTTGACAGAGGTTAATTCGAATAGCGTACGCGCATCCGCGGACCCACCCAAGCAGAAAGGTCAGAAACAACCCGTGATGCGCCAGATGCAGATCGACCTGGGAAATGATACACGAAAGACCTGTGCTACCTGTGGCATGGAATATATCCCGTCCAATACAGAGGATGCGGCACTGCATAAAAAGTTCCACGAGATGAATGCGACTGGGATCGACCTGGGCAAGGCATTTATGCGTGCGAACGCCTCACGCTGGGTTTACGAAGCGACTCGATTCGACGAGGGGTATGTGGTAATTGTGGACCGCAAGGCGTCGCCTAGCGCCAAGAGCCAGGCGAAGAAGGTTCTCGAAGTTGTCAATAAAGAGCTCTCATCACCGGAAATCGATGACGAGACCCTCTGGAGTCAAACGGAACCACCCAAACATTTGCAGGATGGTCCGACCGAGAAAGTAGATCGCTACCGGGTCTTTCTACACATGAAGGACAGCCGCTGTGTCGGGCTCTGTCTGACCGAGCGCATCTGGGAATCGCGACCGGTGGTAAAGGAATCAAATGGCGACGCGCATAACGGCTCCTCTGTCTCGACGCGAGATGAAATCCGCCCGGCCATTGTCGGTGTCTCTCGCATCTGGACTTCCGGATCTTCACGACGAAAGGGAATCGCTTTAGATCTCCTCGACTGCGTGGTCATCAACTTTATTTACGGGATGGAAATAACAAAGGGTCAAATTGCATTCAGCCAGCCCACGGAGAGTGGCAATCGCCTGGCACATAAGTTTTTCGAGGGTGAAGAGACATGGCATGTCTATAACGAACGGTGAGGGCACTTGAATATGGGAGGAATCATTTATTATTATTATTTCACAGCACTGGGTGAGGCATATGGGGGAGGGGCTTTGTATTTTCTGGAGAGCGTATTTTTTTTTCTGTTGTTTTATATGCTTCTGTACCATACCTGGACCTTTTTCCCATGTATAATAGGGAACTGGGATGCATTCGTTTCAATATTCCAATTTGACTGAACTATTATCTTAATATAAGAACTTCCAAGGTTGTGTACTTTTATGCAATTTTATCCAAAAAGGCCTCTCGGGGGAGCCGGACTCGATCTCGGAACGCGGCGCGTAAGGTAACTAGGAACCTCATGGATAAGAAATTCGGCGGGGACCCCTCAATTCTTCTCTTCCTTTTCTCTCGATTCTGACATATTTATTTTCGCGATGTCTAGATCAAATCCTTTTCGCCCTAGAAATCCGGGTGAGTATTGTTTCTCCCCTCTTTCCCCTCCTGAGGCTTCTCCGGTAACACGGGGAGATCATCCCCAACGTAACGCTGATGAATCTGGATATTCAGGCAATCCCGCAGATCCATTGCCTACCAACTCGGGCACCTCTGTCCCTTTTGCGCCCTCCAAGCCTTTATCCACTCCACCTATAGCCCTGAACGGTCACCCCGGGAAGTCGTCCGTATCGCTTGAACGCGAGGTAGATGACTCGAGCTCCTCGGACGAAGAGACAAACCCATTCAATCTGGTGGTGTCTGCGACCGATAGTGAGGAGGAAATCAATCGGTACAAGAGCCCAGCTCCCCATGAGGATGATCGACCAGAATATCTTGGGTCAGCTCCACACCAAGCTCCATCAGCAGATGGATCCCCAATATCACCCGACCACAACATGCGGTCTGCAACAGCTGCAGATAGCTCCTATGCAGGACGTCCTGCAGCACGATTGTCTTTAGAGCTTAACGCAAGCAGCTCCCTCGGCCGCACCAAAGACAAGAAGCCGCCGCCTCCGCCTAGGAGTCATCACGGCCGCAGAATCGGCTCTACAGCCACCGCGGAATCCTCTCAGACCGCCCGGTCTCGGTCTGCTAATCGCTTGTCAATCCATGGCTCCTCTGGGAATGTGACGCCCGGTGCCTCCCATCCCAGCTCAGTGTCTCTATCAGCGGCGGCGGACTATTTCTCGGCCCCCGGAGCGACAGGGTCGACGGACTCGCTTCAACGCAGCCAGTCTCAGCATAAGCGTCCTCCGACGCCACCTCTCAGTCGACGGCACAGCCAGATGCGGAGATCCAAGTCTACACAGTCCAAAACTAGTAGCAGATTAAATATTTCTTACGACTCGGAGAGCAATGATAGCTCTCAGCCTCCCAGTCCGGGCCCTTCCAGTCGGGCTATGGCAAACAAGAGAATTAGCATGCCTCCCCCATCATCGGGAGACTTCCAGGCGACTGCTCCGTTGGGAGATACCTCGTTGAACCTGTCTCCCCCACTAACTCCAGACCATCATCACTGAAGGCTGGGCGGCGGGCATCATCTTATGGGAGTGTACCGGGTGGCTCTACTGCACCACCTCCGCCCCCTCCGCCTCGGCGCACTCGAGATTCCATTGCCCGTAGTAGTGATGTGATGGGGTTGAAGGAGAACCAGACACCCACTCCACAACCATCCAATGCCCTTGACATCCTGGCTGATCTCACCAAACTCCAGAAGGAGGTGGATGATCTTCGGGGGCATTATGAGAATCGGAAGGTTTAGGGATTAGGGGGAGCAGCGGGCTGTTTTCTCTTCTACATTTTATTATAGGATTATATACATGAATGAACGAAGGCATGAACTTGGCGTGTGTTTACCAAAATTGGATTTCTGGTAGATTTGGTAAATTCCGAACAATGACCTTTATATAGGGGAAGCTGAAAGGCGGGACTGATATTGTATGGTGGTAATTAGTGTCCACTATAACAGTGGAGCTCTAGGTTTGTTTATAGACACCGAAGATATAGGTGAAATATAACTAATTAATATCATCTTCAACCAAATAAACTGGATAATTCAATGTTTCTTCCCATGATAGAGCCTTGTAAGCAAATTACTAGATATATCAGCCCAGGTATCTCAGGACTACATGTGTTGTATAATATAGTGACCCGCAATATTGTCCAAATGGCCACTAAAACATACTGTAGTTTCCACCGAGGTATGACGTGGGGGAAATTAATTATTTAGTTCTCAAGTTCAAGTCCACCATCTCTCCTTCCCTCTTTCTCCAACCTCCATCTCTTTGGACTTCTCTCACTGAATTACTGACTCTGCTTCATTTTCAGAGAATTAATTCATCTTCATATCTCATCATGACTACTCCAACGCTGATCAATTTGCCTCCTCCCCCATCGGACCCCGTCACTCCATCGGATATGGGACCGTAAGAGCTCTCTATAACTCCGTCTTTCCTGTGTCTGCATATAAAATGGAGAGTTAACTGACTTGGCTAATTAATGGGGGAAACCAGAGGCACCCCCAACTCCGGCACTACCTCGCTATCTGCTCTCTCGACCACAGCCATCAAAGATGGCCACCAGGGCCAACCATTCCCTCACAGCCACCATGCGCACCAGTCCTCTACATCTTCAACCACAACCCTAGAAGCTGAGCGCGCAGACCGCATCTCTCGCCTAGCCGGTCTCGAGCGCGTCGCCACAGCTCGCGCCGGTGGCCAAACATCCGGCCAAGTGCCCCCGCCATATGCGCCAGGATACTTTGAGAGTCAAGCACTGAAGGAGCGCAGCACAGTTGGCAGCGCCAGCGCGACGGGAAGTATTGCTGGACGCACTACCTGGGCGAGTAGTAGCGACACATACGATGCCGACAAAATGAGCGAGTATCACGAGGACGACGGCACCTCCAGTGTCGGTAACGTCAGTGACGAGGGTAATGCCAGTCTGGTTGGTTTTGGCGAGGGCGCCAATAGTACTTACAGTGGACCGATTTCTCGTCCTCCTGGAATGAACCGTATGTCTTCTGGAGGTATCGGGGCACGACCTACTTCTATGGGTAGCTCGAATGTCAACCGCCCAACTCCGCTGGCTTCATATCTTCAGCAACAACAGCATCATGCTGGGGAGAGCTCTATGATGCCATCATCACCAGCTGGGTCAGTGACCCCCGAGCCTATGAACGAGGATGCTCGCATGGTTGATGGTATGACCTTTGACTCGGATGTTGTTGATACTACTGCCAGAACTCCACGATTGGTTTCCACGCCCAGTCACAGCGGCAGTGGCTTTGGCTCGCCAGGCCGGGATTAGAGTCTGGTTGATGTTTTGGTAGATTCAAGAGGTTATGAAGGCGTTTTTCTTAGTGGCTTGATGCCTCGAATGGATTGCTTCTTTTTTTGTGTGTCTTTGTTTCAAAGTAACAAAGCTATGACTATGAATGTAATTATAAACAGAGCAAACTGTGTATTGAGAGATGATATCTTCCAAATATCCAAGTGTCGTCTGTACCTGATTGGGTCTTCCCCTCCAAGGACCCTTGCCACCTGTCTTTTCCTCGTAAATCCAGACACATTATGTATTATTTTGAGGTTATCTAAATATCTAGACATATAGAATAACAAATTACCAAGTTAGTATATAGTTCTATCTATGCTCTAATCCAACCCGAAGCATACAATCTATACAGTTGTGATTCCCGGCACAACGCGTATACCGCAGATGACGGCATGCCGCCTGAGCCACATCGCCAAACCCGAATTTTCTTCCTTTCACTCTTCAACCACCCCAACTACCTTTCTTCGCTCGACCTCTTTTGCTGGCATTGACTTGTCTAGCAGTCTTCTATTCCGCCGACTTGCTGTTTTCACTTGCCCAGAAACCCACACGAAATCCCAATCCGAGAAATACCCCCGAAAAGCCCGTTTCGCTTCACCTTTGCTTCGCCTTTGTTCGACTCCCCGTTATTTCACCGGGTCCGTTGTTCGCTGCGAGGTTATTTTGGTCCTACAAGTTCGCTTTGTGATTCGTGCTTCTTCCTAGAAGAAACCATTTTACCTGGTGTTCTCAAAAAGCACTCGATTTCTCTTCTTTTGGTGGATTCATTCTAGACCCGCGAGTCGAAATCAAGATGGCTGCTCCTACGCAACTTGCTTGTATGTGGTTTCCCTTTCCCCATCCTTGTTCCTGACTTTGCGTCGCATTCCTCGAGTATATGAATGGTTGCTGATAGTCGCACAGTCCGCACGCTCAAGGGCATTAGCATCATGGATGCCGCCCCTGTCTACCAGCCCCTTTCTGGGTTCGCGAAGTAAGAATTGAGCCAGATAGCAAAAAAGAGATATGCTGACTCGTTTTCCAGACCAGAGGGCAACCTCCGCTGTAGCGCTTACTCGCCGTGTGGCCGGTACTTCGCATGGGCGTCACCCGAGAAGTAAGTTGGTTAACCCCCACTTTCACGTCTAAAATCTAACATTCCTCTCCAACACAGGGTTACCATTATCGACCCTTCCGTGGGCCAAGTCGTTGGGACCATCCCCGCCGAAAACGTGTTCGAGCTTGGATTTTCGCCACTCGGCACTTATGTGATCACCTGGCAGCGCACATCCAAGGACGAGAACGGAGATGCCGTCAAGAACCTGAAGGTGTGGCGTGCCATTGAGGATGGGGACGAGCACTCGGTTGTGGGAAGTTTCGTCCAGAAGTCGCAGACCGGCTGGAACTTGCAGTACACTGCCGATGAGCGGCTGTGCGCCCGCACCGTGACCAACGAGGTTCAGTTCTACCAGAGCGACAACCTCTCCACTGTTTGGAACAAGTTGCGCGTGGAGGGAGTGGCGGACTTTGCGTTGTCGCCTGGTCAGACTCAGTCTATTGCCGTGTTCATTCCTGAGCGCAAGGGCCAGCCTGCCCAGGTTAAGGTGTTCATTGTGCCCCAGTTCGCTGCCCCCGTGTCCCAGAAGAGCTTCTTCAAGGGCGATAAGGTTCAGCTGAAGTGGAACGCTTCTGGAACTACCTTGATCGTGCTTGCGCAGACTGAGGTGGATCGCACTGGTAAGAGTTACTATGGCGAGACAACCCTGTACTTGCTGAGCGCTAGTGGTGCATTCGACTCGCGCATTGATCTTGGTATGTTTTTTCCCCCTCCTTTTTTTTTGGTTTACTACTTGTTGAACTCAACTAACAATCAACAGATAAGGAAGGTCCTATTCACGATGTCAGCTGGAACCCCAACTCGAAGGAATTCGGTGTTGTGTACGGCTACATGCCCGCTAAGACGACCATCTTCAACTTCCGCGGTGTGCCCAAGCACAACTTCCCCCTCGCGCCGCGCAACACTATCCAGTTCTCGCCCCATGGCCGCTTCGTCCTGGTTGCCGGTTTCGGTAACCTGGCAGGACAAATGGACCTCTACGACATGGACAAGAACTACCACAAGATCACCACCGTCGAGGCCTCCAACGCCAGCGTGTGCGCCTGGTCGCCCGATGGACAGTACATCCTCACCGCGACGACCAGCCCCCGCCTGCGCGTCGACAACGGAGTACGCATCTGGCACGTTAGCGGCGGTCTCACCTACAACGAGGATATGACCGAGCTCTACGACGTCACCTGGCGCCCACAGAGCATCGAGCAGCACCCTCTGGGCGAGCCGCTCACCAAGGTGCCTGTGCCCCACCCCTCCGCCACCGCCTACATGGGCACGCGCAAGGCCCCCGTCAAGCCCGCAGGTGCTTACCGTCCCCCTGGCGCCCGTGGTCAACTGACCCCGCTCGCATTCAAGCGTGAAGACGAAGGTGGTGCTGCCTTTGTCCGCGATGGTGTGCCCGGCGCCAGCATGAACACTTTCGGCAAGCCCCGCCGTCGTGAGATCCCCGGTGCTGAGCCCTCGGAGGAGTACCTGCCTCCTGGAGCCGCACCTGGCGGCGGCGTCGCCCTGCCCACCGAGAACCTGTCCAAGTCCGCCGCGAAGAATAAGAAGAAGCGCGAGGCGGCCAAGAAGGCTAAGGAAGATGGAGCTGATGCTTCTCTTGCCAACGCCCCGACTGGACCCAGCCCCGACCGCAACCGCAACCGCGGTAAGAATGCTGGCCTCCCGAATGGAAACGGCGCGGCCAAGTCTGCCCCTGCTCCTGCTGCTGCCGCTGCCCCTGCCGCTGCTCCCGCATCTGTTGAGGATCCTTCTGCCCAGGATAAGAAGATCCGTGGCCTGCTGAAGAAGATCCGCGCGATCGATGAGCTTAAGATGCGTCTTGCTGGTGGCGAGAAGCTGGAGGATACGCAGATGAAGAAGATCCAGACCGAGGATGCGGTGCGGAAAGAGCTCCAGGCTGTTGGGTATGATGGTTGATTGGAACTGAACAGACGAGAATGCATGATGCTTGACGCCTGACGACGTTGATGCAGATTGCGCCCCCTTGCATGGATATACTTAGATCGACCTGCATGTATTGCATCTGGTTATAGGAGCTGTTCAAATTGACATGGATATCCATATCAATATCAATATCACTCACTAACCATCAATATGAACCTTGGAACTTAGAACTGAAATTTCTGTACAGAGTGTCTATTTTAAAACTATAACCCATTTACAGATCTATAAAAAACTACAACCAGTAAATCTATCTCACAGGGGAGAATAATATCAAAGAATATCAATCACCCAGACCCAGAATACTCATCCAAAACACCAACCCCCCTCTCAACCCTCATCCTCTCCCAATTAGCCCTCCACCACCACACCCCCGTCTCATCCAACCCAGACAAATCCCCCTCTACAACCTCCTCATGCCAAGGCTTCGTAGCAAAGATATAATGCACAGCCCGAACCTCACTATCCCGCCAAATAGAATCATGCACCCCCGCAATCCGCAACGTCTTAAGCGCATTATAAACATACGGCAACGGAACCCACCGTCCAGCAAAGACATCAGACAACAACTCCTGATCAGGGAAGTCGTACCGCTCAATCCGCGCTGTCTCCTGTAACGCAGCTGTGATCTCGTCGTACACACGCGCGGAAGGCCGCACAACTAACACCCCGCTGTTCAGCATCCCGACACCGGAGCTTGGAGGTGGGGCGATGTTCTGCGCGTCGGCGGGGGTGGAGTGTTGCGTTGTGTAAGCGCAATTCGATGGGATCCTGGTGAGAGGAATGTTAGTACTGTAGCTGTAGTAGTGTAGAGTGTAGAGTTTAGAGTGTAGAGTGTAGAGTGTAGAGTGTTTTAGTGCTGTTCTTGTTACATACCAATTAGCAGGATAATGTTCCTTCTTCATGGGATTACAAGCGCAAGCATGCGCAGCCGCAAACACCCGGCTTCCCTCGGCATCGGTTTCATCGTCGAGTGGTAATTCCATTAAAGAGTCCATGTTTCGACGGACGAGGATGTCGCCGTCCAGGAGGACGATGCGCTCATACTGTTCGAGTGAGAAGACCACGAGCTTGTTCCATGTTTCGGCGAAGCGCGGGTCTTGGGCGTAGTTGCGGGTGCTGGCAGGTGTCACTGAGGGGACCCATTGAGATGCGATGTTGCGGCTTTGGAGGATTTTGAGGCCCTCGGCTGGGAAGGTTGAGGTGTAGAAGGCTACGAATGGGTATTTTGTTCCTTGGGTTGGAGATGGGGACGAGGATGGTGAGGGTTGGGGTTGGTTTGTAATGGTTTGGTCTGGGGAGGGGTGATTGAGCGAGTGGTGTAGGGTTAGGAGGCCTGGGAGGTAGGACATGTTGGTTATTAGGGAGGCCCATACTATTGAGATTGTTAGTTTTGGGGTTCTTCGTTCTTCGTTCTTCTCTTATCTTTTGGTTGAGAGGTTGGAGTTGGAGACTCACTCCGCTTCGGAGGGGGTTGTTTGGGGGATTGATTGGTCATGGTTTTGATTTGAAATTGCGACTGGAATTGACAGGGATTGGCTTGAATTGACTTAAATCGGGATGATTTCAAGGAGAAGTAGGGAGATGGCGATGGCGGGATGGAAGCTGTGGATTGTGTTATCAGTTACCCCTCTGCGGAGATGAATTTCCGGGGAATTTATATTGGAGAAGAAGACAGATGAGAAATAGAAAAAAAAATACACATGGCATTGGGGATTTGATCTCTTGTCTCTTGTTCCTAATGCGAATACAATTATATTTGAGTTTCACCCTCAAGATCACCAACTTGCACACCCCAAACCTGCCACCTAGCTTCCTCAACAAAGTCTCTCCGCAACCACAGCCCTGACGGCTGACCCTGCGCCGGGGATAGCAGCCCTCTACTCGAAATATGGTCGCGTTCATCGCCGGGCTGAGTACGATCCAGCCAATCAAACAACAGACGAAGCTGCCAGATCCGATCACGAATTTGGTCTGGATCGGCGCCACGGCCGCGCGCGGATTGTACGATGTTGCGCACAGTATGCGACAGAGCGAGTCTTGCATCTACCGCTGAGGTACGCAGCCAAGGTGGCACAGAGACAAGATCGGTGGTGATACGCGTGGAGCGCATCGGGAAGGAAGACGGGAGGACGAGGGAACGCTCGCGGATGTCGAGGTCTTGTAGGGAGGGGAGGTGGAAGACCCAGTCCCAAGGGTTTTGGGACGGAGTCATCGCTGCAGATGGCTTTCCGGTGAGTAGCGCTGTGCGGGTGGGCCATGCCGAGGGTGGGAGGCCCTTGGTTGGGTTTGAGAGAGGACCGGCGGTTGCTGGGAGGATATCTTGCGCTTCACTGAGGCCGGTCAGGGTGGACGCGAAGACGGAGGTTGAAGAGCTTGGGCTGTAGGTTGCCTTGCGGCGAAGGTAGACGGACGGGTCGCCGAGGAGGAATTTCTCGCGTAGGGCATCGTTCTGGCTGAAATCTAGAACGAGCGGCCAGTGGTCTGGTCCGCGTATCTCGATACGGGCGATACTGCTAGGATCTGGCAGTAAACAGGGAGCACTGACGGTGCGGGTGGTCTCGTCATGAGATGTTATGGTAATAGGGGTAGAGATTGGGCGGCGGGTATCAAGATCACGAGGGACAAGGCATCGTGGTTCAGCAGCGAGAACCCAGAGATGGCGGAAGGCTTGGAGGTGGCACTTGTTATCAAGGACCGTTGTTGGGAAGATCGGGTAGAATGCGCAGATGAGCGCGGTCACAGCGCGGTTGGATGTGCCGAGTGTGTAGCTGCCCCCTCCGAGGAAGAGTACTCCGACAGCCATGTGTGCCGCCATGTGACTACCATATGGCGTATCCGCATCGATCCGACCATGGAGCGACCGCAGGCGTCGGAAGAGAGCTAGGTCACCTGTGCCAGCCATGACTGCCGCGGCAGATAGGGCTACCACATCTTGACAGTTCCGAACCGAATTGCGGGCGAGTCTAGCGTCGTAGCTTCGCACTGGTAGCCGTGAAATGCGGATAAGCTGGTCTAGATAAAACAACAACAGATCTCGGGCCTGTGTTTGTCCCGATCCAGCATGGCGGAGACCGATAGCAAAGCAGAGGCCTGCAATAATGTTGAAGAATGGCATGTCTTCGCTGCGCAGCCGGCGCACATCTGTGAGTCGTGAGCGTCCCCGGTAGACTTCAGGCAGACTCTGGCTGATCCACTCAGCAGTGGGCTTGATGCTATCCCACATGATCAAGTGTCGTGCCAGTGTTCGCAACAGGAACAGATCTGGCCGCACGTAGTCGAAGCGAACAGTGGTATCAGGGATATCAATCTTCTTGGCTAGTACCGAGTCGTTTGTCTTCATGAAGATGATCATGAGGGCAATGGTCGCGCCAGCCGTAGCACGGTCGAGCACATGGGCGATTTCGACGGTCTTGGTGCCCACAGCGATTGACAATAATCGTTCAACAATGTGCATATCGCGCATGCCCCGCAAGTCATCGCCTTTGCCAAGGTTAATGAAACCAAGGGCAAAGCCTGCGGCCAGACGATATCCTTCGTCGCGGAGTTCCTCTCCGGTGGCAGCAGCTTGCTCGTCCTGCTCACTGTTTTCGATTTCCGATAGCATGACCTCGCTCATACGGCGATGTTGGGATCCACAGTAAAGTAGACCGATGCCCATAATTCCAGCAGTCTGAGTCAACGGCGACAGGTTCAGCTCAGCTGCTCCAAGTGGAAGCATTCTGGTAACATGTACTGAAAGCAAGCGTGTGATTAGAGTATCCATTGTGCCCAGGTACGACGCAGAGAGACCAAGCAGGAGGCCAATCGATGTCATGGTATGCTTGGGGGTGAGGTACTTGAAAGCAACCCATTTGGCCAACGATTTAAGATGGCCATTCAGACCTAGAGCCAACAAAAACCCGGCATGTCGGTTGGTAAGATCCTGTGGCTTGTTGAACAAGATCCACGACGTGTCGATGCCCTTCGAAGCCTTGGAGATTGCCAGACCGGTTGATACTCCGTTGTGGAAGAAGGCCCAGCAGACCTTTTCTTCCGAGAACGCAGATCTATCCGCGCTGACAGTCACATTGTCCGGCTTCATGACGCACTGCAGGGAAAATGAAGGAATCGGTAGCTTCTCAGTCAACAAAGGCAATCGGCCACTAAAAGTGAGCATTGCACGACCCGCTGGAGTAGACAACGTTCGAACTGTTACGAGCTGCACAATTTCTTTCTGCGCCTCTAACAAGTCCGAGTCACTCCAGCCAGGTTCGGCTATGCACTCTGCCACCGGTGCTTTGGACTGGTTGAGTAGTTTAGATGCCTCCATAAATCGCTTATCATCTCGGAATATCAGCCTGGTGACTGAGTATCGGTCGGCCTCTGCAGATGCTTCAAAGGCGTTGATGGCATCAAGATCTAATGCCGAGCTGCTGATATAATGGAAATCCCGGATGGCATTATGGTTAGGTTGCTGTGGTGCGGCCAATGAATTGGTTTGAGCCGGGTTCATCGACATGTAAAGGTCTTCTCTGTCAATCAGCTCTAGGAGCGTTGCGTTCCAGGACGTGGAGGCTTCAATCTGGCATTGCATAACAGCTTCACAAAGTGGGGCGCTGACACCTTCTGGGAAGCTATCAATGACACTCTTCGTGAACCCCCAGCGCTGCAAAAGCTTGATCTTTTCCAAGGGTGTTGAGACACTATGAACTTCGGCGAAGAAACCATTCAACGCACACGTCCTTGGTGTGATGCTAAAACACTCGCGCCACATTCGCCCTTTTCTGGGAGTTCGCTCGGACGCATTCACAATATCGAGAAGAGAAACAAACGGCGTAGGGCTTCGATGAGCAGCAGCACCCATTAAAAATTCGAATATGGACGGTGGCGGGAAGGGTTCGGCAGGAACTTTTAGCCCAGTGATATGAGTATTATCCTCAAACTGCCAGCGCTCCATGCTAGCCATTTCCGTGCCATAATAGGCATCCTCGGTCCATTTCCAGGATTCCCATCCTAGCCAGCCGCCCAACTGTGCGATGACAGGAGCAAGCAACCCCAGGGGTTTTTGGGACTCCTCCGAGTCGCAGGTGGAGAGCTTCTGTTCTTCACGCAATAGATGCAAGGCCACGAGAACACTGCACAATGCGGTACATCTTGTGTTCTCTGAGAATGCTTCAGATATAGGGAGGTAACCGTCGCGACCAGCAGCCCTGAGGCCTTCAGGAGTTTGAAGGAATTCACGGCTGAGGGCGATGCACCGGATCAAGTACGAATTCTGGCGATATGTAGACCGACTGGCATTGGCACCTTTGTGTGCATCTCCTGATGCAAGACCTTCAATTGCGTCTTGTTCAACAATCCATCCCCAGGAACTGTCCATCATCCACGGAGCTACGACACCGGATGAGCCAGACTCCAGGTCCAGCATGGACTCCCAGCTTTCCAGGTCCAGGTGTCCTCCACTACTCGATCTGAGTAGACCCTTCTTGCGACGCGCTCGTTTGGGAGTCTGCGTTTGTGGGGGGGGCGACGAATGGGGCTGCTAGACTCAACAAGACGACTGTCATGGCGGTCCACTCAATGTTGTTTTCTTCCTTGCCCCAAAGCCATTTCATGACCTCCCACCATGCGACCATAATGCCATCACCCGCTTTCTCGGACTCACGCAAGGCAAACTTGCAGATCTTGAGTATTTTCTTCACCAGTTCGTTGCGGGGCTCCATTCGGATTTGTAGTCTGTGGCGCTGTTTATCGGTGTCTACCAGGTCGATCTTCCCTCGAGAACACCCATGATCAAACTTGTTGAAGACGAGGTCGGGATCCACCATGACCCGATTGACACCACTTTCCCTCGGGCGACTCTCGAGTTTATTGGCAGAGATGCCATCCGGTTCATACAGCTGTAATGGCACAGGAACCTCAACTTTGACGGGACTACCCCACAGGGTTTGCAATGATAGCTCGCGGTGTCCGTTGTCCGTTTCACTTAGTGAGAGTATCCGCGAAAGATCCCCATCGGAGATTCTACAAGCATCCAGGACATTTGAGACATTTTGAATCCTTACCGCACGCACGAGTAACGGACGCTGTTCGGCGGCCTTGGACTTTTTCTTCCGGTTCTTGGGGGTTGGCTCTCGGTCGGCCCTCAGGTTCACAATAGTTAATTTCTGCGCCTCTTGGTCCACGATGTATACTGCCAAGGAAGCTGTATTGCCTTTGTGGGCGCTTCCAAACTCGGTGGAGGCCAATGTAGAGACCTTCAACCGGCGGGATGCAGGCTCCTTTTGAAAGCTGCCCGAGAATTGGGACGAGAAACTTTCAACCTTAGTCAATATAAGTTCTTCTGGGAGTCCGGATGTCGATTCGCGTAGGGCAATATTCTCGAACCCGGGAGATAGACTGTCATTGTTGAGCTCTTCGAGTAGCTTGTCCACTGGGGTATCCAAAAAGCTGCCTGCAGTGCTGTAAACAGACCCTGTGCCTGGAGGTAGAGAGCCTCGAGGGTTGAAACCAAAGCTTGCACGAGTGCTTGCTCCTCCAACAGATTGTCTGAATCCAGCACCATGAGGCATGGTGTTGGACTGACTGCCAGTGGCCAAGTCCGAAAAAGTGATACGGTCCTGACTAGTTGCAAGATCTGTTCGGGCGAGCAGTGAGCTGACTCGTCTTGATGTTTTGAGGGGGACACCGACATCCCCGAAGTCTTGGGCTACTCTCGAAGCCAAGTCGTCTTCAGCATCGGTCTTCCCTTCAGATAGCTGAGTGGAAGGCCAGTTGTCGGTCCGAGGCCCAAAGCTCTCTCGGGTTGCTCCAGAGCGAGCGGCCGGTGTTGTCGCGCCAGTCGCCATCCCGAAATGCGAGCTTCGCCTTACTGACCGGGTACCTCCAGTTTCCCGTCTGGCTTTATCTTTCATTGAGCCACCGGATTCATCATCTTTGTAGCGCGCAGTCCATATCGTATAGATACCCGTAGTTGTGTTGATGGTAACCACTAGAATCAAAGGGCTACTGTTTGGTCTATTAGTGCCAGAGAGTTCGTCTTTTGGAGAGATATACACAATCTCATCCACAGGATCTAGCACCTCTAATCCAGATGGTCTTCTTCTGGTGCTATTGACGCTGCTCTGAAGCCAGCGAGATGTTTGCGATGTCACAACCAGACCCATCTCGGAATGAGGGTTAATGAGAGAGAAAACCCGCGGTAAGTCCGTGCTAGAGCTGGAATTTGGCACCCAGGAAGGACCTGGAGCAGCTGACGATTTTGTCGATGGACGTTTGTTTTTGCTGAGAGAAAATGACTGAGAGGCACCGGGGTCGAATAGCGAGGCTGACATGAAGGAATTCGGTGGCGCAGTTGGGTGTTGACTGTCACCATTTTCATCCTGGACCTTTCTTTGGAAAATAAGACCTCGAGGTGTAGCAAAGACGGAGTCAACCTCAAATGGAAGGGGAATCGTATGGCTATTGCCCGCCACGAAGAAGATATGAGCTTGCGATTTGAGGACTACCACCAAAGCCCTAGAAAGAATCTCGCTGGAGTGCTGGGGAGCTACAACCGCCACTCGTGCATCTCCATGTAGATCCAATGTTGACAAGATTTCAGTCCGCTTTTGTTTTTGCGTACCAGTAGTTGCTTCAGGTCGACTTGAAGGCGTGGTTTTGGAGTGTTTCGTGTCTTCCGTTGCAAAACGAGTGAACAGAGCATGTCGAATCTCTTCTTTCTCAGGGTCCATTCGAAACACTCGCTTCACCATCCCTGCGCGGGACCATACAACACAGTGTTTCGTCCATACTAACTCATCGTCCACAGGGCCAGTCAATCCGCTTTCGTCGACGCATAACGTCCAGTTATAATGGTCTTCCGAGGGTTCAGGAGGGAGGATTCCCTCTGAGACTAGGTAGGAGACGGCGGAGGGCTCGTGGACGCCCAAAGAGCGAACTGACGCCATGGTGGGCTGATTAGCAGCCGGGGTAGCGATCGTGGTGCGCCGTCACAAACAGTTCTGCGGTCAAAATCGTTGAAATCATTTCCATCATTCATGTAAAATTAATTAACGGTGCGCCCAGAAGACATGCCGAGTGGTTGAATGTCGAAGTTGGGAAGACGCGCTGGAACGCGGATTGGATCGACTTTCTTTGCTCTCCCGACCAAAACAACTTCCTTTCTCCATCTACGCAACCCTCCACTCTCCCTACCTCTAACGTCCTTCTCTCTGTTTGCTTTTGTTTAGAAACAAGCATTCAGCCATCAGATCTTACTTTGACTACAAATCTCCGACTGTCTATCACCCCTACGGTGCCCTGTGGCGCCTGTGCTCGAAGCTACCTGTAGCTCAACAGCATCGCAACTAGCACAATGCCCTCATTTCCCACTACTCCCTTGGTCCGGCCTAGGGAAGATGGCTTGCAGATCAGGTACGGGTGATGCGCTTTAGTTATAATACTTGGATTGACGCTGATCTTGTTTTTGCAAAATCTTTAGCTATCCGCTCTCCCATCGCATCCACACAGCCAAAGGCTACCCACTTCGAGCTCCGAATGGCTCTTCGGTCATTATTTACGGCTACGATACTGGGTTAAAAATTGTGTGGAGAGGAGGCAAACGGTTTGCAGAACTAAAGCCGACTGGGCCTCAAGCAAAGCCGAAGCCTGCAGGAAACAATGTGGATCCCGATTCAGTCATGATTATTGACTCCGATGATGAAGAGGAACCTGAACCAGCGCAAGAAGAGCCCGTGGTTGAATTCAGTCTGGAAGAGAGCGAGGTCGATCCCGCTGCTCCGTACGAAGAGATTCTGCGACAAATTGATATTCCCCTTGGAAGCCGGGTGCTGGATGTGGCGGTGCCTCGAGTTCTCCCCGAGGAATCTCGCTCGCCTCTAGATCCCTTCCCACCTATCCTGAGAAACACGATCGTTGTGTCGGTTGTTTGTTCTGACCTATCAACGAAAGTTGTGACTCTGCCACTTGTGCCTCCTCACCCCACACAGACGGATTCAAAGAGCTGGCGCATTCAAACTCTTACGGTCAATGGGGCGACCACTCACCAAGATATTCCACGAGGTGTATCTATCGCATTCACCTGTCATGAATTTGAGGATGAGCAAGACCAGCGGAAGTCGCGGGGCCGATTTGGAAACTTTGGTAAATGGGATCTGCTCGTGGCCACGCATTCAGCAGAGGGATGCGGTGCGCTGTTGCTGCACCGAATTCCAATCCGCGAGGAATCCTCTTTCCGTCTCATGGAAGAAGATATCATATCTCAACGGCGCCTCTTGCCAGCACCTGCACAGACAATTGCCTTTAACCCGTCCACATGGCCATCCGTCCGTCATGCCAACCTGCTTGTCGCATTCCACAGTGGATGTGTCAAGATTTATTCCTGCTTTGTCAAAAAGGCCTCGAAATCCTCACGGCGGGCTTCGATCCCCCAAGAAGACTACGAAAATATCGACACAGAAGGTCGCTGGTTGATCAGTCTCTACCCCGGCTTTGAGCAAGGACCCACCGGACTTCCACGGCGTAAGAGAATCATTGATGCCGATTGGGTATTAGGCGGCCGAGCAGTTATGGTTCTTCTGGAAGACGGCGAATGGGGCGTATGGGATATCGAAGGCGCCGGCCCTGGTGCCGTTAAGGGCCCACTACACCGCCAGACGAGTGTCCAAGGCGTGACAGGTGGTTCATTGACGGCGTACGCTGTCTGCGGTCGTATTATGACTTCACTTTCCAACACCAATTCCGAAACAGAGCAGCGACCCCGATTCGCACCCATGACACCATCCACAAGACGTGTACGCGAAGATGGCTTGCTGAAGGGATCGATGAGCACAGCCAGTCCATCCCACCGTGGCCAAATCTCTGTCTTGCAGACAAATCCATCCTCGGACGTATTGCCCGACGAGTCGATCCTACTTCGTCACGGCCGCCAGAGCGCGGTCATCACGAACTTGCTGTCTCTGTGGCGCAACGCTGTCAAAACCACCGGCACATTTGATTCCTCAAACCGATGCCGCGTTTCTCCTTTCCAGGACGTGAACTTGATGGGCCAGAACTTCCAGGCAATTGGACACCTACCTGCACCAGCACGCCGATCCCGGCAAGCAGAGCGGCAAGTCTTCGATGTGCTCGTGGCAGCAGAGCACCAGATCATGATTCTCGCTCCCAAGTTGACAGAATCCGTCGAAGAAGCCCTACCTGCTGTGAAACAGGAGGAAACTGAAGACACCGACCAGCTGATGCTCCGACGAGGTGAACTGGATGTGGAGGGAATGGGTCGTCTACTGAATGGTATGGCCGGTGGAAATGCGCCCATGCGCATGGGCAGCCCTGTGAAGCGGACTCGTGTTTTCGCCTAATCTCAGTCATAGTCTACTAATACCCATACTCCAAGTCTCTTGCTTCTGCTGTGCTCACGTTTCTTCCATCATAGGATACTATTCGCGCTGTAAGGTGGAGCGCAAGGCGAGATCAATGCCTTGAAATTCCTTCTTTGGAGGTGAATAAGCTCTGTATCGGATGCGATATATCAATGACCATTACAAATTCTGCGATTGCACGACCCTCTAATATTGCAATTGAATGTTGCAATGCAACATTCCGTTGCGATTCTCGTGTTTGGCTTTGGGGTTCCATCTTCGTCTCTGTTCTACTGCGGATACCGATCTGTCTCTTGACGAATCTTACATCGATAACCGTAGTGGGTAGAGGAGGGGATGGCCAAAGTTGGATGCGAGTGATAATGGGAATAATGGGACATTTTAGTTAGAAACTGTAGATCTGTAGGGTTTACAATTATTGAAGATTATCATGGATTTTTCTACTATATTCATAAAAGTCTTTCTGGTGTTTATTTACTTCCCGATCGAACGTAATGCAGCAAAAAAATCGCCATCTATAGAGACCGATGCTGGCCTTCCTTCAACAACCCACGATCACCGCCGCCGCCCTTCTGCCACAACCAGATACCCTCGACTGCCCATGCAGCAGCACTAGCATGACGCCCAACACCGGACGCAAGAGGCAGGTTACTACCCTCCTCGGCATCTTGTGTATTCTTGCCCTTATCTCTACCCTTGGTCTGACCAGCAGCGCCATCGGCCTCGGCAAGCATACCAGCAACAATGCCTTCCTTTTCAATAACAAACCATAGTCCATCGGACAGCTGACCGCCCCGTTCTCCAAACTCTGCCCGGCCGAGACGGAATAAGATCCGACCGATGACCTGCCATGCGATGCATCGCTGAGCGGGGAACGTCGAGCGCGCCAGAATCGCCAGCTCGGGGATCGTGTAGCCCGCGGCATGCGGATCCTCGCCGTGATGGTGCAGGCCCATGGTTGTTGGAAGGGAGAGTGATGTTTCGGGGGCAAGAATGGTACCTCTTAGCGAGAAGCGGATTGCCGAAGGTGCCATTGAGATGGCGTTGCTGGCTGGGTGGTAGGGTGACGTCGAGTCTGGGTCTTCTTCGTCGGCAGAGAGGGGCTGCAGCCAGGAGAGCGTTGATGGGTCCTGGGCTATCTCAGGGAAGTAGTGAGACTGGAGATCTGATAGGAAAGATGGCGAAGAAGGGTCCAGGACTGGCATCGGCGTTGTTGGCTGGGGGAAGTGGAAGGTTTCGATAGTAGCTGGGTCGAGGGAGGGTCGTTCAGAGGCCGGGTGGAGGTCTTGAGGAAGGGCGGATGGAGCGAGATCTTCATTGCGGGGGTGCGGTTTAGTTGGTAGTTTGGGTAGAGAGTGAGACTGGGCGGTTGGTGCAGAAACTGGTGCAGACGAAGGAATATCGAACGAAACTGATTTCCTCGGTTTGGATTCTTCGTCGGCCACGGGTGCCGCCGGTTCAAATTCGGTCTTTTGGTCCTCTTCAATGTTCGCTCTGCGAAGGAATCGTTCCAGAAGTCCTGGATCCATCTGTTCCATCAGCTCCTCTCGTTCCCGTTGGATCTGCGCGTCCGACATAGCCGCCAGCTGCCGGCGGTTCTCCTCGTCGATGGATTTCTTGTCATCTTGGGTGGTCGGTTCAGTAGGGACAGGAGCCGGGTCAGCGGGCTGGTTTGTTCGTCGCTGTTTGAAGGAAGATGGCTTGCGCTGACGAGGGGCAGGGAACCCAGTTGATGACGCCGACAAGGTCGGCAGTTTAGGCGCGGGGGGAATGGCGGTGGAGGGAGCCCGTTCTTGAATCTCGCCGACAAGAGAGAATGGAGAAGGGATTTCTGGGGCACCAGATTCCTCATCTAAGTCCAGGAGGAAGCGTTCGCCTCGAAAAGCCATGATGCGTAACTGAGGTGAAGAGGAGGGGGAAAAAAAAGTTATGTCAGCGCGGGGAGATCCAAGGATGCGGCTCCCAAAGCTAAAATGGGGCTGCAGAATAGTCTAACCGGAATGGGCTAGTGGGAGATGGCGGATGTGCTAGTCCCAATTTGGTTCCTCACATTGATCCGCGGCATCTATATGTTGTACAGCTCGCATCGATCTTTCTTATGTTATAGATGATGAATTGGATACTGGCTGGGTCGTTCACATTGACTGATATAGAAAGAAGAATATTATCTATCCTGCCTTTCTTCTTAAGCCAAAAGCTTTTACGAACATGGAAGTCGATATTTGTCGTACCTATCATAAGCTTCCGTTGGAATACACAAGCAGTATCAATACATGTACTACTTTAACTCGTATTATCTATAAAAGGAAACTAATAAGAAGACAGAGTCAGATATTTAAATCTTAGATAATAGTGAACACCTGATCTGAAGAACATGAGATCATTCGGTAAATGAAGCCATTCCTGTATCAGGTACAACTTACGGTTCTAGGCTAAGCGATCCGCAGGGGAGAATCATGGATATGATCTCCAATACTCAACAATGACCTCAGGTTAAATATAATTCTACATCAATATTGTCAGAGGTATAGCTCTATGATAACTCTATAGAGGAGTTCTGTAGTAATTCCCCCATATTTCCAAGTTGTATAGAGCTTGACATATCAAATAGCAGTTAACCAGTACTTCATGTAATGTGCTTTAATTCCAATCTTGCTTGCTTTTCTCTCTCCCCTTTCTTCCCTTTTTTTTCCCTTTTTTTCTTCTTCTTCTCCCTTTCTTTCTTATTTCTCCACTCTTCTCTTCTCTTGACATTTTCCCCTTCTCCCCTTTCCGCGTCCCTCTCTTTTTTCTGCTTTTCCCGCATTTTCTTGGTGTTTTCTCTCTTCCGTCACCATCTTATCTTTCTTGTGTTCCTCTTTCCCCCCCAATCTCTGTTTGCCGACCTGATACCCGACACGTTTCACCACTTCGACTCAACTCTCATCCTCATCTCGATTTTAACCAAATTCCATCAATTTGTTGATTTTCAGTTTACTGATTGTGATTTTGTCAATCATGTCGGATCCTCCTAATATGGGTATACCTAAAGAAGAAGGGTCTACTAGCACTGATGTCAAACCCGGCACAGGCGCCCGACGTGCCTCCGGTACCGCCAGGCGGTCGCGTCGTAAGAAGGATGACGACCCCGACACCAAGAAGAAGGAGAAGGAACCAAAAGAAGTCAAAGAAAAACCGGCACGGGCTCCTCGTCGTCCACGGGAGAAATCAAACAACACTACTTCCCGGAAAAAGCCCAAGCTAGAACCTGCGGCAGAGGAAACGAGGGCTCCAGTAGACGCCCGAAGCCCTCCACACGCCCCTGCAACGCCCCAACCTGCTCAGCCCGCTCTACCTCAGCCCGCTCAAACCCAACCTACTCAAATAGCTCAACCTCCCCAACCTCAGCCTCCTCAGCCTCCTCAACCTCCTCAACCTCCTCAACATACTCCAACTTCATACTCAAATCCACACCCCCCCTACAGTTCCAGCAGCCTCGTATCAGCTGTCGCAACCTTCTCGTCCACAACCGCAATCGCAACCTCCAGTGCCGCAACCACCACCTCAACGAACCAGCGGACAAAACTTCGATCCTATTCGTTCTGCGTTTGACAATCCGTCTCCAGCACCATCATATAGTCCTCCCGCTCGCGCAATCTCCCCTCGCAATGGTTATCGTGCCAGTGCGTCGCCAGCGATCTCAAGCATTATCGACCCACCAGCCCAGAACTCTCAACCAATATACAACACGCTTCAACGCTCCTCCTCTGGCCATGTGTCCGGCATGTCTTCGCCGGCACCGCCTGCGATGGTCTCCACACCCTCACATCCGTCCTTAGCACCATCGCCCCTTCCCGTTTCCTCTTCCCGTGGAGCCATGCATATCCCGCAGGCCATGTCGCAGTCCACCCCATACACCACCCCATACCCACCTACTGAGCAGCGGCCCACGCCATCACAAACCCCTAAACTGGAACCGTCTCCGCCGGCGGTGCGCCAACCTCAACCTCCAGCGCAACCCGAACCCGCTGTGCAGCCGACTCCGCCTAGACAGCAACCAGTTGAATCAATGGAAATCGACCACACGGAGAATTCCACGCCCAGCGCCAAAAAGGAAAAGAGTACAGCTACCGCACCGGCATCAAAGGCCTCATCCCCCAAGCCAGCTCGACCTGCCAAAGAAGCCCCTCATCTGCCTCAGGGATCTGGCTTGATCACAAACGCGCTGTTCGGCGGAGGGGATGACTCTTCAAAGTCGCCTGACTCGCGTGGCACTCCCAGCATCATCGTTCATGTTCCGCTACAGAAGGGCAACCAGATTGTCAACTTTGCACGACTTGCAGAAGAGCAGTATGGCTTCGCTGCATTGCACCCTCGTCTGGCCGCGCACAAGGCACGCATGGCTCGTGTGGCAGCTGCCGGGGCCGCGTTGGAACGAAATGATAAAAATGCCAAAGGAATCTCTGCTGGTGAGAGTGCTGACGAGGATCTGAGCCTCGATGCGGAACGTGATAGTGATATGGATGGCGATGTTCCCATGGGCGGCACTGGTGCAGGAACCAACGGTGCGCCATCGGAGGCTAGCGATGGAAAAAGAAGCGACGCAAGAAGGTCGAGGAATATGACCGTGATGATCCATTTGTGGATGACACCGAAATGGTGTGGCAGGAGCAGGCTGCTGCCAGCAAGGATGGGTTCTTTGTCTACAGTGGACCACTGGTTCCGGAGGGAGAAAAGGTCCAGGTGGAACGGTATGTCCACTTGCTACTACTTTCTTACTACATGTTTACTAATTATTTGCAGTGCCGACGGTACAATCAAACGTGGCCGTGGCCGTGGCCGAGGAACGGGTCGGAGTCGGACCGTGACTTCGCACCCACACGTTCCTATTGCAGCTGCCGTGCCTGTCTCCCAAGATACCGGCCTGCCATTGCGTGGACCCGGCTCTCGGGGTGGCACCTCGCGCCGTCCGCGAGGCAATAAGAAGGCCGATAACGGCAGCGATCGTGCTGCTACCACTGCATCTGCTGCCCAGGAAAGCCGTGGTGGCCGTGGTGGCGGCACTGGGACCTCTGGCCGCGGCGGGACTAACAGCACACGGGGTGGAAAGTCGTCTATACCAATCCCGATGCCAGACCTTGCTCCTGCACCATCGACCCCGAGTGTTGTCCATGGACCCCCTGCTCCTAGTCCGCTAGCTGGCCCAGAGCTCATGATGAAATAGAGAACATGTTGACTGATTCGTTATGGGGTTCGTTTGGTGTTCAGAGCTTTATGACTTTGTTTGGCTTATTCATTTGCGCTATCATTTTGCTCATGGGTTTGGTTTACGTCTGTTCTATGTTTTTTTTTTTTTTTTCTCGTTGTTGTCGGTCCCGAGAAACCGTTTGCTCTGTGAACACATGAGCTCTTTATGTACACCTCGTTATGGCTGGATATATCAATTTTCAGCCAGTCATTCAATATTCTTCTAATGAAATATTGTAGACTACGCTATCATCAGCCGCCTCGGCTATTGAGTCTGTTATGCTATTATTTAGTTGTTGATTCTTTCTATAAAACAATAGCAGTGTTTCATGTTCTATAATATGAACCAATATGTGATATGGTAGCTCATGAAGTAAACAGGTACCTAAATAAACGCTCTACATACGAGAAGCAGAAGGGTTAATCCGTTCTATATTTATATTCCCTATGTGTTATAGATTTCACCCCCATTCTTTACATAGCCGCCCAACACCATTGAGTTAACCAATAACCACAGAGAACAAAAGAAGTCATGCTGACGCGCTGTACAGAACGGCTAGTTGCAACAGCTGAACTATTTGCTGCGCCCATAGCACTTTGGTCTTATACACAAACCCCCGCGCAATATCAAAATAGCGACCCCCCTTGACTCGAGAGCTCCAAGGCTATTGGCAGAATGCAGATATTCCGCACCAATTGTATATATCCCCCAGAGACGGCAGGCTCGCGGGTTTCCAGTAAACTCAAATGGATGTTGATCAACATTATCGTCCCAGAGTGGGCATTCAGGAGGGCCTGCAGTGCTGTGTCCTCTGTTAGGATGCTCAAGGACCGATTTGCAGAGATTCAGGATAGAGATGGCGTCCCATGGTCTGACTCCCTTATACACTATGCCAACATGGGTGGATTCCCTATCCAGTTTGTCAATTCTGATACTACCGCCGGTACTCAAGAGCTACCTTCTATAAAATATTTCCCAGAGGGAATACAAACCCCACAGATACTTCAGAGATCAATGCAGAAGGTCTCGAATGCGATTGGAAAGGTTGACTGGGCATTGGATAAATCTAAAATCCTTGCCATCGAAAAAGCAAACATCATCGTTTCCCAAGGCTACCTAAAGAAAGAAAGGATCTTAAACATGTCGTACACGAACTGGGTTGGAAACCTCACTCTTCTCTGTGGTAATCTGTGCGTGGTAGATGCGAACCAGTTTCTCCTTGCCCGTGAGCTTGGTATCATCGACAAACTACCCTACATGCCGCAGGATTCCCTAGATGACCATAACAATGGTCGTCTTGTCGTCAAGATCTTAGCATTGCTGCATATCTCGTGGATGTTCATTCAACTCGGCGTAAGACTGGGCCAGAATATCCTAACAAGCCAGCTCGAGATTTTTACCCACGTTGGATGACTGGAATCTGGAATTTATATTGATGGATATATATGTGCTTTATTGGAAAGTTATATCGAAGGGACGCATATCCCGATGTTTCTACCAAAGTTTGAAAGAGTATGAAATTGCACGTATTTATGTACGCCGTGTAATGCAGGAAGACATCCCAGCAGATAAGGACAGAGTCAGAAATGAACAAGATAGGGTTCGTTGCCAGATGTTTCAATCGAAGCAGAGTCATTGAATAAGAAGTGAAGGAGAAAGTAGAAAAATAGAGAGAGATACTCATAGATCGAAGAAAAAGAAAGCGCTGTAAGGGCAGCTTGCCTTGGCTCCTCCTTTTGTTCCATCAAGAGCGCAATGACCACACTCCAGACAGAACAACACAGCAAGGAAATAGCGCATTCACCAAAGCCGAGATAGTGTTGCGGTTTTTCGTTTGTATATGCGGGCTTGTCTGAACATAAACATGACAATCGAAAGGAAATAGACCCAAGACACATCCGAGTACATTAACTAGTCATCACCACATTACCGGGGTGTAGTTCCTGGTTGGATGCGCCAGTTTCCGCCTGTTGAAACAGGTGGCGCGGGAGGCGGGCCGTTCGGAGGCGCAGTGCGGATGGGCATCGTCGTGGAGTGCAGGTTCGTGCGGGGATTGGAGTTGTTGGAGCTAGCGGAGCGGGGGCTCATGAATGGACGAGATGGGGCATCGATAGCAGAAACGGGCTCGTTGAGGTGCTGACGCATCGCGCGACGACCAGATCTGCTATTTTCATCGTTTGCCTCCAGCGAGAGGTGCTCCAGAGAGGGGGGTGGCGGGGAACGCGTGGCTCGGGACGAGGACGATGAGTAGTATTGAGGCTGGGGTTGGGACTGGGGGTAGTGACGGTGGCTGGATGGGACCTCGTTGGCGATCCTTAGAGGGATGTCGCCTGATACTGGGTTTGACGGGAATGGTGACTGCTGTGGAGTCCGTGTTGGCTTGCTGACGAGAGGGGGTTTTCCGATATTGGTTGATGTGGGTGCTGCGGCGGGAGATGATGTCGATTTTGAAGTTGATGTCGAGGACTCTCTAGGGAGCGATGTTGGTATTGGTGGTCCCAAGTAGGACTTGCGCTTTTCTTGGTCCATCATGCTCGTTGCCCACCCTTCGAGGTTGACTGGTGTGCGCTTCGCGGCCTGCAAGAAGGCATCTTTGTCCTGGAAGGAGTTAGTAAACGTGAAAAAGAGCTGTAGGTAAAACCGAGAGATGAACATACATAAAGCTCTCGTGGGGTTGGGCGCTCCTCGGGTTTCTTCAAGAGACACTTCCCAACAAAGTCATGTAGGATAGGCGGGAAGGCATCACTCTTGGGCAGCTTGGGCGCTGTTTCATGCACAATTTGCTGGAGTAGATCCAGAATACCCATCGGCCCTGCACTAGCACGATTTCCGGCAGCAGAATCGGAGTGATCGAAGGGGAACTTTCCAACGGCCAGCTCCATGACCGTCAAGCCCACGCTCCACACGTCGGAACGAACCGTATAAGCGCCTCCTTGAATTCGCTCGGGAGCCATGTATGTGGAAGTGCCAACGAATGTATCGGCAATCGAGTTAACTGTCTCGGTAGCAACACCAAAGTCACAGAGCTTGATGTTACCGCGGGAGTTCAGTAAGATATTGGACGGCTTGATGTCACGATGCATGATGCGGTGGGCTTCGTATAAGTAGACAAGACCGGCCAGGACGGATTCGGTGATCTTCCCCAGCACATCGACTCGAACAGGGCCGAAATCTTTAGAAACGCGGTCGAGAGATCTAATTGCCTGTCAGGTATATCCTCTTTGTTTCCCAAATGGGTCCACCTACCCAAGATCCATATATTCCATGCATAGTACAATATCTCTCGCTTCGTTTTGGAATGCACCATAGAAAGTGACAATATTTGGACAGTTGCAGTCATGTCCGACTCGAAGTTCTCGTAGAATTTGTTTCCGTACGTTCTCTTTGGCCTCCACACGGATAATCTGCGGGGGAGACGAGGAAATTAGAGTTGGCCAACAAGCAGAAACACACAATGCACAATACACACCTTTCGAGCCATCACCACCTTTGTGGATGCGTGCATCACTTTGGAAACAGTACCTCCATTTCCAGCGCCGAGTTCCTTCAATGTGACCAGGTCTTCACTGCGAAGATCGAGGCGAAATTCCAGTCCGATTTCGAGCGTATCTGTGTTGTTGACTTCGCTATTCCCAACAAGTCCAGGGGCTTGTGCATCGCCATCGGTAGGATTGGAGGCGGGTTTAGGGGCTGCATTGAGAGCAAGGCCTTTGACATTCTTGCGTTTCAATGTCCGAGCCTGGAACGGGTCCGTCATGGCGCTTTGGAGGGGTTGGGAGTTGCACAAGGGGAAAGTTGTGAAAGAAAGAAAACGAAGAGCCCAGTCGCCTAAGTGATATCAAGTCCGCGTTACCCAAGCCGATGGGATCAAAGTGGTCAGAACGAACCCCCGAGCTAACAGCGGGGAAGTCGATATCACCTTGCGATGTTCTTGGCGACGCTGATTGGACCTTGCGGGCGCGTCGATTTGACTAACTATGACCAAAATGTGCCGGTCGGCGCCAAACAGAAGTATGTTGAATTTTTACGGGGAATATGAGAGGGAGAAAATGAGAGATGATCTTCAAGAACTATGAAAGCCACTATAATCATCAATGAAACGACAAGTGTTTCGGGGGTTCCACCAGTCCTTTGGGCTAGCTTTGGGTACTTGTGGATTTACGCAACGGGGTTTATGGCTAAATGTGATGGTTGGTAATGCTTAAACGGAGGCATGTTCGATAGTCTCGACCTTCGATCAATACCACAAAGCGATATATGCATATTAAGGATCCGACCAGGGCATCGTTGAATGTACAATGTCCGATGTACACACACAAAGACATCAGCACGTGACATGAACTGGGCAAGCCACAATTAGGCTACCCCAATAGGACTAGCGTCTAGCCACACTAGCACTAACCAATCACCGCCACCCGCATCCTCTCCTCGCCGATGGCCGTGATTCTTCCTCTTGACAACTATTACTTCAATTTCACCCTCCCTGACTTACTTTTGACCGTCTTAACGAGCTTGGCACTACCTGGTGTCATATTCACGCAATTGTATCTTGAATCTTTCATCCGTAACCGCATTCTCCTCGGTCCCTAGCAATAGGGATCTTTACTTCACGATGAGCCTTCGCGACCTGATCGAGGGTGAGGCGGTCATGGATGACGAAGATGAGGAAGTCGCCGACGACTATGATGCCGATGGCCGCCAGGGCGCAGGTACTGCCAATCACTACGATGACTCGAGCGAGGAGGAAGACGAAGAAGAAGACGACGAGGAGGCTGCTCGCGCCGTGAGTTTCGACCTTTCACCAGGCTCTATCTCTTTACTAACTGAATGTTTAGGTCCGTGAAGGTTTCATTGTCGATGAGGACGAAGAAGACGAACGTGCCGCTCGCAAACACAGGAAGCGTCCGCGCGCTGCTCGCGAAGAAGAGCATCTTGATGAAGAAGATCTGGAACTCATTGGACATGGTCCAAGTCAACACCGTGGACCAGCCACTGAGGTATGTAAGCTGCATCTCATAATTTGACAGGATTCTGATACTCTGATATTAGTCAAAGTTTAAGCGCTTGAAGCGAGGCAAGGATCGCGAGAGCCACCAACCGTCCCAAGGCGTCGACGATATTTTCAACTCTGACGAAGAGGAGGAAGCGCAACAATATGCTAGGCCAGGCCAGCGCCGCGGTCTGCGCGATGAGATGGACGACTTTATTGAAGAGGATACTTTCTCCGACGACGAGGCCCAACGCGAACGGGATGACCTTGGGGTTGCGCCGGCCTCTAGAGTCAACAAGACCGGCTTGATTCCGACTGATACCTCAGGCTTGGATGAAAATGCACTCGATGATATGCGCGCTGCATTCGGTGATGGTACAGAGTACGATTTCGCACTCCAAATGGAAGACCAAGAAGACGCAGACAAGCAAACCGAAGAACGTCACCTAGACTTGAAGGATGTCTTTGAACCATCAGAACTGGCTGAGAGGATGTTGACGGAGGATGATAACGAAATTCGTCTCCTCGACGAACCCGAACGCCATCAGGTTGCTCGCAAGCCCTACAAGCATGTAACATTGTCCGAGGATCAATTCCGGGAGGAGGCAGTCTGGATCGCAAACTTGATGTTGCTCAAGAAGCGCATGGATCCGGAATTGCGCGAACCATTCCAGCGCTCTGTTGCTAAAATGTTAGAATTCCTAATTACGGACGATTGGGAAGTGCCCTTCATTTTTCAGCATCGCAAGGACTACATGATTCATGCTGTCAAAGATATGGCTAATGGCGCCGATCCCGACAACGACTCCGGCCAATACAACATCCGCGCCGAGAAACTCCTCAATATGACTGATCTATGGGATATCTTCGATCATGATCTCAAATTCCGCGCTTTGGTCGACAAGCGTGGTACAATCAAAAAGACATACGACAACCTGCAAAGTCTCTTCAACGTGAATGATTCCAACGTCGAGGATCAACTTGCTGCGGCCGCGACCATGGAGGAACTCCAAGATGTGCAAGACTATATCCATTTCCAGTATTCCTCACAACTACGGGACCTCAACCAGGTCAACGGCGAGGCTACTGGAGAAACACAACGCCGAAAAGCCACTGGCAGGTCTTTCTTCGAGCGAGTTCGGAACGGTAAGGCTTATGGCTTCGTACGTGCTTTTGGCATCACTGCAGATGCGTTTGCTCAGAATGCCTCCAAGGAAGGCCGCCGGCAATACACAGAAGATCCCACCGAGCGTCCGGAAGAGTTGGCAGATCAGTTTGTCGACAATGACTTTTCCAACAGTTCGCATGTTCTCAAAGCTGCCAAGTCGATGTTCGCCGAAGAACTTGCTGTCAGCCCTAAAATGCGCAAGGTGATTCGTCAGGCCTACTACATGAACGGAGTCGTCGATTGCTTCCGCACAGA